GTTACTCACAGGGTTTGTACAGTGGCGGAGATCGGCGAGGGCATGGTGCGATTATACACCCAGCCTCGGCCACCCAGTGCGCTAGGGTCGCAGTTCATCAGCGAAGCCGTGCACAGACAGTGGTCTGACGGCGGACACGAACCTTGTCCATTGATCACGGCAGTACCGCACACCAGGAGCGCCAACAGCGCGGGGAGGGCCTTCCTGCACCAAGACTTCATCATTACCGTCGGAGTTTACGGCCCGGCGCAGTCAAACCGTTATCGCCGGATAGATGTATCTAGAGATCGACCCTTCCGAAACTCGACCACTCGAAGGTCCGCTGCCTACCCGATCGACCGTGGGGAGAGACGATGTGCTTGAACTGCGTCGTTGAGGTCCAATATCCGATCCGCGGATTCGGTAGCTTGAATGACTCGAGGAGAATTTTTCGAAAGTAACTGTTACGAAAATTGCAGACCCAGCGCCCCTTGTTGGTCGAATGGATCCTTCACCACATCACCTTCACACGGAGCCGGGACACCACTTCAACTTAGTTTCTTCAAGCGCGATACTGACTCGACTACAGCCAAATACAGCTAGGCGAAAGGCAGTTCAACCGAGCTCGCCTTCGCAGATCGGTCTGCTATGAAATTAATTTTGTATGGCAATGTTCCTAAATGCTAAAGCTGTCTAAGCTCAGGTTGGCACACGAAGAATGCAGCGTAGATCTACGAAACCTCAGTCCTGCTCAACCTCACGTCCGACCGTCCCGGCGATATCAAGACTGCATGATCACGACCCGCGAACGACAAACCAGGACATGCGGCTAGGCTTGCATGGTGTAAACAAGACAAGCCCTGGCACCTAGCAACAAGGTGGGCCGCAACGACATGTCACCAAGAAGGCAAGAACACGCAACGCCAACGCGAACGGACCAATTTTTTTTACAATGATTTCACTCCAATGTGTACAGTCATGTGAGTTGGATTCCCCGGCCTGCCCCCACCCCCATGCGGTATCGGATATGCATGGTAGCCCTTGTCGGAAAATGCTCAGGAAACTGGCAGACTCTTCCGATTAGCCTTATGGCAGGCACTTCCCGAATTGCGAATCAGGGAGTCGTATAAATCCGACTCCCTGCCCCGAATTCTGCTCCATATCTTCATCCACATACCAAACATGCATGAAATATACCGGACAAGGTTCCTGGACCGTATGCGTGTTAAAACAAAATGGCGTCACGATTTATTGAAAGTGGTATAGTTGGTGGTACGAGTGTTCAAACCCATTTGAACTTCATACTGTTCGTTTTCTTTTTGACATGCTCTCTTTCCATCGTCCTTAGCTTTTGTTTGTTGAGAGCTGTTTTGGCTTTCTCCTATACCTCTGGGGGATGCCAAGTGATGGTTTTGAGAGGCTGGTGATGGCTGTGAGCGAGAGTTTGCCGATCGGCGTCGTCCTCGCTATAGCGATGAAAATACTAGTTACTGCGCACCTGGCAGATATCACAACACGTCGGAGCGTCCAGGAGCAAAGGAATCTTGGGTTTTCACTGGAATCTAGTTCCTCCAGCATCGTGTAGCCCACCGTCGGTGAATGGCGGTCCAGAAAGGTCGAACCTGGTCTTCTGCAGCATCTCGCAGTCCTGCGAGGCACACTGAATACGCCTGTCATGTATTCTACAAATAAAAATCACGAAGTAGTGGACTTTACAGTGATGAGTCTATCCTGTATGCTGCAAAAGACGCAGGAAATGTGACTGGTGTCCGTACACTGGACGCCAATATCATCCCAGTCTTCTCCTGCAGGATCTGTTTGACATTGACATACCGATATGTAGTGGGTCGACATTGGCCTGGTTTGGCAGCTATCTGCCTGGTTGGATGTAGCAGGTTTGCATTGGCGCGTCGTCCAGTCCGACATTTTCTTGTAACTGTGGAGTACCGGCAGGGTTTGAGAGGTTGCTCGTGCTGTGAACACATCTCTACTGCCTGTCTCGTCCTGGAAGTGCCGTCTCGCCGCTTCCTTGCTTTACAGTCACGCCGTTATTTCGCTTTGTTTCGTGGTGCAGCTCAAAACCTGCCCAAACAACTGTGAGCTCGCAACATGGTATGGACAAATTGCACAACTCATGCTGGTTAACTAAAACCGGGATAGTCGAGTAAGCGAGTTCACTCCCTGGGCCATGGCAAAATCTGTTCAGTGCGGGCTATTCCAACCTCCAAGTGCATAGTCACCGATCGATCCATGCGATGGTGGTTGACCTACAAAGAGCCAAGGTCTACGAGTACTACTATTGGATGCTGTCTACATGCAGTCAACAAAATCAAAGTACCTCAGTATGCCCCAGAATAGGGCATGTGCATCTATAGCATGACACAACAGGGGTTCTGGCGGCACCTGTCAAACAAGCAGTAGGGACTAGTGCCAGCTACCTATTGGAGGCTAGCCGCTACAGTCTGTCACTGGAGATAATTATTATGTTCACTGTTTAGACTGAGCACAATCAATGATGCCCAATCAATCTGCCCAATGTGTGTTCTGTTCCACCTAATTATAACGTCCCATCGCATCAACCCTACTACACGCACATGTCGTCACTCTAGCACGACTTGTGTTATTATTGTTTATTTTGATTCGCACGATAAACAGAGCACAATAAACGTTAACTTGACCGAAGGTTAAAGGTGACTGCAGATAGAGGAACACATCGAGGTACAGGTACCGGCATCAATACAGTATCAGAGAGAAACAAACAAAAATGAGAGGTACGCAGAAAAAACTCTCGTAAGCCCAATGGGAAGTGGTTGATGAGGGATGAATGCACTCTCCACGCTCATCTACACTGTTCGTGGAAATGCACACATACAATAATATACAACATAGCAATAGCATGCACAGAACCGAACAATTTCATGTTCACACATGGAAGCACAGACCTGAACATTAGTACCAAAAGCCGATACAGACAATATCCCCATACACACAGACGCACACACACACACACACACACACACACACACACACACACACAATGTCCCATGTATGCGCCCGTGGCAAGAAAAGCACGCAAATCTACAAATGCACTGGATGTGAACCCATAGATTTTCTCTTATAGCAACGATAGCGGATCTGATTCTGAATGAAACACACACACACAATACAATCATTGAATGCCCATCCGCAGATGATGGCAGGTCCTGAAAGAACAGGCAGTGTTCCAGTGATGGGGAACAGAATTTCGAGTGGCGAGTGAGGTATACACACACACACACACACACGTGCGTGCGCGGGCACACACTAAAGTATTCAGAAATAGAATCGACATCGTAGTATTCATTGGTTGGGGAATGGAAAGGAAAATAAAACATTGCTGTAGGTTATTGTTGTAAGGACACTGGGAGCACAACAGAAAGGTAAGCAACTTGCTTTGAAGCAAAGAAAGTTATTATTCCACGGATCTCAGCAGGAAGGAACGTTCCAGAATGCTGCACTGGCAACAGGCGGCCTGCATGTGCGCGGCCCCTGCAGTCGGTGCAGCTGCCGGCCTTGCAGTGCTGAAAAGAATGTGCAGTACAGCATGTCACATAGTATCGCAGCCTGGACAAATAGGCGCTGGGAAGTCCTAGTTATGTGCTCACCTACACCACGATGCACCAATCTTCTGAGCTACTTTGGCAACAACTTTGTCCACTTGAGACTCCCATGGGCTGAGCCAGTTATAGAGGGCTGCACCAAGGTGGACGGCAATGACCGCTGATGGCAAGGCAATCCATGACACACAGTCACTAGGGCATCGTCAACATGGCGCTGAGGCTGGATCGATAAAATCAACCTTTAGGCTGCCGCGGGGTTGACAACGAGGCCGCTGTCTCGAAGCTAGTCAGTCAGCCTGGTCACCGCCATTGACGAACCAGTCGCCACCGCCAGCAGTGGCGGTAGGTTGTGACAAGTGTGGTGCAATATTGTCAGCAAATTCAGTACTCAGGATAAGATGAGTGACAAAGGGAACGTTGTGTTTGATAATATTGAAGTGAACAGGGATGATCACAAACCCTGCGCGTACTCCACCGCGAGTTACAAGAAAATTCCGGACTGGACGACGAGCAAACACCAACCTGCTACATCCAACCAGGCAGATACTTTTACGATAGCTGCCAAACCAGGTCAATGCCGACCTACTGCATAATGTCAATGTCAAACAGATCCTGCAGGAGAAGACTGGGGTGTTGGCGTCCAGTCACTGAGTGTACGGACACCAGTCACATTTCCTGCGTCTTTTGCAGCATACAGGATAGACTCATCACTGTAAAGTCCACTACTTCGTGATTTTTATTTGTAGAATACATGACAGGCGTATTCAGTGTGCCTCGCAGGACTGCGAGATGCTGCAGAAGACCAGGTTCGACCTTTCTGGACCGCCATTCACCGACGGTGGGCTACACGATGCTGGAGGAACTAGATTCCAGTGAAAACCCAAGATTCCTTTGCTCCTGGACGCTCCGACGTGTTGTGATATCTGCCAGGTGCGCAGTAACTAGTATTTTCATCGCTATAGCGAGGACGACGCCGATCGGCAAACTCTCGCTCACAGCCATCACCAGCCTCTCAAAACCATCACTTGGCATCCTCCAGAGGTATAGGAGAAAGCCAAAACAGCTCTCAACAAACAAAAGCTAAGGACGATGGAAAGAGAGCATGTCAAAAAGAAGACGAACAGTATGAAGTTCAAATGGTTTTGAACACTCGTACCACCAACTATACCACTTTCAATAAATCGTGACGCCATTTTGTTTTAACATGAATATCGCGGATTCCGCCATGCATTTTCTCTGCCTGCATTATCATGATTATCCACCAAGGGCTAATGTATGACCGACCTGATCAGTGCTACAGTATACCATGGTATACACGTGTAGTTGATCTACACAATCACTTCTGTTATCATTTTGAGCACCGTCTCACTCTGATGAGTGTTCTTGGACACGAAACTCGGAGTGAAGGAAGCACGTTGCAGTCTCTGTTGGTTTCTCTTTTGTGTGGTCTGTCTATCTGGGCAGGATTTTCTGTGAGGTATGCTCTTCCCCATCTTGCAATGGACATAGAGCGTTATTTGCAGGATGCAAGAACCCTTGACACTTTGTCTAGCCCTCTTACCATGCTTACTGGCCGTAGATGGTACGCATAGCTGCATAGACCAAAAACCACCACCACCAGGCTGCAGTGCATTGCTCTGCGTGGGATCCACCAAAATTATAATTTCACGGCCAGGAAATCCGTTTGAACGACAATGTAGACCTGTTTCCTCTGTGATATCGCCGTCATCCGCTACAGTCTTCATCAGATCAGAATGGAACCTGCTACTTGCAATTTGGAGTACACCTCGCTGGCATGTTTTATAGAGGTTGAACGAAGACATGGTGGAATAGCCGCCAGTGCCTTCACGAGCGCTACCACTACGTGAGTGCTGCAGCCGCTATCGCTATTTCAGTTTCAAAGTCTTATCCTTTCGCCTTTATTTCATTGAGCTTAGTTCCCGTTTATTGTGCGAATTAAAATAAGCCAAACCAAGCAACCAACCAAGTCACTTAGTAGTAGTAGTAGTAGTAGTAGTAGTAGTAGTAGTAGAAGTTTTTATTATTTTACTAGGGGAGTCCCAACAGGCTACTGCCTTTTTACTGGGAACCCTAGGTAAAGTTTAACTTGAAGTGAGAAAGTTGTGCTTGTCTAGTTATCGCGCTTATAACTACGGATCACCATTGGACAGTCACACCCCTGGCCTGAGGCTAGGTGGCAGGTGGCTCGCTGCATAATGCTAATCATCAGTCTATGGAGTACCGTTCTTTGGGGGAAGAGTAACCGTTTGGCAAGGCTTGGTGGTGCATTGTATCTGTATACGCCATGCAACTTGACCAAGCGCTTGTAGGGGTTGTGTACTCTTGTAAGTTATAATCATGATACTAATACGCCAAGATCTTAAGAGCTGGCTGCTCAGTGCTCAATCTCCGGACTATTACCATGATTACACGGCTTGAAGCTTGAACCTGACTCAATACTACTGAGGTCTGTATTATATACATGTACCTACATGTACTGCAATATGAAGAAGAGGTTGGTGCGACTTCGGCGATGCTTGGGCCTGTTGGGGTGTGTTGGTCACTACATGGGAGCTCGCACTTTTCCTGCCGACTTGAAATCTCACTTGACTGGCTCGCGACTTCCACCCAGAGCCGCGAGAAGTCCATCGAACCGTCCACTCACCAAACCTGCAGGAAAGCACCACTCCCTGCTCACACAGTGTTTCGGGGAATTCCCCCTCCCTTTCATTTTCTTTTACTACTGAAGTAGTAGTAGTACCAAGAGTACATAACCCCCCGGGTTATGTACTCTTGGTAGTACCCAGTCCCTTATGTTATTATTATTTTCTTGTCATTCGCTTTCTTGTTATTGGGCAACCTGCCCGTTAGAATCTGCGAAGTAAAAATAAACAACAACAACAACAACAACAACAACGTGAGAATAAATAATTCAAATTCAAAAAACAACAACAACAACAACAACAACAACAACAACAACAACAACAACAACTTCTCTTATTGGCCACAGGCCATCGTGAGAATAAAAGATTTCAAACAACAACAACAACAACAACAACAACAACAACAACAACAACAACAACAACAACAACAGCAGCAGCAGCAGCAGCAGCAGCAGCAGCAACAACAACAACAACAACAGCAACAACAACAACAACAGCAACAACAACAACAATAACAACATCCCTTATTGGCCACTGGCTATCGTGACAATAAAGATTTGAAACAACAACAACAACGACAACAATGACAACGACAACAACAACGACGACAACAACAACAACAACAACCACACCAACAACAACCGAACAACAACAACCTCTCATCAGTTGAGCCGCTTGTTGTTGAGTAGGTAGGCTGAGGAACACAGATTGACTGGCTGCATGAATGATAATGATATTCGATATACTAGTGAGGTTTTGCATTCCGAATTTCGGTTCGGCGTTCTTCGGTCATTTGTCGAACATCAAAATGCCGAATTTTCGCACCAACGTTTGTTTTGCAAGTCGAAAGTGATGTGTTTTCATTTCGTGAGCCCCAGCATCAGCAATGTCCTGTCCCGTGCTCCTTTCCTTGCTGATTCCAACGAACTTTGATCGCCCAAAGAGTCGAGGGCCAAACCTGCCTCCCCAGTCGCCTCAGAAAAGCCAACTCCATGGCCAAGTCAAATTTTATGCGTATCGCCATAGTCTTTTCAGCCACACAGATGACGGTGAGGACACTCCAGGCGAAAGAGAGTAGACAGGCAGTGGAGAGAAGCAATCAGAGGTAGCTGACGATACTGATGTCGCCAAAGACGGCGGCGAAGCGATGCCGAGATAAGAAACCTCTTTGAATAAATCACGCGCTAGCGCTCTTCTACAAGAAACTTCATCCGAAAAATATTTTCGGCAAAGTGAGCTTTTTCCGAACAACCATGCCGAATCTTCGTGTGCATTTTCGACCTCGCTCCCGCGTGCCGAATCTTTTTGCCGAATTTCGGAATGCAAAACCTCACTATTAGGCCAAGTAAAAAAAAAAGCTAGATGATCGTCCCCGTCCGCCCCAGTTTTTGTCAGCGCCCCAAGAAATATTTTATTTTTTAAATCGTGAGTTTTTGCCGAAATCGTTGGTTTTTTACCGATCGCGGATGCAGGAAACATGTGCACGCTTTGTTTAATACTTTCTTTACTATATGGACCACATACTACTAGTATATCACAACGTCAGTATCGATCTGCTGAAGAAAGAAAAAGAAAAAAAGAAAAAAAAAGAAAAAAAGAGAAAAAAAACCTTGATGTTGTTGTGTACACTGTGTGCATGAGAGGGTAAAAAGTAAAAAAATAAAAATAAAATCCTCCCGCCCTCCCCGATTTTTCCAAAAAAAAGGACGATCATCTAGTAATTTTTTTTACTCGGCCTTAAGGACGTTTATAGGCCATTCACACGACGTGTAAACATTTGCACATGTGTGACCAAGATAACACTGGCAAACCGTGATCCAGTTCACACGGTGCTGGGCAAACTTTGCAACCGTCAATGTATCCATAGTGACCTCCTGAAAATGCCGGGAAATGTTCAATTTTGAATTTTCCCTTGTTCAAGCACTGCATTTGCAGTACGCACTTTCAACAACCGACACTTTTCCTGGCGTGCAAAGATAATCGCGAGCAAAAGGGCCTCGGCCAAGATAAAAAATCAGTTGCACGCGGGTGTCCAAGTTTATCGTATCCGAGTAAATATCCTTGGAAACAGTACGATAAAAGTAAGTTTGGCCGTCGTGTGAATGGCCTATTAGCAACGCGAAAGTTCGAAAGAAAATTCGAGTCTGGGAATGAGTACAGAAACAAAGGTCGAAACTTCGAAAACTTGGACGCGAAGTTGCAGTGATTTGCGAAAGTAACTTTCTCTTTTCTCGGTACGCATTTCACTACAGGGAGTAGTAATTTTACAGCCCCCTGCTTGAGACTGTACCATGTATACGGTACGGTACTATAAGATTCAAATAGCTTCGAGAAAAAGTCGTTTCGCATTGCTCACAAGTTTTCTTTTTCGAAATAGATTTTCGCGAAATATCGCCACCACCAAAAGTTCGAATTTTCGCATTGCTAAACGTCCCTATTGAATAGGTATTCCCTACTGAGAATGACATCATGCGTGCGATCAAGTGAAGTAATCATTTTCGTCATCGAAAATTCAAAACCCTAATAATTATTTTTTATATTTTTATGACAGACTAATATAAATCGACGTCGTGTACTGACCTTGTACTTACGTGCATGCGGGTGTCCTCCACATTTCAATCTTCACTTCTCAAAGAACATACCGGACAACTGTGTCGTGTCTTGCCAGCTTGGGGTCATTGTGTGCGTGCAAAAAGAGCCTGTATTCCAGTTTGCACGGGTGGATCTACATGCGCGCTCCTCGATCGTTGTTGACGTGGAGTCGTTGTTGACGTGGAGTCGGTGTTGACGTGGAGGATAAATGAAACAGAGAGCACTGCACTGGATCAGTTCTCGAGTTCTCTACAATAGTTGTTGCAGCTGTCAGTCTGTGGAGCATTGTAGTACGAGCATTGGCTGGAACTGCTCTCGGGTTGTCTGCCTGTGCAGCACCGTGACTCGTTGGGCTGGTACTTGAATACAGACCAGCCTAGCTACCTAGTACACGTACTTTCAGTGCTCCCGGGCAAAAGGCACTGTGGAAAGAGCGTAGCAATTTACCTGAAGTGTCTTTGGCACTATTGTGTCATTGTTGGTGTGTGTGTGTGTGCAAAAAGAGCCTGTGTTCCATTTTTACGCGTGGCTTGGCACCCTCCTAGTCCAGAGCACTGTTTGTAATTTGTGATCGGAATCGTGACCGTCGGACTCAGTGGACTGCGCCGCACCTGACGTTGTCCCGGCACAGCTTCCATGGCTGAGTCAGACCCGCTACCCAGCAGCATGGTGGACCAGCTGGTCGAAGGATTTGGCGACGAGGTCATACTGGCGTTGACGACATTCTTAGTCTTATGCGCAACGGTAATAGCGCTACACGTGTGCAGTAGATTCAGACGGCGAGACATACACCCGGATCACATTGCCCAGGTGAACGAAGCGCGAGAACAGCTGGGTATACCGGTGGATGCCGACCAGATCCATCGTCATGCCGACGACAACGACCCGTGCCCGATCTGCCTGGGGCAGCCGCAGTTCGTCGTGATGACCAACTGCGGGCACGTGTTCTGCGGTGAGTTGTGTTCTCAGTGTGTGCGCTGATATGGTGATGGGAATGTGTACGTGCATGTGTGCTGGTATGGTGATGGGAATGCAGGACTCTAGCCAAATGAGGGTGGGGGGCACAGAGCCCCCCCCCCCCCCCCTCCCCACTCTGATTGCCCTCCCCACTCTGATTGCCCCCCCGGTGAAAAAGTGGTGTCCCTCTACTCATTTGTTGATTTTCGTATTTTTCCATGCCATTCAACGAGAAATGCATGCAGTCGATAGTCACTACTAAGGGTTCATAGAGGCACACTTACTTGTCTGGGGTGAAGTCGGGGGCTCGCCCCGTACGCTGCATTTTGTATGGCATGTGTGCGGGTGTGGCGATGAGAATATGTACCCGCATGAAGAGTACAGAACCCCCAATTCCCAAAAGAGTGTGCAACTGCCTACACAACCTCTATACAGTGCTGGGACGGCAGGACTTCACATCACATGACATGGTTCAAAAGGTTACGCTGGCACTAGCCTGGCAAACAGTACTGCAAAGTGGCCACAAGAGACTTGAATCCACAGCAGGGTTACGTACAACCCTGTGTCTATGATGCATAACTTAGGGTGCGAAAAATGTGTATGGGTTCGTCACCAAGCGCAACTGTGCATGTGGCCATGGGGAGTGAGTACACCTGGGAAGAGAACTGCTGATCTCACCAGGTTGCCAACATTAGGCTGTCATCACACCATGGTACAAAGCGCTGCGTCTACGTCCACGTAAGGAGTTTTTGGTCGGTTGTCATGATGATCCGTATACGGGATGAAAACGGTAGCAGAGGAAACGGGAGACGTAGACGTGGTATGGAGACGGGGGGGGGGTTACGACTTTTTGTATGAACGTGCGTATCTCCTCCAGCCTTTTTCAGAGCGACCCTGCACTTCGATGTACGTGCGTTCAAATTTCTTAAAAAAACGTGACTGCTTGTACGCTTCAAGAACTGTGCCTGTCTGATGACACGACCACCCGCTGTGGTTTTTTCACCATAGACGTAGACGTAAACGGGAGTCGGAGAACATAGTGTGATGACGGCCTAACTGTCAAGTCATTCGAGAATTACAATGCCACTTCTGCGGTGGCGTTAGCAGTAACAAGAGTACATAACCTCCAAGAGTGTGCAACTCCAGCTATTGTAGGGAGTCTGTGACGGCAGAACTTCATATCGCGTGCCGAACCCGTACACATTATTTGCACCCTGTGCATGATACATGTGGATGGAGGGTTGTACGCAACTCTGCTTTGGGTTCAACTCTCTGGTGGTCACTTTACACTGTTTGCCAGTGTAACACTTTGAACCATGTCACGTGATGCGAAGTTCTGCCGTCGAAGCAGTGGTAGAGGTTGAGGCCGTTTCACACTCTTTGGAGATATGTACTCTTGACGGTATCTATCCGATAATCGCTGGGCTTTTCTGGTATTTTCATTCCCCCTGTGTCTCCCTGTCTCTCCGTGTGTGTGTGTGTGTGTCTCCGTCCCTCCCTCCCTCCCTCCCTCTCTCTCTCTCTCTCTCTCTCTCTCTCTCTCTCTCTCTCTCTCTCTCTCTCTCTCTCTCTCTCTCTCTCTCTCTCTCTCTCTCTCTCTCTCTCTCTCTCTCTCTCTCTCTCTCTCTCTCTCTCTCTCTCTCTCTCTCTCTCTCTCTCTCTCTCTCTCTCTCTCCTGTTTGCGTATGCATGTGTTTCTATATGTGTGCAGGGCTGTGCATTCTGGAATACTATGGACGTGCTGCCAATCTGCTGAGGGCAATCCTGTGTCCAGTATGTCGACAGTCGGTGAGTCACTTATCCATTAGTGACACCCTTCCTAGACATTTTGCCAGGACATTGTTCAAACGTTTCATTGCAGTAAGTCAGTCAGGTGTTCTCTATGGTCTACAGCTCCACGTCTGACATCCGCATTAGTCGTGTGTGTTTGTGTATGTGTATGTGTGTATATGCTCTTGCCTGTGCGTGTGTGCGCGCTCGTGTGTGTGTGTGTGCATGCACTTGTGTGTGTGTGTGTGTGTGTGTGTGTGTGTGTGTGTGTGTGTGTGTGTGTGCACGATGTGATGCTGGCATTATTCTTGCCCAGGTATCAATACTCCTTCCTGACTTCACGGAGGCTGACAGGGCACATGACGAAAGAGAAAGGGAAGATATCTTGGGGCGGATTAATGACTACAACAGAAGGTTTTCAGGTGTTCCGAGAACTGTATGTAGTATGCCTGTACTGTTACGTGTATCTGTGCACGCTCGTGTGTGCGTGCGTGTGCCCGTGTGTGTGTGCCCGTGCGTGTGTGTATGTGTGTGTGTGTGTGTGTGTGTGTGTGTGTGTGTGTGTGTGTGTGTGTGTGTGTGTGTGTGTGTGTATGTGGCTTCAGGGTACCAGTGCATCTAGTGTCTGCTTCTATCAAAGTAGCGTGCTGTCTATACTGGTTACCCCAGCAAGTGTAGGGTGTGCATCGGTAACTGTCTTGGCCGTTTTATGCCCATGTACTCCGTGTGGTGTTGACCAGGTGTGCATTGGTGGTCAATTCATATGGCTTCGCCAGTTGTGTGGATTAGACAGTTATCTGGCGCAAGTCTTGATCTGTCTCATTCAGATCTTGTTCGCTATCGTTGCTATAAGAGAAAATCTGTGGGTGCACACCCAGTGCATTTGCAGATTTGCGTGCTTCTCTTGCGACGGGCATATACATGGTACATGGTGTGTGCGCTTGTGTGTGTGTGTGTGTGTGTGTGTGTGTCCATCTTGATCAATACCCACACACAAAAGCGACCAGGATGCTCGGGTAATGAAGCAAACACTACAGTATCTTCAAATTCAAACTTTAAATTCTACATTGGTGCGGTCTTCACAGGTATTACAGGTGGGCGGAGCAGTACAGTAATGGCTCTTTACCAAAACATAGAAATTAAAGTTCGATGGACTTCTTGTGTGCTCTGGATGGCAGTCGTGAGTCAGTCAAGTGTAAAGTCAAGGCGGCGGAAAGCGCGAGCTCCAGCGTGGGAGCAAACCCTTTACATAGAAATTGAAAACAAACGTGGGCGCACCAGACACATGCATGTAAGGAGTCAGCATTCCGTGATGGTATGCGCCGCGGCGGTAAAAGAAACCGTATTGTGCTCGTCACAAATCTGCACGTACGAAGCACGGCGCTTATTTCCAGATGGCGCTAATTTACGTAAACCGTGCCCGAAATGTCAAAGCGTCTTGGCGGGATTTATGGCTGATGAACCCTCAATCTTAATTTGTTTTAGCCCACGCGTGTTTTCTTCCATGTTTCTCGTCACCCGCGCGCATACGATACAGGAGTCTGGAAGAAAAGAAGAGAAAAAAACCCTGCACTGTGATTGCCAGCACATGCACAAGTGCACCCTAGCCTGGCCTGCGCGGCACCTGATGCGAGGTCGCTGCATTCAGTTTTCGTTGCGCAGTCTAGCTGCATGTGCACAGAAGCTCCTACCACATACTAGTTGCTAACTTTGGATGCTATTTTACACGGTGTATTGGTCGATTTTAGTACAGAATGTATGACCAAAGGTCTAGTAAACTTTTATTTTATTTTTCGGTCATTATTTATTTTTTCCACCTCTCGCATACGATTTTAGATTTTCGGGTGACGAGAAACATAGAAATAAAACCTTATATACACAACGATGGATGCTACCTACCCATAGTTCAGCTCTTATTATTGTGCATGGCATATTCTAGTTGTGGACATGAACATGGAGTGTTTTGCTCCGGCTTTCGTAACAGCAGAGCATGCTCGTGTGGGGTCCTGTAAGTCTACAGATGTTTGGCGCATTAAAATGTCAGCCTGTACTTCTGCTGCCTGTATACACTGAACCTTGCAAAACAAATTTTCGCATGCAGCAAATTTTTGGCCAAACGTGCCCAGGCCAAAACAGGCGAAAATAAGTATGCGACGAATATTTGTTGACTTTAAAACAGTAGTGCCTTTGCTGTTTACGCTAACGCCATGCGTAGCCGAGTGGCTTGTTGATTTGAGTTACGCTAACGCCATGCGTAGCCGAGTGGCTTGTTGGTTTGAGGTACGCTCAAACCTGGGTTTTTTTTAGTTTCTGCCTTCGGAAAAAAGATTCCATTTCTCCCAGAATTTGCCTGGCTTCTACCGGGTTTGGTCTTGTTTCTCTAACCTACACTTGAAAAAAAGTTGCATGCTCATGGGAAAAGTGCGAAATGCCAAAAATATTGACTGGTGCTATCGGTCCAATTAGATTCTGTCGCAATGGTCCGCCCTCCTTGGTGACATCTGCTATTGCAAGTTTCTTTGTGCTCTTGTTTCCTGTTTGCCTTTCTTTCTTCCTCAGGCATGGGAGTACATTGCAGACGCTCCGGCACTATTGTCCTACCTTTGGCATCAGTTATGGACCGGGCATTACCTGCTGTTGATGTTTCGTGTCCGCGTCCTTCTCTCGATTGTGGTGATGTTGGTGTACCTGCTCTCGCCTCTGGATATCATCCCGGAGGCCGTCTTTGGCTTGTTCGGCCTGCTCGACGATCTCGTCCTGGTAGTCTTTGTCATCATGTACCTGACGGTTCTCACACGCGTGTTTGTGGTGGCGCGTGCTCGTGGCGGTGTTGAGGAATAGCTATATAGACTTCAGTGGGCATTGCAATCCCTTGTGCCAGTTCATTGAGTATCACCCCGGCTTATGCCAGTTCATCGGGTACCACCCTCGCTTGTGCCAGCTCATCGAGTATCACACTCGCGTGTGTCAGTTCATCGAGTATCACACTGGCTTGTGCCAGGTCATCGGGTACCACCCTCGCTTGCGCAAGCTCGTCCAGCATCACCTTCGTTTGCGTCAGTTTGTCGAGCCTGCTGCATGTGATAGCAGGCGGGTTGTGTTCTCCCTATCCTGAATTTCTGGCCGACGCCCGGGGACAGGATCTCCGGCTGACAGTTCAACTATGAGTGTGTGGCTGCTATGCTGTAGAGACAGCCATGCTTGCTACTGCACTCTGCCATATGATGAGCATCTACACGAAGAATCTGGTTTACTATTTGAAAAGCGTTGAATTCTGCCGTGTGATTAGCAGCTAAATAAGGAATCTGGTTTACTATTCGAATAGCGGCTTTGATAGGCCGCACCACCAGAGAAGAACCCGGCTCGTGAGCGAAATGCCAATGACTATGTTGCCGGGTATGTGTGCTGGTGGTGTACGGGCATTCCCAGCGCTACGCTTGAGGAGGAACTCCCATGTGGTGATGGTGATTATGGCAGCGCCTTCTCGACTGTGCTTGACCGTTTACGCAGCGTTTCGAGTGATATTGTAGTGCTTCTGCTACGTAACTCGTTGCGATGGCCTCTTGCGCTGGAATTGACATCATCGCCAAGTGCCCCACACACGTGTCGTACTATACACTCTGAGTGGATGCATCCATCTTGTACTCTTTTGAACAATTTTTTTATTAACGTGGTTACGGTATTTTTAGTTTCCTAACTGCCGCAAGACACCACCTTAGTCCATTGATGCGCTGTAGTCGTAAGACCTCAGTGTAATTTCTTGCTTTTGAGTCCGGGGTGCTCTCCCCCTTTTTATTTTAAAGTATTTGTACCCTTTCTCCCGATTTAGGCTATGCTCAGTGAGTCGCATTGGTGCTACGTTGCGATGGCCTCTTGCCCTGGAATTGACATCATCGCCAAGTGCCCCACACACGTGTTGTACCATACACTTTTAGTGGATCCATCCATCTTGTACTCTTTTGAACGATTTTTTTATTAACCTGGTTTTGGTATTTTCAGTTTCCCAACTCTTTCATGTCTGCTTCGGGCCGCAGACATCGCCTTAGTCCATTGATGCGCCCTAGTCGTAAGACCTCAAGTGTAATTTCCTGCTGGTGAGTCAGGGGCGCTGACAGTCCCTCTCTTTATTATAAAGTATTTGTACCCTGTCTCCCGATTTAGGCTATGCTCAGTGAATCGCATTGATGACTCTGTGCTCGTGTTGGTGCTACATGTTGTCCCCTTGGAAAATCGCGATTCCGCGGCCGCGACAAATTCCGCGATTTTCGTGGGTTTCTGCGAATCTAGCATTTCCGCGGAAAACGTGCAATTTTCTTCATTTTGCCTCCATTGTCAGTGAATCCGTGAGCCCATGCCATGGTCCACCCTGGCCCTGTACAGACTTTCATGCATGGTGTGTTCTTAGCTATCAGGCGCGTGCGCCGGTGCCCTCCCGCGGGGAAAAATATTCAAAAAATGAAGCAAAATCCTGCATTTTAAGCGAAAAAGGGGGGATTCCGGGCACCCAGGAACCCATAGGCCATACGGGGCACGCACCTGGGCTATGTGTACTTGGTGTATGCGAAGCGCGTGGCTGTGAACTTTGGTTGCCAGGGCCGAACTTTGACATTGCGCTGTTCTTCTCGCTTCGAAATTCCTTGCTAGTTCCTCCGTTCACGTTTTTGTGGTTCATAACTATCGTTGCAAGATACTGCAGTTTCTGCAGATTAAATCTGGCCCATATTTTTCACGCTTTTCGCCCGCAAATTTCTGATTTTTCCCGCGATTTTCCAGGGGGGCAGTACAATCATGTACATTATAGTCCATCTTACCCCTGAGCCGTGATAGGTATCGGCAGCTCGTTTATCAGTGCAGTTAGGTTCTATTTATTTATTTATTTTTTTATCCTGCTGCTACCTTATGACACACATGACGCCCTTACGATCGTACGACCAAATCATGGTTATGGATTGTACATATCGTAAAGTCTTGTATAAAAGCCGCGGCTTCTATGACTTTCTTGGTGAAATTTGCAGGCTTCTATACAAGACAGGTATTTCTATGTATATCAAATTGTCAACACAAAACCAGGCTTATGTGTGATTTGATCGGCCCAAAATTGCGGCTTCTATTCAAGTGCGGCTTTTATACAAGACTTTACGGTACATACATACCCTGAGTCTACATGTAGTGACGTTCCAATTCTAAACCCCTTTTTCATAAATGTGTACTGTTCGGATTTAGCATGCCGCTTGTCAGCAGGGAGCAGTAAAATACCGGAATTTTAGTACGCCCTGCTGACAAGTGGCAAAATGTGTGCTGGCCTGCATTGAACGGAAGCGAATATCATGTATTAAGACTGTTGTTGGCAGTCGGCAAAACTTTTAACGCCTGCAACAGTCTCAACACACACCGTTTGCTTACGTGGATTTTGCTCCTGGGCCGGCCATTCCCGCGACCCTTGGCCCGTGCATGGGGCATGCTGGATTGACATCATCATTCATGCATCACCACTGACCAAATTTGTTCAGTCCTGCTGTTTTGTAGTCAATTTGGTTCTTCAATGAGACAGACAGACTGATAGAGAGAGAGCCAAGGAGAGTACTCATTGTTGCTCTGCTGCCATCAATTCACCTTCTTGCTGATGTAATCATCTTGCATTGAGCCGCACATGTACATTGTAATGTGGGTACTGGCGCGTGCGCCGGTGCCTTTCGAGGGGGGGGGGGTTCGGTGGGCTTCCCCCCGGAAAAATTTCAAAAAATGAAGCAAAATCCTGCATTTTGAGCGAAAAAAAGGGGGGTTCCGGGCACCCAGAAACCCATACGGCGCACGTGCCTGGGGTACCCTGGGCTGCGCCCGTGTTGAGGCGTTAACCGGTATGTGTATTGCGGTAGAGCCGCGCGCCAAAGAACGTAGAGTCCAAGAACGTTCAGCCTGAAATACTGAGAATGCCACATCAGAACGCCAGTGATGGTGTGCATATATGTACAGTCATGCTCAGTGAAATCCGACCCAGAGTGCATAATGTGGTGCCCTCAACTAGCACCACCCTGGGAGTGGCACGAATGCGGCTGGACGTACTACACATGCTGGGATGACGACTACACCATAGTTCAGTGGTTAGAGCATCGCTGGCTACAAGCAAGGGTCCCTGGTTCGAGTCCTGGTGGCGACAGTCAATTTTTTCTTCAGACTTTTCCAGTTTGTGTTTTTCCCTCATACTAGTCAAGACGTACACATGTAGAGATACAGTGATGCAGTCAGAACTGGTCCAGGGCAACAGCTCTGCACGTTGGGTCGGATTTCACTGAGCGCAACTATTGTAGTGAGTGCCTACGATCCAGTACGAACAATTTATAGAAAAGAAAGGGTTTGCTCCCCACACCGGAGCTCGCGCTACCCTTTCTTACAAATAATCGCCGAAGTCGCAACCACTACTTCGTTAATTTATAGAAACTTTATAAAATAATTGCAGCCAAGTCGCTCGAAGATAGGAACGTCCCAGGCTGGCCTCTTGGAAAAGACGTTCTTAGGCATGCAACGGCTGTATACATGTAGCAATAGTATATAGCCCCAAGAGTGTGTAACTCTGGTCTCAATGGCTGCTCAGAAAAGCGGACTTGGAAGTGGGAAACCGGAGCAAATCTATGACGTAATGCTGATTCACAAATCCGTGGCTATGTAATGACAATTTGTGGGGAGAGCGACACGCCAGGCCCCACGTGCAGAGTTGCACACTCTTGGGGTTATCTTCAGGTATGTGTATGCGTGCGTGCGAGAGCACGCGTGTCTGCATGTGTGTGTGTGTGTGTGTGTGCATGTGTGTGTGTGTGTGCCGCATGTGCGTGCTGTCCAATTTAATCTATCACCTAGTGGACACTACTACATGAGGGTACTACTAGAACTAATGCACTGGCGGGACTCAACTAGGTATTCCTACACTGCTGCAGCTGACAGCTAGCTTCAGACGAACCACTGCTGCTCTAGAGCAAAACGGATTTTTTCGAACCCTTCTGGTTGTTTCCGGAACTGCGAGTACATGTACCTGTACATGCGGGAATTCATCACCGTACAAGGACTTAGCCTTGGGTATGGAACGAAAGTTCAAGGCAGAGTCTGAGAGAATCCATCCGTGATCACACTTCACAGACTTCGAAAGACTTCGGTGGTGTAAAACTCGAATTGACCACGCGAACAACAGTTGCTTGTTCAACCGACTGCATGTACCACAGCTTCAAACCAGTGAGCCACGAAAGTACAACCAAGACTGGCAAGAGCTCACACACGACTGTAACATAGACAAAGTACTTCATAAAACGTTTTCAATGGGTCCTGACTCCTGATGGCATGCATGATGATCCTTGCGAGCCTTGCATGCTCCAAGTCCAAAGCAAAGAAGTGCCAACACAAGCACAAAATCAAGTCCGTGACGTAAACGAAAGGGTGTGCAAAACCAGTGAGCTCTGAGCTGATCGGGAATCGTACAAACTCTGCACAGACTGAAAATTTTCCAGTCTGCGCATGCGCAAAATGGGGAAGTTTCGAAATCTGCATGACTTGGAGGTTGGCGGCTTGTGCGTTGTGACGTTGCGTAGCTTGGGAAGACCAATGCAAAGCACAGTGTTTGCTTTGTCACTGAGTTTGTGAGCAAGGAGAAACAATCGTAGAGACAGCTTTGTTTTGGACCTTCGAGTATTCACTGGATTCGGCTTACTGGAGTTCCTGAGCCCTTTGTGGCATGGCTTCAACCTGGGGAGGTAGGTTTACTGGTTCCGATCGATGGGATTAAAGCTGCACTGCTGCCGCCTTTGCCCGAGGAATGGATGATCCGGTTTTCTTGGACTCAGCTACATATGACATCTGCTCGGTATGTGATGGCTGTTTCCTACACAGATGGCCCTAACCGGCAACATCTTTCGGCCCAGGCAATGGACGAGAAGCGCAAGGAGAACGTGGCTTATCAGTACCTTTGCCATTTGGAGGAGGCTCGTATGTAAGTTGCCGTAGATCGGAGAAAACGAATATTTGGACTGTTCCTCTCGGCTTTGCGGGAAATGTCTGGCTCGTACGATTGGGCTACACCGAATATGAGGACACTCAGAATGTCTTCAGCTTTGCGTTTACCCTATTTGGAGGTTTGAACGGCCGGGGAAAGCGATAGGTTTCCTGAGTGCATTCTTGAGTATTTTTACTGACTTTCGGCTTTGTAAAGTTGAGCAATAGACTTCCCTTTCGTTGAGTTGCTCCAGTTGCAACGCTGTGAAAGTAATTATTAGTTTCATCCGCATTCGTAGTGTTCGGGGTGCGCGCTGTTCTTAGGTTGGTGCCGAATTTACAAGGCTTTTAGAGCACATTTCTCACCGAACTTGTTGAAAATAGAAGTTGCGAACTGTTGCAAACTAAAGTTCACTCTCGGCGTTCAAAACTTCGTCGACATGACACTGGGGTAAACGGGTCGGGGTAAATGGGTCAGGGCTAGAATCGGCATGACTTCTTGTTTAGCGCGTTGCGTGTGTTAGGTTTTACACCGTTTGCAAACGTACTCCCATCACTTCCGTTTTGGTCTCATTCGCCATGGGTGGGCAGCATATAGGGACTCATGACTTGCGTCCAGCCACTCTGCATTGATTGTGATTTGAAGGGCGCCTGTTTGGAGTTCACCTGGGAACACAAATGAACCGGAGCGATGGACATGACCGCCGGAAGCAGTTTTTGATTGGTCCAGTAGTATCATGGCCGTTCATACGGTGTGTACGACATGGCGGATACGCGTTAACTCTACAGTAGGACACATGTGTTGGTGACCGAAAAGTTGGTCCGGTAATAATAACCTGACCTTGGGCTGGTTCCGGCGGGCCTGATGGAAGAATGGAGGCAGGAAAATGTACCATGGGCCAAGCGCTACATGCGCTCGTGTCCATGTAACTTTGCCGACTGGAATGCTAAACACACTCGCTTTTGGTGACACCATGAGGTAGTCCTAAGTGCAAGAACTGGGTAGCTAGTTTCCAATTCTGTGGTATGTTGTTGGCAGGAAATTCTGCTTCCCCGACGCTCGTCAAAGCAGTCTCTGCACCCCCAAGTTAATGTTGTGCTCATGCTGGCTTTCTTTCCCTATGACTTGGCATAACATCTAAGGTGGAACAGAATTCTTATTGTAACTCAAGAGTTTTGCGCTTGCAGGAACATCGGGCAAAATCAATAATTTTCGCCTGATGTTCGTGCAAACGTGAAAGCGTGCAATAGAAATTCGGTTCCGCCTTGTAAAGAAGTTCCACCCTTCTGGGCATTGAGCACTTTGTGCACAGAGTGGACGTAACCAACTTTGTACGACATGCAATTATCCGACCTGCAGGTGGATATCCCGTTGCCTCGGTGAAGAATTGCCTGCCGCTATTGAGCTTGAGGCAGCCCTGACGAACGGAGTCATTCTCGCCAAGCTCACTCACTTCTTCGCTCCAGATGTCGTGAAGAAGAGCAAGATCTATGATCCAGATCTGGAAAGGTTCAACGTAAGTGCTGGTTTGGCCACTCGGAATTGTTGGTTGGCAGGGAGGCCCAGAGTTAGAAAGAATCCTGCCGTAGTTGCCTATTCCTGACACACTGGCACGAGTGTCACCATGTATTCGAAGTAGTTTTCTGTGCTTGTCAGGCGCGTCTCAGTGTCCTGTGTGTTCATGTCTTCTCTAGACTAGTGGCCGGTGCTTGTTGTCCATGGCAACTCATTGGGAATAATGTTGCCTTTTTTGAACAACTACTATTTTCCACTTCTTGTTTCTACAGGCCACGGGTTTGCACTTCAAACACACGGACAACATCAACTACTGGTTGACCGGCATCAAGAAGGTCGGCTTGCCCGCCGTCTTCTACCCGACAACAACAGATATTTACGACCGCAAGAACATCCCCAAGACGATCTACTGCCTGCACGCACTTAGCGTGTACCTGCATCGCTTGGGCAAAGCTCCTCTCATCCAGGATTTGGTCGGAGAGGTGGACTTCTCCCGTAAGTCGTGGTGACGTAGGGATTTACCGTATTCCGTACTATGCCATTTCGCCGGGAGGCGAGTGTTCGGGATACACGGGCATGTCTTTCAATATGAGTACTCGCGTCCTCTAAATACACTCTTGGGTCTAGATTCTGTTTTCATGCCTTTATATGTGGAGGGGCCCTTGTAAGTGCGCGCTCTTTTATGCGCGTGATTACGGTATCGACTTTTGAATATTTGCAAGTGTGTGACTTTGCGCTGACTTTGTCCCTCGTCAGCCAATGGTGCATGTCAGCAAGCGCATAGTACCCGTATACATGTGCGGCATGCTGAGTCACAATATTATGATGTGTGCTTGATCTACAATCTATGTGTGTGTGTGTGCATGCGATGATTCTACATAGAGCATGCGCACTCTTGGTGTCGCTCTCTTTTGCTTCTGGTCTAACTAGTCATGTAAAGAAACCGGAGTGTCTTGCTGTGCCTGGTGCTTGAGACCATGCATGTCGAGTGTGAATAGAGTCCCGGGGACATAACAGTACCGCACCCATCCATCATCCGTTGATTCGTTGTTTCCCGGTGTGTGTTTCTTTGTGTGCGTGTTTGCGTGTGTGTTATGACTCACAGAGGAGGACATCAACAACATGCAGCGGGAGCTGGACGAGCAAGGCATTCAGATGCCCGCCTTCGGCAAGATTGCATCTCACTGCGATCAGTATGGTATGTGGTCAACTATGTCCACGTGGACAGTGTGTTTCTGACAACTCACCTTTTTTGTTGACAGTTGTTTCTGGCTGGGAATTGAATTCGAGCAACTGGGTTCAGATTGTATTCAATTTTCGATAATTTGTTAGGGCTCTTTCGTACCCCAACCTCGACATGCACCCAAGCACTGATATGGATTTTCCAATAGGAAGCTGCTTTACCTTGCTTTGTTCTGTTTACGTATACTGGTCCTTCCCAATGTACTGGCATATTTGAACCCCTGAATTTCCCCTATATTCAAGTACAGCGTACCCTGTGTTTAGCATCCACTGATAAGAGACCACCTGTCTTTTGTGACCACTCATTTCAGTACCCCATACTATGTTTCTACGTACGTTCGAACCTGTGTTGAAAGACCACCTGTCAATAAGCAATGCTAATGCCTGTGCTCCACGGGGTGGTCGGTAAACACAGGTTCTGTACTGTAAAACGGCTAAGTTTAGCGAAGGTGAAATTGTAGCGATTTCAGCTGAAGGAAGGTGTGTTAGTCGCCAATCGACAATTCGCATTTTGCATGCAGTATTTATGCACTCCTTTTGCCATACAACACCGATTGCTGAAAAATCACTTACAAATCCGTACCGGTTTATAAATCGCTAAGGTTTTGACCAGTCCAAATTAGCCGTTTTGCAGTATTTGTTTTTGGAGATCCGAACTGACTGTGAGCACTGTACTCACTGTGCAGACCGGGTTAATGGAATAGAAAAAAATAATCAAGCCTGCATTCGCACTGGGAACAAGATAGCCACAGGTACACGACCACCTTCCCCCGAGCACTTGTATCGCACTTTGTCCTTGTGTTAGTCTGCCTGTGATTGCAGCAGCCTCCTTCTCCTCTCCTCTCTCAATTCATCTCTCTCTCTCTCTCTCTCTCTCTCTCTCTCTCTCTCTCTCTCCCCTATTGCAACTCAATTCTCTCTCTCTTTTCTTCCTCTCTTTCTACTTCTAACTCCACAACCCTCATCCTCTCTCTAATATTCCAGTTTGTGGAAAGGTGCCCGTGTTTTGTTTTGGCTAGACACAGGTATTGCCCTGGCTAATTCGATAGTTTTCTGCCGTTGCCTACTTTCTTTGCAGTCGAGAAGATCCTCGAAAGCATTGAGTCCGCTGTCGCTTCGAATGACCAAGGCAAGCTGATGGTGTCCCTTAACGATCCCATCTTTTCGCTTGCTGAAGTTAAGCAAGAACACGCGGCATGCTACATGTCATCTCTGAAGAAAGTCGAGCCCGTAAGCCATATCAGGGTCCACCAGTTGTGTGTGTGCGCATGTGAAAGTTCGAGTGTGAGCCAGTGTGTGAGCGTGCGAATTTAGGTGGTAAATGTATCCACTGCTGGCCTTTCCCATGTATGTCTGACCAGAATTGACGTGGATCATCATCAGTGATGTTTGTTTGTGTAACATATAGAACCGGTCGTTGTTTTGCTTTTCCACCTGCAGCCTTTCACAGTTGAAGCTATCGTGCAAGCAATTGCGGAAGGCAACATGTCTGAGGACGAGGCTCAACACAGTAAGTCTTGAGGTCACCCTCTTCGTGTTTCCTTCTTGTTGAATTTATACAGTGACATGTCTTCAGCTACAAAACATACTGAGGCTTGAGGGTTCTTGTTGTCAGTTGACCAGGAATATCTCTCGAATCCCAGGGCGTATCAATGCACCGCTCCCCTTACCGCGATGGGAAAACTTGCCTGCCGCACTTCGGTGGGCTGCGTGCGCTCTTGCACCTACACCCTTGCGCTCGCTCACATGTGCAGAGTTCATGATTGTATCACTCGTTGCTGGAATAAACTCTTCAGTTGTCATCTCATGCTATTATGATGTGCTTTTCCTTGTTCACAGTGCAAGAGGTATTCAGCAACCTTGCAACCGCTTTGGCTTCTGGAGACGGCGCTGCGCTGCTGGAGCTAATGAAGGACAAGGCTTTTGAGTCTGCCAATGTCATCGAGGAGAACGTCGACTTCTACCTGAAGACACTTGCAGGCAACGATGCTGTGAGTTTCTTATTTTTGTTGCTTGAACACCACATTGGAACCCAGGGAAATGCGTAGTTGCGCACGCACCCGGAGGGGCCTTGCAGCCGTATGTATCCCTGCATTACAAAATGCAACAATTTCTGGTCAGGGTTCAGGAAATATCCAGGACTACACCAATGCCTGTATTATTTCCTGGATTTATCCACCTCCAATAGCCAAAAATGGGACATCTTGTACACATACCATTTTTTGTAGGAACTCTCTGCACATTATGTACTTGATGTGTTGGGGCGCCAGCCCTGACTGTTCCACTAGATTTCAATGTCCACGACTGCAATACCTTTTTTTGTGTAAAAGCTTGGCTCGACATGAGGTCAGATTCTTGTCACATTCTTGCAATGCTCATCCATCTGATCCCAGAATAGTTATCCTGCTCACTAGCAGTGCATGTCTGTAGTGGTAGTACATTTTGAAAGAGAGTTCATTGTTGCTTTTTGGATGTAGCAGTCATAATACTAATGATTTATGATACATTAGTCTGCTGATCTAGTTCTCGTTCCTTGACGATTGATAGTTGTCCGGCACTGATGCATGTCTTGTGTGTGTTTTGGATTGTTTGCCCGCAGGCCTCTCTGACAGTGGACCTCGTTGTCGGCGGTGTCCGTGATGGTAACCATTCCGCTAAGGAATTCAAGCGCAGTAAGTGATTTTCAGTGGTCTCTTGTGTTGTGTTTGCTGCACTTGTAGTAGTTGTGCCTGTAGAATACTGGACAGTCTTCTTTTGACGTCGGCTACTCTAAAAGCCATATATCTAACGAAGTGCTAACTCTAACGAGTTAACGAGGAGAAATCTGTCGTTAAAATAGAAATCGTTATACCGAAATCGATACATATACTGTCCTATTGAGCGTTGAGAATGAGTGAGAATCGTTACCTTTGGTACACGTTAACTAGTCAATTTTGGGAAATCGTTATATATGCGCCTCGTTAGAATAATGGCTTTTACAGTACGTACAGGCATTGTATGTGTTGTGAATGCCATTGTCAGTGAAGTCCGAGTCCGCTTGGGTCAAGGGAATACAGGCATTGTATGTGTTGTGAATGCCATTGTCAGTGAAGCCCGAGTACGCTTGGGTCTAGGGAATACAGGCATTGTATGTGTTGTGAATGCCATTGTCAGAGAAGTCCGAGTACGCTTGGGTCTAGAGAGTACAGGCATTGTATGTATTGTGCTGCCCACTGTCAACAGAGTTCAGAAAACTTCACTCTTCACTGTGCCTCCGTTTTTTTCAGTGCAAGCTATGCTTGCAGACGTAACGGATGCCCTCGCGAGTGGAGACGAGGAGAAGCTCATCGCAGCACTGAAGGACTCAGCGTTCGCTGCTGCTGATGTGCAGGGCGAGAATGCCAGTTACTACATCACTGCACTGAAGACCGCCGAGGTAAGTTTATTTTCATGTCATCAAGAATAGTGTGATAACACCAGTGAAAAAGAAGTATAGAGTACCCTGGACTTTTACGTATTTACCCCTTTTCATAACGTGTGAAGTGCTTTTGTGAGGACCCTGTTTATTCTCTCCCAGTTGTTTGACCTCTCCACCCGATAACCCAATGTGTTACAGACAGGAACAATAGTAATTTAGCTCCAGGTTGATGTTGTTCGGGCACAAATCTTACCATTTCTCTATCAGTATCGTCATCCACATTATCTTATGCCTGTGTGTACTGATGTGTCTACATGTCCTTTTTGCAGTCACCACTGACTGTCAGTTCTATTGTAGCTTCTGTTGCCGACGGTAATCAAACCGCTGCCGCCTACAGGCACCGTAAGTTAATCACCATATTAGAGAGGTTCTGCTACACGGAACTACGTACCAAACTCCGTGTCAACTGCAGTGAAGTTTGACACGGATTTTTCGTACGTTGCACCGGTTCTGCTGTACGTAGCATGCTCGAACCATGCACGAACACCCCGCCACAAGTACTCTGTACGCTCACTTTTCACACGGAGTCCGGTCCGTGTGAAGCGCGCTTCACACGGAAAACGGTATGACAAAATCCGTATCAAACTAAATCCCGTACCGCGGTGAAGTTTCCATACGTACTTTGGCACGTTTTACCGTGTGGCAGAACCTCACTATTCTGCATGGTTGGATTAGTGTTGGTGTGTTTGCAGTACTATGTGTTTCTACATATTGACACAGCTAGCAACACTGCTTGCACCGATTGATGCATGGAAAATGTCCATACACGCCACAGTCCAACATACGTCCGCCATTGTTTGTTGTGTGGACGCTTATGTCTATTGATCACTTCAAAGCTATAATGGTGTCTTCTTCTTTTCAAGCCACTGCCCGTTGAATCACTGCTTTTCTGAACACCCAGAACAATTTGCATGCCTGGCGCCACAATAGTCATGGTCTTGGTTATAAAATACACATGCCTTTGTATGTTTGTGTCTTCTTTTCTCCTCTGTTGAGCTGTGCCATGTCCCCTCTGATTCTCTCTTCATTGTGCCTCTGCTGTTCAGTGCAAGCTGTGCTTGGAGATGTTACGGATGCCATCGCAAGTGGAGACGAGGAGAAGCTTATGGCAGCACTGAAGGACTCAGCGTTCGCTGCTGCTGATGTGCAAGGCGAGAATGCCAGTTACTACATCACTGCACTGAAGACCGCCGAGGTAAGTTTATTTTCATGTCATCAAGAAAAGTGTGATAACACCAGTGAAAAAGAAGTAAATAGTACCCTGGACTTTTACGTATTTACCCCTTTTCATAACGTGTGAAGTGCTTTTGTGAGGACCCTGTTTATTCTCTCCCAGTTTTTGACCTCTCCACCCGATAACCCAATGTGTTACAGACAGGAACAATAATAATTTAGCTCCAGGTTGATGTTGCTTGGGCACAAATCTGACCATTTCTCTATCAGTATCGTCATCCACATTATCTTGTGCCTGTGTGTAATGATGTGTCTACATGTCCTTTTTGCAGTCACCACTGACTGTCAGTTCTATTGTAGCTGCTGTTGCCGACGGTAATCAAACCGCTGCCACCTACAGGCACCGTAAGTTGATCACCATATTCTGCATGGTTGGATTAGTGTTGGTGTGTTTGCAGTACTATGTGTTTCTACATATTGACACAGCTAGCAACACTGCTTGCACCGATTGATGCATGGAAAATGTCCATACACGCCGCAGTCCAACATACGTCCGCCATTGTTTGTTGTGTGGACGCTTATGTCTATTGATCACTTCAAAGCTATAAGGCCACCCTTTGTTAATTCATTGTTTAACGTCCTTTTTTTCGCGAAAAGGTACGCGGGAGGGCGAAAAAAACGAAAGCCCATTCCAAAAACTGGAAACCCCAATCAAACATTTTGACCAGTAAAGCATGTGATATATACAATATTTCTGGGTCTAACGGCACTTGCAGGCATAGAACAACACTCTTTGATGGTACATTGGAGCACATGCCTGATGAATCCAACAAAACAGGTACATAGCATGGAGTTAGCATGTCATGAACTCATTACATCTGGATTTTTACTAGAACACACACCGTCCGATATTTAAAAGCCAACAAAAAAAGAAAAAGAACACAAGACAAAGGCATGCCCGGGAGGCAAGATTATAGTTTAAGGTCATGATCGGCACACTGTGAAACTACACAATCATGTATTTACAACTTCGCATATTATTGGTACTACTACTTTCTTGTTTTTTTCCGGTCGGAGGCAAAAAGGTACGCGGGCGCGGACGTTAAACAACGAAAAAAGAAAGGGTGGCCTAATGGTATCTTCTTCTTTTCAAGTCACTGCCCGCTGAATCACTGCCTTTCTGAACACCCAGAACAATTTGCATGCCTGGCGCCACAATAGTCATGGTCTTGGTTATAAAATACACATGATATTGTATGTTTGCGTCTTCTTTTCTCCTCTGTTGAGCTGTGCCATGTCCCCTCTGATTCTCTCTTCATTGTGCCTCTGCTGTTCAGTGCAAGCTGTGCTTGGAGATGTTACGGATGCCATCGCAAGTGGAGACAAGGCCAAGCTTATGGCAGCACTGAAGGACTCATTGTTTGCCGATGCTGACGTGCAGGACAATAACGGCAGTTACTATGTAAAGGCACTGAGTACCGTTGAGGTAAGGTTTTTTCTATGTCGTCGGACCAATGTGATCACTAGAGTAAAACAGAAGTCGTCGCAATTCTTATGTTTTTTCCCCATTTTCAGCGAGTATGAATTGCTTTTCTGGGTGCCCTGTTTTGTCTGCAGTCACTGCATTCCTGAAGATGAGCCTTGCCCGAAAATTCAAATGATCATATCTATTTCTTTCATTGATTGGTGCAGCCCAGACCGTTTGGAGTGTTGTGAAGATGTATGGATATTCTGAGGACCCTGTTCATTGTTGTCCAGTCATGTGACCTCTGATATAGCACGCCTTGGCTAGACATTACTAGTTTAGGTCCACTGAACGTACGCGTGTACTGAGATTTCGCGGTAGTTTGTTAGCACCAGCCCCTCCCGAAATGCAAGGCACCATACAATAACAGGATCCAAAAGTTAGTCATGGACACACGTACTGTTTTTGCAGGCATTTTCACCCACTTCTTCGTGTTTACCGTGGCTCGTGTCTTCCTACCTTTTGTACAGGCACCGCTCACTGTCAGTTCTATCGTAGCTGCTGTGGCCGAGGGAAATGGCACAGCCGATGTCTACAGGCACTGTAAGTTGTAATACCGTATTCTGCATGCCTGGATTAGTGTCGATGTATTTGCAGAACGATGCATGTCTACCTGCGGCCATGGTTGGCAATGCCGCTTGCACAATTTGTGCGCGGATATGTCCCCTGTGTTCTTATATGCTAAAGCCCTTACTTCCACAGTCGGGCATCGTGTCTACCTGCGGCCATGGTTAGCAATGCCGCTTGCACAATTTGTGCGCGGATATGTCCCCTGTGTTCTTATATGCTAAAGCCCTTACTTCCACAGTCGGGCATCGTGTCGACTTTTATGTTTATTGAACTCGATAGCAATGGTGCACCGTGTTCCTTTCAAGCCTGCGAAGCACTGCTTTTCCAAACATCATGGGTCCTTGTGCTTTTCTTACGTGCCCGGCCTTTCAATCCGCAGTGCGCTTGCTGGGAAGGAAAAGGGTTTTTGTATGCTTGTGTCTTGTGTTCCACTCTGCGCCTCTCCCTCTAATTCTCTCTTCACTGTGACTCTGCTGTTCAGTGCAAGCTATGCTTGGTGGTGTGACGGAGGCCATCGAAAGTGGAGACGAGGAGAAACTGATCACCACGTTGAAGGACTCCGTGTTTGCCGATGCCACTGTGCAGGACAATAACGCCAGTTACTACATCACTGCACTGAAGACAGTCGAGGTAAGCTTCTTTCCATATTTTCAAGACCAGTGTGGTAACACCAGTAGCTCATTGGTACTCAATCTCAGGCTCGACCTTTTTAGGTTCCCCTCAGCCAAGCTCAGAGTCAATGGCCGAACCAATCGCAATGAAGTCCAGTGGTGAACAAAGCATGTTTAAACCGGCTTAAAGCATCAAAGTGCTCTAACTACGAGTAACAAAGCAAGCTTCGCACATTGGTATAAAAAAGTAGTGCGTGTTACAACAAGAAAGGACAATAGCGTGAATGGCAAATATCTGGCTGAATGTAAATGTCAGACTAAGGACTGACTGTCAGCTGCGTACCAATGTATGTTTTTTGGCACTGCCAACGCCCAATGTGTTACATTGAGGAGTAACATATTACAATGATGTGGCTTGAGCACAATCGTGGATACCAGCCACTTTTGTGTCGGCATTTTCATTCACATCTGTTGTGCTTGTCTGTTGCTTGTGTCTACCTACCTTTTGCACAGGCGCCGCTTACTGTCGATGCTATCGTAGCTGCTGTGGCCGAGGGCAATGGCTCTGGTGATGTCTCCAGGCATTGTAAGTCGAAACACCTTATTAGGCATGCTCGGATTAGTGTTGTTTTGTTTACAGGTTTGTAAGTCTCTACATGCCACTATGGCTAGCAAGACCGCTTGTATATTTGGTGAATCGAATTGCTTCATGAGTTGCGCAGTTGCTCACTTCCACCATCGGGGGTTGTGTCGACTGTCCATTGTTCTTTTCAAGCCTATTGATCACTACTTTCAACATCCCGAGGTGTGTTTCCTTGCTTGCCTGGTACTACAATCCGCATCGTGCTGCTGGGAAGGACATCAAATGTGTCCGTGTATGTTTGCGTCTTGTGTTCTGCTCTGCGCCTCTCCCTCTAATTCTCTCTTCACTGTGACTCTGCTGTTCAGTGCAAGCTATGCTTGGTGGTGTGACGGAGGCCATCGAAAGTGGAGACGAGGAGAAACTGATCACCACATTGAAGGACTCGGTGTTTGCCGCTGCTACTGTGCAGGACAATAACGCCAGTTACTACATCACTGCACTGAAGACCGTCGAGGTAAGGTTTTTTTCAGGTCCGGGTTGATGTTGCTGGAGCACCAATCGTGGACACTAATCATTCTTCTATCAGTGTCTTAAACCATCTCGTGTGCCGTTGCATGTGTGTGTGGCTTGTGTGTATGTGTCCTGCTTACAGGCGCCGCTCACTGTCAGTTCTATCGTAGCCGCCGTGGCCGATGGTAATCAAACCGCTGCCACCTACAGGCACTGTAAGTTGGATCACCATATTGACTGGGTGACATATTGACTTGTACGTTTCTTGATTGACTTCAGAAGTAATGTTGTGCTTTGTTCTTTGCAAGCCACTGGACCAATGCATTTTCCAAGCAGCATGAGTTCTTCTGCTTCCCTGCATGCCTGGCGCCTAAATGCGCAATGGGCTCGGTGTGAAAGAAGTATGTCTTTTTACATTATCGTCTTTGTACCACTTTCTGTTGTGCTCTACCATTCATCCTGTAATTCTTGCTCCATTGTGTCTCCGTTGTTCAGTACAAGCTATGCTTGGAGATGTAACAGAGGCCACCGAAAGCGGAAACGAGGAGAAGCTCGTCACAACACTGAAGGACTCAGTGTTTTCCGCTGCTGATGTGCTGGGCGAAAACGCCAGCTACTACATCAAGACACTGAAGACCGTGGAGGTGAGTTCTGTTTCATGTTGTCAGGACCAGTGTCACTGGTCCAAACTCCCAAGAGCCCTTCTGCCTGTCTGCGATAACATGCTTCAAACACGAATCCAGTTCCTGATCTGAGACAAATTTGTGTCTCCTTCACCCATTCCCTGCTTCCAGCTCACGGCTGTTCATATTTCTGAGTACTGTATATGCATTCCTCGCCACACTGGTCCTGGCTCGTGCTGCCTGTCGTGAAGTAGGGAGACTCCCTTCTTTTTGTACACTACTGGCTCGCAGCACGCAACCGAGAAAATGAAAATGCTCCTTCGATCGCCGCTCCCTCAATTTGCATCCGAGTCTACAGACTTACTATGATCTTTCTCTACTGCCTAGACTTTTCGATTTTTGAAATTAGTAACATCAATAACATTAGACTCGGGTAAATAAATAACATTGCATGATTTAGTTCCAGATTGATGTTGCTTGGACAGAAATCGTGGATAAAACAACTCTTTTGTATTGGCGTTTTCATCCACATGTCTGTGCTTGTGTGTGGCCTGTGTCTACGTGTCCCCTTGTACAGTCCCCGCTGACCGTCAGTTCTATTGTAGCTGCTGTCGCCGATGGCAACCGCTCTGCCGGTGTCTACAACCACTGTAAGTGTAATCACCTTCTTCTGCTGGGTCATCAGTGTTGGTAGATTTGCAGTATTGTGCAGGTGTACATGCAGCCATGGCAAGCAACACCGCTAGCATAATAGGTGCATGGAAATGTCTCGTGCGTTACATAGGCTAACACATATACACATGCTTACGTCGTCTCGACTTGTACGTCTGTTGATTGGATTTCTTCGAAGCTGCAATGGGTCCCATTCTCATTCTTGTGCATATTTCCTGATTGTCCTTTCTGTGCAATGAATACAGTGCAAGACATGCTGTCCGCTGTTGCCGCAGCCATTGCTGGCCTTGACGGTCAGAAGCTGCTTGAGCTCCTGAAGGACTCTGTCTTCTCTGCCGCCAACGTCATACCAGAGAATGTCCGCTTCTACGTGAAGAACCTGAAGAAGGCACCTGCTGTAAGTCGTTGTTCTGTGCTGTTTACTCGATGCCTGTCCAAATGCTGAACTTGTTTTTGAAAGGGACTATCACACACTATTTTTCATTGTTTTTTTTACAAACTCATATACCTGAAGTTGATTGTTCCAACTGGGAACACACGCTTCTTGCCGAACTTGACACTTGACTGACTCACGACTGCCATCCGAAGAGTGTGTTCCTAGTTGGAACAATCAACTTCATGACTATTACCGCCGAAGTCGCAACTTCTAAGTTCATACACCTGGTTAGCAATTGTACTGAACTGTACTTTTTGCATCTTTTCACCGTGCTGCATTTTTGTAGGGTTCTCTGACCGTGAACTCCATTGAGGAAGCTGTCAAGGACGGTAACCTTGAGGCCGAGGCAATCAAGGTCGTCATCGCTGCCGTGAACGCCAAGGACAAGGACCAGCTGCTCGAAGCCCTGAAGCACCCCTTGTTCAAGGACATTAGCGTCCGCGAGGACAACGTCGACTTCTTCCTCGCCGCCTTGGAGAAGACTGGAGAGGTAAGCAGCTTGCCGGCATGGGTGCAAGCTTACCATGTTTGGATATTCCTTTCCCTATTCTGGTGTGCGGGCCTGTGGGTTTTTCGATTGAATTCATGTTACGAACCGCGGTAACGGTAGACGTGAATGCAAATCGCAAATCTGGTTTGAAGAGCCATTGGATTGTGCATAGGGAGTTCCTACATCGTATCATGTTGGTGTTTTAGGCAATGCTTGAATATTCTGGACTTCTACATCTCTGATTATACACATGGGCTGAGTTTTTAGAGAGAGTGAATTTGTTGTTTGAAGTGCCCCGTTCGTTGTGATGTACACTTCATGCTGTCTCTGCAGGACCTGACCATCGATGACTTGCGTGCAGCTGCCCAGCTGGACAACATCGCCGCCAACATGAGCTCTGGAAAGGGCTCCACCGCTCAGATCAGCTCTCTGCAGAAGTTCCTCCATCTGCTCGAGGCCAACGAGAGGGATTACGAGGAAGAGAAAGGTGAGGACTGGTGATGTGGTGGTGCATCCGTTTCCCGAGATTCTTGCCTCTGGGTTGCATTCCTGTAGGATTTAGGTTCTGAATTCTTGAATGGGTAAGTGATGATTTTCTCACTATCTGGGTCACAGCTAAATACGGTGGGTCGGTGAACCAGGATGTCTGACTCTACCAGTATGCACACTTTTCTAAACAATTTCATTCTTGTAGTGGCAGTCGGTTTTCTCCAAACTCTTGCTCTTTCGTTCTCTCAACGTGATGAATGCTATCATACCCTGTGTCGTTTCCGTTGACAGAAATCCAAATGCTCAAGCAGGCCGTTGTTAGTACCATTCGTCAACAGCAGGAACTCGAGGAGAACTTGAACATCATGGACATCAAGATTGGCCTGCTGGTCAAGAACCGTTTGGACCTGGACGACGTCGTCCACCAGCAGTCCAAGCTGAAGAAGAAGGGAGCGCTCGGCGGCCCCTCCAAGGGTCTCAAGTCGCTCAGTAAGGAGAGCCGCGCCAAGCTGGAGGGCTACCAGCACCTGTTCTACTCCCTGCAGACCAACCCCAACTACCTTGCTCGCCTGATTTTCCAGATGCCCGGTGGCCGCACGACGCGTTTCATTGAGAACGTCATCTTCACGTTGTTCAATTACGCCAGCAACCAGCGTGAGGAGTTTCTGCTCATGAACCTCTTCACCAGTGCTTTGGAGTTGGAACTCAAGTAAGTGCTAAACTGGACGCAGTCCAATTTGCTTCTGCATGTATACATACTAGTATTGGGCAAGCTAGCATAGTATTAATTTTATGTTGCTACAGTATTTATGATTTGTTTTACATTTTGTGCTGATAATTTGTAGGCTTCGTATGCACACCTGCTACATGTGGTACTGACTAAAAAATCGCCAAGAATGCTAGAAAAAAAAGAGACGACCATACTAAAGTTCATAAGTTTTAATCCTTGGCTCCCCATTCGAGTTTAAAATGCTAAATGCGCGCCATTCGCCCAGTGTTTCGAGAATGATTGTCAATACTCAAGAGTTCGTGCCTTGCGTAACCAAATCTCAGCCACATAAGTGGGTGTGGTGGATGTTCACATTGCCCGGCACCGGAAGTTTCTGGACTGCTACTGATGGCCATTGACTGTATGGTGTGTTTTTGCCATCTCGCTCTCCTCTTTCCGCACTAATAGGACAATGGACAACATCGAGGATATCACCAAGGGTAACGCTACTGTTATCAAGATGGTGATCACCTTCAATCGTGGTGCCCGCGGTGTCAGCTCCCTTAAGGAGCTTATTCTGCCGCTGGTCGAGCGAATCATCAACGACAATGATCTGAGAATCAACGTTAACCCCGTCGACATCTACAAGTCCTGGATCAACCAGAAGGAGTCTGAGACTGGAGAGTCTTGTGGTATGCCATACGAAGTCTCCACTGAGCAGGCCCTGTCACACCCTGAGGTGAGTTGTTTGCCTCCATCAACGTTAACCTGCAGTGCCACCTTTGAAGGTTTTTTTTCATACCATTGACTTTCACTGGCCAGCACTAAGCATGGCTGATCTGTCCCGATGCCCGTGGGTGTTTGCACGCTGTTAACAGCTGTGGTGTGTGCGTGGGCTTTCGTGTTTGTGTGCCGTCACTTCCTCCAGTCATGACAATGTGTGTTTTTTGGGCGTGTGCTCACTCGTAGGTGCAAGAGCGCATCATGAAGACAGTCGGCGTACTGCGTGGCATCACCGAAGGATTCGTCACCAATCTGACGGAGAGCGTCACCAAGATCCCCTATGGTATCCGCTACTTTTCCATGCGCATGCGACAGGCGCTCAGCGAGCAGTTCCCCGGTACCAGCAAGGAAGACATTCTCAAGATCGTCGGCAACTTGCTGTACTACCGTTTCATGAACCCCGCTGTGGTGGCTCCCGATGCTTTCGACATTGTGGAGCTCAGTCTCGACAAGGGTTTGACGGTGGAGCAGCGACGAAACTTGGGTTCCATTGCCAAGGTGTTGCACCACGCCTCCGCGAACAAACTGGTGAGTGGTATAGCAGTATGGCCTATCCGTTACGAATTACGGTCTTGATTGTGCATGAAGAAGTGCCTTTATTCGGGAGTTGCAGTCACTTCTGAGATTGAAAATTAAATTAAAATATGTAGTCAAATGGTCGCTAGGTCTGATGATTGTGTTGTTTTTTATAGTTGTTTTTATTCTCGAGGTCGTTATTCACTAAGTTGGCTGTGCTTCCTATTTATTTCGCCTCGAAGTTCGACTGTTTTAGTGAATATTTCTTGTGCCCAGTGATTGCTGTTCACATGTTTTCATCAGGCAGTCTGTATAGTACGGTTCCATTCTGTTGCAAACAGATTGTGTACCAGGAGGTTGTGCGTGATCAAGTTGTGCTCAGTACGTTGCCTCTGATCGCATAATTATTATTATAGTCGCACCTGTCTGCTCGGACCTCGTGCACTTATCTTGATGTTTCGGGACCATTGCAGTAGCCCGCTTGTGAGCGTGCTGTTGCTCGATGCATTCATCCAAATCTACTCCTGTTTTAACCGTTTATTGTGTGTGTTTGTGCTCTCCGAATTCCTGTCCTGCAGTTCGATGGAGAGAACTCAGCCCTGGCACCGCTCAATGCTGTCATCGAGCAGGCCCATCAGAAATTCCTGTAAGTAGCAGCTCAAAAGATGCGTGGAGAAGTTAATTTTCAGTAGCTGGGTTGGGGAAGCCTGTGTTATCTGCATTCAATCAGCGCTGGCACTAATGTCTGCTATTGGCAAAGACGGTGCATATACATGTATGTTCCCGCTTCGTGAGTTCTCCATGGATTCCCTCGTGCCTCACTACGGCTGCCTCCTTCTCTTCCTCTCTCTCCCCCCTCTAGGACATTCTTCCAGAAGGCATCAACAACTGAAGATGCTGAGAGCCACTACAACCAGGACAAGTACGCTGAGGTGACCCAACTTGCTAAGCCAGTCGTCTACATCTCAGTCAAGGAAATCTGCAATACTCACAAGCTGCTGCTGGAGCACGAAGACTCGATCACAGACAACGAGGGTGACACGCTGCATCGCCTGCTAAAGGACCTTGGCCCTGTGCCCGACATCCACGAGATTCTTGGTAAGAACCGGCAGACCGCATGCTCTTGTCATCAGGATATTGCGATAGTGTCCGCGTTGGTACTCCTGCCACAATCCACACAATGATGAATATATAAAGATGTGTGACCCACGCACACACACACACACACACACACACACACACACACACACACACACACACACACACACACACACATGATGAATATGTAAAGGTGTGTGAGCGAGACGTCTTAGGCTCTTCGTATCTAATGTGTGAACTGACTTTACTGCAATGCGCTGAGCAACATCAATGCTACCATGCGTGACCAGTTGATTCATTGTCATTGCCAGTGTCACTCTAGACAGTCCGTCATTCCAGTGAATCCCATAGCCACTGCCACCGCCATCCCCACTGCCATTGCCGAAATACCCTACTGTGGTTATGTACTGGTAAGTAAAGTGCTTTGGAAGCTGCTGTATTTGAGCATAGAATACATGCTATCCAATAGCATACCTATTGCCTGTTCTGGATGAGATGCCATTTGATTGGTCAGCACTTGGCCAGATTTTTCCTTCTCTCTCTCTCTCTCTCTCTCTCTCTCTCTCTCTCTCTCTCTCTCTCTCTCTCTCTCTCTCTCTCTCTCTCTCTCTCTCTCTCTTGCTCTTGCTCTCTCTCTTGCTCTTGCTCTCTCTCTCTGCAACAAACTGTACTGGTTGACAGGGCATAGTGATTTCATTCTCTGCTCGGGCCCTTTGTACTTCTATGTTTGCTAAGAGACTGTTTCCACATGACTGGTGCTCCTGTGTGCAGGTAATGCGTATGCCCACCCTGGTCCCTCGGTACCACAGGAGGTTGTCCAGCAGTGGGAGGAACGTGTAGCGGAAGGCGGCAAGTCTGAAATCTCGCTGACCCTGAAGAACGCGTTTGACGTGACCGGCCAGGACGACAAGGAGAGCATCCTGAACATCTTCTTGCAGTAAGTAGCAGCACTGCCAGCAGTAGACTGTCGTGCTGTGTGCATCTCTAGATGTCTTGCGTGTGTGTGTGTGTGTGCGTGTTTGCATGTGTGTGATGGTGAACTCTGAAAAGCATGTGACGAGGTGTTTACTGTTATCTGCATCTACTGGTGTTCTCATCTAGTTCAATCTTGTATTTTCGTATGCTGCATTCCAACACCTCTATCATCACATCTGGTAATAATAATGTGTTTCATCATTAGTTCTGTTGTTACCGCAGGCTCCCATAACTTTTTTGTTCTGTTTTGTGTGTGTCTGTGCTCATGATTCAGGACCAAGCGAATGGCAGCTGGCATTCTGCAGGCGCAGCCCGGTGAGAATCTGAAGGCCATTCTCGACACAAAGCCAACAGAGGAGCAGGAAGCCAAGTACACCAAGATCCAGGAGGCCAAGCGTCAGTTCGAGCTCAAGCAAGCGACCCAAGAAGCAGACCGCTCCGACAGTTCAACAGACACACGGCCAAAGTGAGTGTTTTCTTGTACTCTTTCAGTCTGGTATTCTGTTACCTTAGACATCCACGCCTGGTCAATGTCATTTCAAAACCGGCTTTCTGTCGATGGCCAGAAGTTTCAGCTTTGGTAGCCACCCTGTATACGTGGTGGACAGAATGTAAAATGTAAAGTAGTGACCTTAACAATACCCTGTGCAAGTGGTGATCTACAAATACAGCCCTATACGCCCTATACGGAATGGAGTCATCCGCTCCTGACCGATGTATTTGATACTACAGTAGTGTTTGTGTCAGTGGGTGGATGTGTGTGTGGGTGGGTGGATGTGTGTGGGTGGGTGTGCGTGTGTGTGGGTGGATGTGCGTGTGTGTGGGTGGATGTGCGTGTGTGTGGGTGGGTGTGCGTGTACCCGTTACTAGTAGTATAATAAGTATCCACCATGCATTGCCGTGCCCACACTTGAAAACTACCGACGGTGTTGTGGGGTTTCAAAATAGTGCTACAAGTACTACAGCTCTTTGCCATTGGTGGATTTTGAGCTTCTTTTGCAAGCTGTCCGCTTTACACCAGAGTGAAGCCGCCTGTGCCGAAGTTTCATTCCCCTTGCTCTGCTCCTGTTCTCATCCCAAGTATGTTGCGACTTTCTGTTTGTGCGGCAGGGCTGAAGCATCACCACTGCCTGTGTCCAAGGTCCTGGCGCTGAAGGACGTGAAGGAAGGACTGCGCTGCAACTTGGCCATCCTAGAGAAGGAAGGCCTCTGCAAGGCAGCCGACAACTACCAGGATATCCTCAACTCCATGGCCAAGGTGAGTGTGTCACTGTGTGTGTTGTGTTGTCCTCATTTATGTCCCACCCCATGCCATTCCTACCGTTGATAAACGATTGTTGCATTTCTGTTTGTGCTGTGTCCATATAATCAGCCGCAAACAGATGTCAACGACAATATTATCTTGAATTTTTGCGTTTGTTTTGAAAGCAAACCGTTGTTTCTCATTGCCCTTTTCGTTGATAATGATTTTCTGTTTGCGCTCGTGTCTGTGTGCTTGCTTGTGTGCATTTCCCCCCTGCAGGATATTCGCAACCAGCACAGACATCGGCAGCAGCGTAAGAAGGAGCTCGAGGGCATGAAGCACACGCTGGCCGCACTCGAGGAGAAGGGCAAGTACTACGAGGATCAGAGAGAGTATTATCAGCTGTACGTCGATGCCTGCCTCTCCAATCTGACCAAGCCCAAGAACAAGTGAGTAACCTGCCTTTTTTCCGTGGCCATGTTGCCTCCTGCACCGTATCCCCATTGGCTGATTCTGTGTGCATCCAATTCAGTCCAAAAACCAGTTTCTAGCTGCATGGGAACATGGCTTTTTGGCTTTCAGAAGTGCTCGGATGTAGCTCCATGAAGCGCAGCAGGCCCACAGTACAGTGACTGCAGTTGCATGCTCTTGGCCAAAGACGTTGTACATTTATGTGATGAAGGCAGCATGGCTGGCTTTCTCTGCTTCTCTGGAGATCTGAATTTGAGCAGCGACGAAGCAGATTATTTCAGTTTGACTTCTGTTGCCTATAATAATGTGTGTGTCCATATCTGCCTGTGTGCGTGTGTGCATCTTTTTCTCGAGCAGGAAGAGTGTTGTGCGGAAGACAGTCAAGTACAATGCTGCCAAGCTGCATGAGAAGGGTGTCCTACTGGAGATCGAGGGTCTCAGCTCTGGACAGTAAGTCACTGCTGATTTTTCTGTTTTTGCGTTGACTGGATCGTATTGTAGCGGGAAATGTGCTGCCCAGCTGCGGTACTGTCGTGTTCCGAAGAACTGGGGGTCAGCCTCGCAACCTAGGCTGTTCTTATTTTCATCCACAGTTGAGTCACTGTGTATATATTGGTATACTGTGCTTGGTGAAATTCAAACCTGGTCGTTCTTCAGTACCCGACAGTACAGTAGTAACTTTGTCCTGTAACCGTCATTCTGGCAAAGAGCGCAGTCTGCTCCATGCCGGCCTGGTACCACGGTGCATGTTTACACCTGCTAGCTGTAATTCGAGGTACTAGTACCAAGAGTACATGAAAACCAGAGTGTGCAGCTTTGGGCCTTTTCTATTATGGGTGTCTGTCACGGCAGAATTCCGTGATTGCGTCGTATTTGGCGCAGATCTGGGGCGATAAATGGCGTAGTGCGTACAACTGAGCTGCAGTTGTGCAGAAAGAGACGTGCTTGAATCCTGCTTGTACGCACTACATCACTAAAATGATGTAATCACGGAATTCCACCGTGACAGCCACCCATCCCAGCTGCACACTCTGGTTTTCATGTATGTTTGCTAGTACTGTTGTGCTTCCTTCTACCCGTGTGAACTGGCAACGCTAGCCTGGCGGCTGTGGTTGTTTCTCTTTGTGTGGCATCTTCTCATCTCGTGTATGGCTGGATTATGTTTGTGTGCGTTTGACCATGTAGGTTCAAGGGTGTTTCGTTCGAGATTGAATCCGGTGACACTGGCAAGTTCAACGTATACGCCAAGTTCATGGGCGTTTCCATGGAGAAAGTTGAGCTTGTGTTTGAGGTAAGGCACCATCCCTATGCTCTCTAGTACCCGGTGTCACATCTGTGTGCGTGCACATTTAGTGTGCCGCCTTGTGTATACAGTGACACTCCAGTCTGTCACACCTCCGGTTTGCATTAACAGTTCGCTGTACCCTTAGCTAAGGTTCTCAGATTCAGCGGTAAACTGACTGGAAAAGGATATGTAGGAACATGAGTATGCAATGCAAAGTGAGCAACATAATATTCTATCCAGGGTGCCCTTATACGGTGCTGCTCAATGAAATCCGATCCGGCATGCCAATGCCAAGCCGGGTGCCGTGCAGCCCTAGACCTACGAACACTGAGCTACGCAATTGTCCAGGGCGCAGATTGAACAGCACTGTGCGAACGTGTACTGCGTTTCCCCTGAGGGGCCTCTTTTCCGGGTAAATCAGCACTATACAATGATGGAGGACCGAGGCATAATTGCCGTGAAAACCTCCAAAAACTGCCTGATGTTCATGTACAGTCAACTTTGCGTATAACGACGCTCGGCGGGGCATCAGAAAAGTGTAGTTATTCGCGAAGTGTCCTTCTACCCTAAGTCTCATTATATTGTATACAGGTTAGATGGGACTTTCCTCTTGGCATGGAAATTCTGCCGTTATACCCGCAGTCGTTATCAGCGAAGTTGACTGTATCTCAAGTTGTGGCGATTGTGTGCATCCAGCCCATACCAAGTACAATGCTGCTCAATGAGTTCCGATCAAGCGAGTCAATGCCAAGCCGGGTGCTGCGAACATTGGGGTGTGAACTGGCTCAGGGCGCCAACTCGACTCGCACGATCCAATTTCATTGAGCAGCACTGTGAATGCATGCACGACTGCCGTGTTCTTGTTGTATACTTTATTTATAGTAGAAATCAAAACAGGCATGATGCCTGATAACAATGGCCCCACTGTTCTAACACTGTCCTCTGGTTATGTGTGCTGCGCCGCTGTGTTCGCAGGAACTGCTTCAGCTGCAGTACGAGGGCGTGTCCGTCTTCAAGATGTACGGCTGCGCCAAGATCAACGTCAATCTGCTCGTCTTCCTCATCAACAAGAAATTCTACGGCACATAGGCGTCCGCTGCGCCCAGTAGCCCGCTCCCTTGTCGTCTTCCGTTGCCGTCTGCTGCTTTCTGAAGCACTGTGCTTCATTCGCAAGTATTTGTGGTGGTTGACTTCTAGCCGGCCGATGATATTTTGGCATTGTTTGATGTCCCGTTGTTGCCACCACTTCTGCTCCACTTAGACTGTACATGTAGATCTATGCTGTTTTTTTTGCTGTATTATATTTATATCTGGCGTTTCCTTGAAGATTGCTTCGAAAAATACTCACGTCTCTCCGCTGTGTCCTCCTCCTCACTACATACTTGACGTATGTGTCTATGTTTCGTATTCTTCCCCAACAGAGCTTGCCCTTTTCTCACTGGCAATATTTGCAGTGTTGTTTCCCTTGCCTAGTTGCGTGCTTTTCTAGCTAGATGCCATGATGCCTTTTTTGTTTGTTTGTATTATTTGCTTGTCCGTTTTTTTCTGCCCAAATTCCGTTTTTTGCTCTTCGTGCTCATCGTCTGGCATGTCGGTGGTCGTGTGGTTGCGTACAATGCCGTTTGTTTCGTGCTCCCAGCCATTCTGTGTTTCTTTTGGGCATTGTTGTCGTTGTCGTTTCCTCCCATGTTCCTATCGCTGGCGGTCGTCTCATCCTCGTTGTTGTCATAGTTGTAGTAGCTGTTGTATTTGTTTTAGTTGGTAGTCGGCTGTATCTACAGTTGGCGCTGTGTAGTTTTTATCCTGTGACATACTTTCTCTCTTTCTCCTTCTCGGTCTCTCTCTCTCTCTCTCTTATTCTCCCTCTGTTGATCACTCCCGTCCTTCCGGCCCTGCGCCGTGCTTCTCAGCATTGTCGATTCTTTTCCTAGTCTGGCTGGAGTAGATCGGAGAAAATGGTTACGAACGGAAGAAACGTAAACAGGAACAACCAACTTGTCTGGTGTGTGACTGTGTGTTGGTACATGTGTGTGTTGGTATTATTTTGTGTGTTGGGGTGTGCGTGCGCGCACACGCCTGCTTTTGCTGTGCAGGGCATACAATACATGGGGGCATGCCTGCGAAAGTCTTCTTCTTGAATTATTTGCCCAAGTAAAGTTGGCACAACCAACTGGCTACAACAGCAGTACCTGTGACATGCAGCAGTGCAGCACTGCACGTACATACAGTCCATTTCAAAACTATAGACGCGTAGGGTTTTTGAAATATTTCAAATTTGGCTGGAACTTTTTGAGAATAGTTTTCGGAATATTGCTCAGGATCGCTCCACAATTACTCTCATAATAAGTTTCTAAACGATTGGATAACAAACGCCCAATTTGGAAAAATTTATGCACAAAGTGATCACAGATTTTATGTGGTATAGATGCTGGCATAACGGTTTTTGCCTAGGTACGAGGTGATTTGTAATAATTTTACATGAAAGTAAAAAAGGCTATCATTCCGTTGCCCTGGCGAGTTTTGAAGTGTGCATGGTCTCATTCTGTCACTATGTATGTCCTCTATCCACGTATGGACTTCTTGATCGAACACCACAAACATGAGAGACACAGTGTGCATGTGGGGTTGCTTTGCATACATTTTTTCACCCAGAAAAAGTGTGTACAAAATTTTACAAGTCAGTAAAATAGGGTCTAACATCAACAAATATGACCTAAATGTGTCAATAAGCTTGCAATGGGAAATCAAGATACATCTGAAGCAAATCACATGCAGAGAAAGCAGACTGGTTTTGCAGGTTGCCCAACGTATTGGTTTCTGTACGTCGTCAACTGCGGTTCAAAACGATAGGGTATCTTTGAGCGCCTGCCGGCATTGTGGAGCATGAGCACGCAGACCTTATCTTGCTGCTCCATTTCTTTCAACTTGCAGTGCATCCTCATGCGTGAAATAACCACAAGCAAAGATACCATCCATGATGCGCGCCAGTCGTCCCACGACAGGGTGCCTTCGTGCATCTGGGCCACAGTGCATTTAACCGGCACATACTGACAATGTCGGGGCTTCCATACTCTCCAAGACAAGTGCAGTGACTCCTTCACTTTTGGATTCATATACTTCTGTGTTGGAAGAAGACTGCAGACCACCCTCAATGGGTGCTCCGCCGTCAACACCCAACATACATTCATGCAGCATTTCCTGCATTTGCACTTTGCCGTGGTGAATCTCTACCAGCACTTCTGAGGTAGCAAGCTGAGTTCCATACGTACATGTAGGTCTACTGAACGGCTAATTATTTACTTGTATGCCATAAGCATCAGCAGCTTCGGACTTGGATTTGAATCACCTTTCATGATAGGTGAGTGAAAGACACCTTTTGTCAAAATTGCAGTTTCTGACCTTCACCTTTTTGGCTAATCTCTTCTTCAGCCCTGCTACTTTGATGGTGTGACAGACTCAATTCTGGCATCGGTGACCAGCCTAGGGTTTCCACCTGCCGTAGAATATGCTCGCTGGCTCTTGGACGTCCTTCAAGCATCCATTGAGGGATATTTTACCTCATTGACAACAAATTCACGAATTTCGATCCATGATTGATGTCTCACAAGGCCGTGGAAGAAAACAATTCCGCCAAACGCTGCTGATGCTTACAAACTACAATACAATGGCAACTGACTTGTCTGTCGAACTAACAAGAACACTTCAGGGGAAGAACGCAATCGCCCTCAACAATGATATTTTACTAGATTTGTAAAATAATATGCCATGTAATTTTTTTACAAATCACCTCGTAGACCCGGGTGCTCGAATGAGACACAGGGTACCAAAACAGAAACACCCTGAAATTGTACCTAAACTTGTAGTACTGGGGCCAATTCAAAAAATCGACCTCTAAAATACATGCCTTGACACATGTTGGCTAACAAGGATTTTTCGGTGTTATTTGATAGATAATGTCTTCAAGAGTATCTTGGCCCAGTATGGCGTGTCCAATCGCGTCCAAAGGTCCCGAAATCACCCTCGATAGGAATACAAATTGCCGAAAAAACTAAGTTCTCATCGGCTATATTCAAGCATTTTCAAGACTTTCTCGGTACTATATTGACTGGACCGGGGAGTTTTTACCCTTTTATGTGCCAGGAGCTATAGTAACACCGTACATACACAGGATGCGAACCGACGCGTACACTGATTTTGTGCGAGAGTTGGAAAGATTGAACATCAAGTCGTGTAGTTGTGACATACCAGAAATGTGTTACCTCGTTTGGACACTTTCTTCAAAGTTTTGCATTGACTCGCTGGCGCTTTTGCTGTCGGAACGTCCACGAATGGATCGATGCTAAATTCAGCAGAACCTTCATTTATATAATGTTATCTTGGCTCCCCGGAAAAGTAGGCATGATTCCAACAAGGAGCAGCACAACAATTATGTGTGGAAAGCAGGGGAAAGTCATCATAGCTTGCCAAGCCAGTTGTAACTATTTATAGGACTAATCTACAACCCTGGAACGTTTCAGACCTGGCTAACTTCATCGGGCTGGAATGAAGGCATTTACTTTGTGAGTACTGTTGCACAGGAGGTGTTACAGTGGACGAGCATTTGATTCGCATCTACAAGAGCGGCTAGTGTGAGTACCATGATTTGAACACACCGACCGTGGTGATCAGCTACCATTTGCACAAAGCCTGTTTACCAGCTCAACAGCTCTAGGACAACTGCCTAAGGAGTGCCATGCTGCAGTGAGAGGGAGTAGCTATGTGGTGTGGAGTGTTACAAAAACGAAATCCGAGTACCTGGAGGTAACCTATCCCAATATGCAACACCAGCAGTAGAAGAATCATTTCCTTGTCACAGAATTTGATGGCTGGGCCTAGGCAGTGTGAAACTACCGTTATACTTATAAAACACTAACTGCAAGAAAGAGTCCGATGTCCAATGTCATGGCTTGTCTCTCCTGAACTGATCACGGCACGCAGTTGATGTGATTCAAGAGCGGCGGTGAAGAGGGAAAACATGTTCATATAATACCTCATGTACTAGTGGCTAAAGAATTGTCCCTGACTGCAGAGCCAACGGTGATGGTGTAGATGGCGGAGTAGAGATGGGCTCAGCTGTACGGCGTAGAGTTTTCAAAGCTCAGACGGAAGAACAACTTCAGTTAAAGTGAAACACATGGAAGCGAAAGTATTCGCATCACAATGTTGGGATCAACCTGCAGCTATTCACCTGTGAGCGCTGTCCAACTGCAGCCTTGAAGTCATTTCAAAGCATTTAAGTATAGTGACAAGCTAGCCAGTGTTTGGACTGTTTTAATATCTACTAGTATGCAAAGGATTTTGGTATTTTCATTTTCATCATTTTTTCGTTACAGCACTGCCATCGCATACAAATAGTGTTGTCCTTCTTACATTGCTGCGAGATCTATCGTATTATCTACACGTACTTCGAGTAAATTAGTTCAGGTTGAAACTGTCCTATAGCACTTCTTTCTTTAGACTCTGACAGTTTCCTACCACCTTTTCCTTCTTCTGTTAGTACTTGGGTTACAATACCTATTCTCTCAGTTGAAGTGTAACGCCGAACCGTCTGACGCTTCTCTCGTGTTTGCAGTCTGATAATTATAGTAATGCATGCCTGTAAATAGTCTCATGTACCTGCTAGCTGCACATACTATGTACATGTACACGTACCTCAATGCTAACATTCGACGCGACATGTAATGTACATGTACATGTCCAATAACCAAGTTTCACCGCACTTTGGAAATTTTGTTTTGACACTGTGAAAGTACAGTACTTGTCGCCGTACTGTATCTACTGCTTATTCTGAGCAAAATGAGGTGCTACTTGGCCATATACATGTCAGTAAAAATGGATATAGGAGCAATTCTAGTTAGGTTGCCATGGTAATAACGGCCTTTTTCTATTTTGATGTTTTTCACCATGTTCGGACACAATTCGGCAATCGAAACCTATGCCATCGTGTTCAGGAGGCAAAAACCATCCAGGAATGATCATAAAATCCATGTTAGCAAACATGTGTCAAGTAAAAGTGAGAAATTTCAAATGGGCCCTAGGACTATTGTTCCGATTTCGTTTAGTTTTCACAAATACCATCAACATACGGCCCGCTAACGGTATGCCAAATTTCAGCGCTGCCCGGTAAACGCTTTTTGAAATACTCGCGACCCACTTTTTGCTGGGTCCTTGATTCGAGGATATGGCCATGGGTCTTCTGTACGGTGCTGCCAAAGACCTGCTGAATCTGCGGCTCCACTGACCATCTTGCTCTCAAAAATGAAGTAGTAAGTTACTACTCCCTGCCCTCAACTGCCACACCAAGCGTAGACGATGGTAGACCCGTGTGCTTGAGTCGGAGACGATCTGACGAGTTCGCTGTTTCTGATTCGAGCACCCAATTTTCAAATAAAAAATCCGAAGGAAATACGACAATTTTACTGCGTACTGTAGCTTGTGTTGTAGCGCACCCAGGTTCTGAATTCCTGCTGGGTGGGTCAAGCCAGACTCTCTTCCCTGTTCCATCGCCTCTCCAAAAGTATATTCTGACATTAGTGAGGTTTTGCATTCCGAATTTCGGTACAGTGTTCTTCGGTCATTTGTCGAACATCAAAATGTCGAATTTTCGCACCAACGTTTGTTTTGCAAGTCGAAAATGATGTGTTTTCATTTCGTGAGCCGGCAGCATCAGCAACGTCCCGTCCCGTGCTCCTTTTCTTGCTGATTCCAACGAACTTTGATCGCCCAAAGAGTCGAGGGCCAAACCTGCCTCCTCAGGCGCCTCCGAAAAACCACCTCATGGCCAAGTCAAATTTTATGCGTGTCGCCATAGTCTTTTCAGCCACACAGATGACGGTGAGGACACTCCAGGCGAAAGAGAGTCGACAGGCAGTGGAGAGGAGCAATCAGAGGTAGCTGACGATGCTATGTCGCCAAAGACGCCTGCCAAGCGATGCCGAGATAAGAAACGTTTTTGAATAAATCATGCGCTAGCGCTCTTCTACAAGAAAATGCATCCGAAAAATATTTTCGGCAAAGTGAGCTTTTTCCGAACAAACACTCCGAATCTTCGTGTGCATTTTCGACCTCGCTCCCGCGTGCCGAATCTTTTTGCCGAATTTCGGAATGCAAAACCTCACTATTATTGAGATTTACAGATGAGAAATTCCACACCTGTCAAATCGTTTCTGATTCGAGCACCCGGGTCTACGCGATAGTTTTGACCAGGGAGTCACCATGGCACAATACTACTCTAAATACTACTCCCTGGTTTTGACTGTCATGTGTGTGTGTGTGTGTCTGTAGATCTACACGACGACGTGCCGTGACGTCATGACGTAGATATGTACGTGATGTCACTGATGTGTCATGACAAAAGCATCGCAGATTTTTACGAAAACAATCGCGAATTCGCGTGTGTGGCGGGAGCGCGCGCTACCTCAGATCAGGTGAACCAAAAAATATGAATTTTCCTGTCCTCATCATCTTCATCGATAATACGAGCTTTCTTTAGTTCTGGCTGCGCAGAACATTCAGGACAAGGTTTTGTAGCGTTTGTCAGCCAGGACTTATGGATGCAACCTCACCTTCTAGCTCTGGAGCAGCAACACGGGCTGAACCCAGTAGTGGAACCGATAATTCTCGTGTTCCAATCGAACTTGCCAGTCGCTCAGGCCTCAAAGCGATGGACACTGAAGTGGCGATGGGCATTCGTGCTGCCAAGCTGAACAAGGCTCTGGAGCAGACTACGGAAAAGTATTGCGCGTCAGCCAGGTAAATTTCATGGATTATTTATGCATACATCCAACCTTTCAGAAGTCGCTTGTTGCTCACACGAAACCCGAATTCAGTGGGATGACTTGAGTCAATGACCGTATATAATTTTAACAAGTCTCTTGTATTTGAACATGTCCTGGCACGCGCCCGCGCGCACACACACACGCACACACACACGCGCACACACACACACACACACACACACACACACACACACACACACACACACACACACTACTACTACTACTACTACTACTACTACTACTACTACTACTACAGGCCCGTCGCACCGACTTACTGAGGTGGGGCGGCAATGGAAGGGGGTCTGGGGGTCCTCCCCCTGGAAAAAATTTCAAAAATTGAAGCCAATTGCAAGCATTTCCGGGTATTTGGTGCCATTTTAGTGTACGGTAACTACAATGGAAGTCTTTTTGATTCTGCAACAAACGAAGAAGACGCTACGATCGGGGACAAACATTACCCTCCCCGGGGAAAAAATCGAAGCCAATTGCAAGCATTTCCAGGCATTTGGTGCCATTTCAGTGTAACTGCAATGAAAGACTATTTTCTGCAACAAACCACGATCGGGGACAAGGATTTGTCACGTTTGCGCTAACCTGCGATCATTATGCTTTGTTGTAATGTGCTCCAAAAGAAAAAAAAAGAAAAAAAACGGCCGAAAAAGTGGGGCGGCTGAGGCCGCCCCAGCTGTGACGGCCTTGTACTACTACTATCAATCAGCTACCCCAGTGGGGTCACGCCGGCCTCCACTCAGAGAACTGAGCGCAAGGTGAGGGGCAGTGGCGCAAAACAAAACAGGAAGTACAGCAGAATGAATTGAAAAAAAGGAAATCAAAACAAGCTGCCATATTGATGGAAAAGAACTCACCAACAGAGGAAAGAAATATCACAAACCAGATGAACAGTCTGCCGCAGGTCCACTATAAAATGCAACGACTGAAAAAGGAACAATATAAAAAATAAATATGATAGCAGTGATGGCAACAGCAGCAGTTATGAGACGGCGTGTAGTGTTACGGTAACTGTTCAGAACTGTTCAGAGTCGTATCCTAGGTTAATCCGAATACTAAAAGTTGACCCAAATTGCACATAGCACGAAGCTGGTTTTTGAAAATTGTAAGTCGTGTATCTGCCCCATTTCTTCTTTATGACTTGCACAATACACCAGTTTTCCTAAACAACACATTTCTAGCAGGGGTTAAGTACCATATAACTTATAAGAGAAGTACAGCCAGTGATATTGTCATGTTGAAATACTACAATTTTGACACAGATTACATATAACACGAAGCCAGGTTTTGAAAAATGTAAGTCGTGTATCTGCCCCATTTCTTCTTTATGACTTGCACAATGGTCCAGTCTGCCTAAATAACACATTTATAGCAGGGGTTATGTACCATATTAGAGAAGTACAGCCAATGATATTGTCATGTCTAAATACTACAATTTTGACACAAATTAGACATAACACGAAGCTGGTTTTTGAAAATTGTAAGTCGTGTATCTGCCCCATTTCTTCTTTATGACTTGCACAATACACCAGTCTTCCTAAACAACACATTTATAGCAGGGGTTAAGTACCATACAAGAGAGCTACATTGTACATCTAGTCATACTGTCATAAACAGCCAGCATTTTTCCTGCAGCAGTCGCACCACCATCATCATTATTTCCAGGGAAATCCTCTTACATTGTCAGCTCCTACGTCGTTAGATACAATGTAGGGGGCTGTAGGACCGGCTCGTCGAAAATAGAGAACCTGAACAAGCGTGCTCGGGACGTCTCAGCAATCGTAGTATGCCTGAGCACTCCAATAAAAACTTGATCAATGGCAAAATCGTTCCCCACAGAAAAATCATACTTTGCGGGTCTTGCGTTGCACGCTTGGAGGTGAAGTACAGAAGGCGAGTCGATCCGAGTATGACCTTTCGGACTGGACTGGACTGAACTATTCCAAAAATAACAACGAGGGGTCACGGGTGCGAGTCAACCCATGTGACACGGATTTCTGTGCCGTGTCACCTCCCTAGTTTGAGTACGACTCCCTGGTGGGCACCGAACGTCCCACAAGGGCTCCACAAGACGTACTTTCACGAGCGACGAGGAGTGTGCACAGCAAGCTAATAACACTACAGCATCGCCGCACGACGACTGGCCACTCAGGTCGAAACAACACGGCCAAGGACAAATTCACGATTCCAGCGGTACACCGCGCAGGAAAAATTTTCTGCGAGTCTGACCTGTTTCCTTTCTCATCCAGGAGTCCACTTGCTTTGCCGAACGCCAATGCATTGTTTTTGGCTGGGGGTTGATCCGAGGGCTCGCCACACCACTGCGGAGGATGCGGAAAGGACGCAAGAAGACGGTGACGACAACAAATTACCCGCCCTGGTCGTCAGCTCACTGAATGTCCTGCCTTTCGCGCGCGCACGCGCGCTTGAGCGAAACCGGCTGCAAGGCATGAAAAGCCTACTGCTAGTCAATACCCAGGGACGACCCTGACCAGAAGGCCAGGGCCGCCCCGTGGAGGAGGCCAACAAAGAGAAAAACACACACACACACGCACACACCTGGCCTGGTGTACAGCTGCCATATGCTTGGCCACCCCGACCCCGAGACAGGGGAGAGTAGAAGAGAGAGAGTTTGAGAGAAGTCAGCACTGCCACTAGGAAGCCGCTCCGCCACGACATCGCCGAAAGCCAGAAGCAGATTTAAAACAGCGATCACAGGTAGCACAGTGCTGGTTGCAACACGCAACGGATGGCTGGTGATTGGTATGCGCTGGGGTGTGGGCGGTGATGCCGGGGCGGGTGTCGTGCACTTGTGCACAGCAAGTCCACCGGCACTTCGGAACCACCGAAGGCAGGTATGGCATTGACGTGCGTCTGGCTGTTCCGCTACGGGCAGCTGACGATCAGTAGAACATTTGTGTCGTCCGAGTCTAGATTTACTCTTGAATGTCCGTTTACATACCAAGCAAGAGCCACACACAAACACACACACACACACACACGCATGCACGTGCACACACACACACACACACACACACACACACACACACCTGCCGGTGTCTTGTGTGTGGTGTCACACATATTGCTACCGGCATCCACGCACATATAGACTTCCTACGGTAGCTTCCAACAATATTAACTCCCAAAGACTCGTTTGACTTTGCTTGTTAGTACTTGTAGCATTACCGTATTTCTCCGATCATAAGTCACACTCGTTTATAAGTCGCACCCCCCCCCCCCCCTTCAGATTTGTGCCATGTTGTTTCAATGTACTGTAAAACGTGTAATTTTCGGTGTAACTTTAATTTCGGTGATTTCGGTAGAGAAACCAGGCACCTAAATTTAAATTACACCTAAAAGGCACTAGAGTATGCACTGTATGTGAAGGGAACGCTGGTCACGTAATTCTAAATTACATCTGAAACCTGGCAGGTCCCTGGCACCGAAATTTTAATGCACCTAAAATTACATATTTTTCAGTACCGTAAACACCGTAAATAAGTACCTGCCCGAAATAAATACCCCCTTCATTCTTTTGACTCTGTCTGTTGAAGTCAAGTCAAGCCCGATAAACATACTACCCGAAATAAGTACCGGTACGGTGCGCACATGCAGCATGTAGCATGCACATCTACATCAAAATGACTTCTCCACTACACACAAGTCAGGCCCGATAGTTAGTTCATGCCCGAAAGTCAGTACCCGCCCGAAAGTTAGTACGGGTGTGGCAACTGCATACAACTGCCTCGTGGTGGCGTTCTTCTTGAGCATGTCCTTGACGGTACGGGCCATGCGCTCGGCTTCTCCATTACTCTGCGGGTAATGTGGACTGCTGGTGACGTGCTGGAAATTGAGTTGACGGGTGAACGTCCGGAACTCCTGCGAAGCAAATTGCGGGCCATTGTCAGAGCCAACAATGGCAGGAACACCATGGCGGCTGAAAAGCGAGTGGAGTGTGTCCACGAGTTTATTAACGGTGATAGACGACATGGTGATGACCTCAGGGTAATGAGAGTAGTATTCGACCACGACCAACCAGTTGGTGCGATTATGCTTGAAGAAATCCACACCAATCGTGTGCCAGGGCCGTTCGGGAGTGGCGGTGGCCACGAGCGGCTCAAGTGGCTGCAGGCGATGCTCTGCGCACTGCGGGCAGTTGGCAACCAACTTAGAGATTGCTGTTGCGAGGCCTGGCCACCAAACAGAACTGGCAGCGCGCAGTTTGCATCGTACTTCGCCTTGATGACCGGTGTGGATCAGCGCTAACATATCACTGTGCAATGCAGGCGGGATGTATATGCGCTGACCTCGTAGGATGATGCCCGAGGTGATGGTGAGCTCATGTCGTAGCGGCCAGAATACTCTTATGTCTGGTGAGAGTGTCTTGGATGAGGGAGGCCAACCATTGGTGATCAGCGTTAGCAGCTGCTGACACACTGAATGGGCAGCTTGTGCTTCGCCAATCGAAGCCAGTGATGCGTCCAGCTGCTCGACTGCGGAACGCGTGACCTGAGCATACGCTTCCGCGTCTTCCTGGAGCTCAGTGTCGGCAGCTGGGCGACTGGCGGAACACAGTTCTGGAGCCCGTGACAAGGCGTCGGCGGAATAAAGATATTTGCCAGGCACATGAATAACATCATAGGCAAACCTGGCCATGCGCTGCCGAAAGCGTAGGATTCGAGCTGGCAGGGAGTACAGCAGCTTCGTATTGAAGAGTGGGACCAACGGCTTGTAGTCCGTCTCGATGCTGAATACCGGCAAACCAAGAAGGTAGTGAGAGAAGCGCTCGCAACCCCACGTTAGTGCGAGAGCCTCCTTCTCAATCTGTGCATAATTCAGCTCGGCCGGTGACAGTGAACGAGAGGCACATGCGACCGGCTGCCAGTCGGCTGCTGGTGAGCGGCGCTGGAAGAGAACAGCTCCAATGCCGTAGGCAGACGCATTGGCAGAGACCTTCGTATCATAGCGGGTAGAATACAGCACAGGGCAGGGGAGCATCATACATGGACAGGGCAGTCCATAAGAGACTTTAGTGGTCAAACGAATGCTGAGAAGCTTCGAACGTTCGTTCTCGAGTCGATATTCGAATGTCAAGTTGACCGCCCAAACGAATATCGTAACTCACAAAGCTGTGAACTCTGCACTCGTAGCAGCGATTTTCATGCATGCAAGCACGTACACACGTCTACTTTTGAAGCCGTGCCGCGCTGTCTTCATGACTGTACATGTACATATGTATGCATGCCATGTAACTAGTACTAGTAGCTGGCGCGAGGTGTGAAAGTAAGTAACGTTAGTTGTACATGTACAAGGCCGGATGTTTGTGGTCCGATCACGAACTGGCCCAGACTCGAGTCGGTGTGCGCGCGCGAACCATGTGAACTGTGCTGTGGACTGGGTGGACTGCGTGCACTGCACTGGTATGGGTGCTCAACTGATTACTTCCTCAAGATCGTAGACTACGGTAGGTCTAGTCTGCGCAGTGAACTCTAGTCTGGGTTGAACGTTGCATGCGTGCACCGCGTCCGGCTGTGAAACTGGAAGTGCAGTGCCACAGGCGATTTTAGTCGTGACAACACTCGACGGTCTGTCTGAAATAATAACTATTGCTGAGAGCAGTCGTTGAGTCTTTCTTCATCAAATCCACCCAACGTTCGTCATGGCCGAGAAGAGTAGGCGCTCTGCCGTATGGGATTTCGGAATAGAGAAAACGGCTGACAATATTATCTTTATTCTCACGACAATATTGCTACGTGTACTCGGTTCAAGCCGCCGAAAGACTTGGCAGATCATGGCGGAACAACGAATTTACGTAACCATCTGAAGGACGTTCACCATGTCGACTTGGTTGGCGCAGGGGCGAAACCGAAAAAGGACGGAGGGATAACTGCCTTCTTCAAGGCAAAGAAAGTGCCAGCGGCTAGATCCTCTGAGGCTCTGGATGCGACGACCGATTGGTGGAATTTGTGTGCAGAGATCTTTGGCCTGTGAGCGTAGTCACTGGTGCGGGGGTTCCTTTCTCTCATGAACTACCCCGAGCCTGGCTACCTGCGACTCAAGTGACAAAGCTAATTCAGCGGAAGCACGTCGCGGGCCTGAAGTTGCTGGTGCAGTGGTGGAGAACCTTGAAAAGGCCAGCTCCATGGCGCTGACTACAGACCTGTGGACAAGCAGACGAATGGAGGGGTACATCACCATCACTTTCCACTTCATAAATGAGTCATGGCATCTACAGTCTCTGTTGCAGACTTGCAGTGTGCAACTTCACTTATGATTTGGGTGCCTTTTACAAAAGTTTTAGTGTTACATACTGGTTGGTAGCTATAATTTCTTACTGATTTCTTAATCATGGAACGGGCGACATTCGTTCGGTATTCGTTAGGAACATTCAGAGAAGGTTCGATTCGCTGTTTAGCACATTCGTTTGACCACTAATTAAGAGTACATACATACTTCAAGTAAATACGGTAGTGCATACACAACAGTGACCATAATTGTAGAGTGCGGTTTACCCAATGGTCCGTATTCTGAGTTTGTTTGCACCGGAAATTGTGCATCCAAGTATGTGTAGTCACTGCTATTTTTGTTACGAAACTCGGACCCAGAAGGCTGATGTGACACTTAGTACATTATATATTATATGGAATACAAATTTATAGCAGGCGTGTCCTCAGCATTTGAATACTGTACCCTCGCAACATCCCGTCAACATTTGTGCTGTACGATCCGCACACTCACTTGATTATGATTTTCTTGGACTGTGCATTCATCTGACACTGTGTGTATATGTGTGTGTGTTTGTGTGTGTGCATATGTGTGTGTGTGTATGTTTTTGTGTGTGTTTGTGTGTGTGCATGTGTGTGTGTGTGTATGTTTGTGTGTATGTTTGTGTGGGTGAGTGTGCATGGCGTGTGTGCGCGCATATGTGTGTGGCGTGTGCGCGCATATGTGTGTGTGTGTGTGTGCCCGCCCGCGCGCGCGCGCGCGCACGCACGTTTTCTGGTCTGTCCTGGTCTGTGCCGTGTTTCACAGGCACATTCTAGAGCTCTTCCCCAACGTCAAGGGCCACCGGGCACGCCTCCTCAAGGAATGGGCTGCGGCAATGTCCGTACAACTCAAACGTTGCATAGATGTAAGTTGGTGGGATATAGGGAGCGTTTATTTTGATCTTCAGATTTCGGTAGAAAGTTCGCTCATACCTCAGTTATCCATTGTTTCAATATAGCCATGTAGGTAGGATAGCACATTCGATTGTAAGTCGCACCCAATGCTTTGCCCTTGAAGCTTAGCATAAAAAGATGCGACTTTTATTCGGGGAAATACGATGTTGGCAACTCGCAAGCAGCAGATTTCGTTATAATAGCGAGCCATTGCCATAATATCCCTGTTTGAGCCCATACAAATTAACCCATTGTACCGAACTGCTTTCGTACAACTTTATAACGAAGGAGAGCATGTACTGTAAGCCGGCAAAGTTTCAGCCCGTTTAAATATCAGACCCCACGGGCAAAACCCATTTCGGCCGCATTAAAATTTTAGCCTGTACCATTGCTGCCTGCATACCCTGTCATTCTGTGCCTTGCAAACCGAAATATCAGCCTCGAAGACCCGGACGGAAAATAGCCGAAAAACGAACATACGCCGAATATCTGTTCACTTACAGAATGCCAAGTGCACTGCTGCACTCACTGCCTGTAAGCCAGGCATGATGCGTTGTTTTATATGCTGTGAGTGCCTTCCTGGTATAAAATAAAACCCTTTTGGTTTTATTAAAGAACTAATTCTCCGGCAAATCAGTGTTCGTTGTATCAGGAATCAACAGAACTCTATGTAACGTTATATCATGTAGTGGTGGTGTATGCCTCGCTGGATCGTGCCGTGGAGAGAACATCTAGTTATGTTTGTTGTCTATTCCTTGATGTCGTTAACTGCAGGCGGAGTGTAAAGAATTGTGGAAGGAACTCAATCTTGTCGAACTCCTCAACCGGCTAGATCAGATCACGGAGGATGAGTCGCTGAGCACTGACGATGGAAGCTGTAACTGGTAAGCAATTACTCTAAACTGCCTAATGGAGAGTTTATGCTTCATGTTTTTTTTTCAATTTCAAATGTGAGATCTCATTGCCATAATCAGGGTCCGCACCACTCCTTGAATTCCTTGAAAGTCCTTGAATGTCAAAGCCGGATTTGAAAGTGCTTGAATATCCTTGAATTTTCGTGTGGGTGCTTGAATTTTTGAAAAAAGTGTGTTTTTCCTTGATTTTGGGTTTGAATGCGGTAGATCTACTCACGTTCATGCAGTAGGTCTACGCGCACTGCTGGGTAACCGGTACCGTAGTCCGTAGATCTAGTACCAAGAGTGGATCCACTCTTGGTAGTACTGATAGGGATCTCAGCGCGTGAGCTGCGCAGCCTGTTTGCGCAGGTGAGATTTTCGATCCCAAACGCGTCCAGTGCAGAAACCCTGAAAAATAACATTTTTTTCGAAATAAATCGAGTTGAAGAAGACGGTAGAAATGGCTGAATATTGCGTCCAGGAAAGCACGTTCTACGGCCATTTCCAAGCTACCTATCTCCCAGGCACTCTCTCAGAGGAACTATGGAGGGTCAAAGAGCACAATAGTTCACTCTTGGACGCAGCGTGAACACCTCTTCTTCTGAGCGCGATGTCTTCTCTCTGAGTGATAATGGCGGCGATGTTCCAACCAACGGTTAGCCCACCAACTAATGTCCTTGAATGTCCTTGAAAAAATGGGGTTTGGGGCCCTTGAAAACTCTTGAATAATATTTTCATGACTTGGTGCGAACCCTGCATAATGCATCTCACGTTGCAACTTGAGATTTCAACACGACAGACGGCCAACTCACAGCGGAAAAAAGTGATTCTGAATCACGGGTGTTGAATCATTCAACACCCGTTTTTTTTCTCATGTTCGAAATTGAAAGATCGTGAAACGTAAACTCTCCAGATGGAAATAATCCCCTGGCGCGCAACAGAAAACTGCGAAAGCATGAACAAACAAACTCACGATCGCTCAGTACCGTGAATTCCGTGTTCACACAGTATAAGAAACAATAATGATGTCATGCTCTACAGACTTCACCTGCGACAGGCGTTATGAATTATAATGTAAGGAGCTGAGGTGCCTGAAGGTATCACTCACCATGAGGTCGTCGCGATTGAGGGAGTTGACCAGCACACGCATGTCAAAAGCATGACATTTATGTGCTATCAGCACAATCTGGAGTAGCTGGAGTCACTTGACAATCACCACCATCACCAACTTTGCCGTCGTTGTCACCAACGCTCTCAGTTCCAATTGCGCTAGGATAGAGGCGGTGCTCTTTCCAGGCATTGTACTCGGCATCATGTGTCAAGTTGTGCCCCTCGGCCAAACGGCGCTCAAACAGCCGCAGTTTGTCTGCTGTAAGTGGAGGAGTAGCTGGAGTCACTTGACCAGGCTCTTGCGTTGCAGCACACACTGTGGTTGGCTGAGCAGTGGTCGGCTGACGGCTGGACGACATGGCACGGGTATTAGGTATGGTGACGCTCCTTTGCCAAATTTGCCTTGCAGCTGTTCTCTGCGCATTCCTCCACAACATTGCCAATGGACCTCTCTGCTTTCTTCACCGTCTTGTGGCAGACAGGAGGGATGTCGATAGTGGACAAGAAACTGTTGACATGGGTCTCTCCAATGCCAGCATGCAGCATCCCTGAAACAGCAACGACAACAGCACAGAGGACACAAAATGGCAGCACAGCGGACACTATGACAACTCAGAGGGACACTCACGAACACAAACAAGAATGTTGCAGAAACACCGGTCGTTTTTTTCAATACAAGCAGAAAACTTGCAACAATAATCTACGAAAAATTTTCATTTTCAAAATGTGACTTACCCAGGGCAGCTTTCTTGTTGCTAGCAAATGGCTTGGGGCCACGGGATGGAGGTGCGTTCTTCACACGACTATCAATATCAACATTGCTTACAAAGCCACAAGCCTCGCAACGGATATGGAGAACGGAGGCCAGGCCATATCGTTTCTCGCCCACGCAGTCCACCAAATGCAATTTTCCTTTGCACGTGGTATTCTGGCACGTCATCCCAGCAGCCAACGTAGGAAGGTGGACTGAGCGCCGGCCCGCAACTGGGTAAATCAACACCCTCTTAGAGAGAGGAAAACAATGTGACGGAGTGGTCACAGGATAGGTAGAATTGTCAGCAGTGGCATTCTACTGACCTTGCAGGCACTCCTCAGACTCTGATTTCCGTTTCTTACGATACTCAGCCAATACCTTGGACGCTGCTTGGTTCCTCGACACTATCCCTTTCTTGGAGTACCTTCCCTTCTTGTTTCTCTTTGCTCTCTTGTCCTCGTTCATCGTCCCGAGACAGGTCGAGAAGCGACAACTAAACAGGAAAATTAGTGGGTAGTGCTTGACTCAAAATTCAAAATATACACACAAAAGCGACCATTTCCTGGCAGCATTGTGGCCAAAGTCCCGATGTCCGCGAGGCCGCACTCCGTTGCCACAGTTTTTCTCGTGCCAGAAAAGCTCAAAACTCGAGCGCAAAAAGATGGCTGAAAGTGTAGCGAACTACCTTAAGATGTACGGGGCACACAGTTGCCTTGTTCCACTGTTGTAAATTGTAACGTGGACTGTTCAGATTGTCAAAATGAAAACTGTATTTACTCAGATGTTGAGCCAAGGAAAATATTAAATGGAAGCAAGGAAAACGGTGGGGCACAAGTTATGCGTCAGAGTCCACCAACTAAACCAGGTTTTGAACAGTCTGTCAGTCTGGTGCTACCTTGTGCACGTCTGTTTGTTCAAAACCTGGTTAAGTTGGTGAACTAACGCATAACGTGTGCCCCACCGTTTTCCTTGTTTCCATTTAATGCCGTATTTCCCCGATTATAAGTCGCACCCCCATTTTCAGGTTTGAGCAGTATTGTTTGGATTAGGCCAAGTAAAAAAAATTGTTTACCGTCAGCGCCCGCCCCATAATTTTTGCCCTCCCGGCCGAATTATTTTATTTTTTAGTTCCGCTAAATGTACTGTATGTGCTGCGATCCATGCCTATGACCTCTAATCAGCGTGGCTGTAGATCTTGGAAGGCCAAGTCTGCAGACTGAACCATACATGTATGGTGCTATGGGCTTGAAAAGTGAAAGAGATTATCAGCTGCCTGATTTTCTTACCAGTTTACCAGTAACAGTACTGGTACTAGTACTAGTTGGTACATGACTTAATAATAGCCGTCTGGCATGGTACAATAACCTTTTTAATTTTTCTTTTATTTTTAATGGCTTTCTCTTCTACCTCGAATGGTTTACAATCTGTATCACAATTATTTGTGGGTTAAGCAATAAAGGATGTGGAGTACTAATACTGGTAAGGCATCAGGAAGCGGAGATTAGAGAGGGACCGGATTAACGTTGCTTGTTGGTAGTGGTTGCGATGGTCGTGTGCCTCTGTGCTCCGCCGGCGCTTCTCTTTGTCTGTACAGGCGACCGAGTGGCGATGCCAACGAGGACATTGATGCTGGCGATGCACGCGGACCGGAAGTGCGCGTTTGGCTGGAGAAGGAGCTCGAGAGCGTGAGTCCATGCCTTTCTTCTCTTTCTCGGACTCCTCCTGACTTTTCTTTCATTCTCCTGGGTGGCTACCAACAGCCAGTGCATGCCGGAGTATGTGGTGTGGTGTGGTGTGGTGTGTGTGTGTGTGTGTGCGCGAGGAAAAAAATGAAAAAGGCCGAAAAGTACTGCAGCACTTTATATAGCAGAACCCTCTATTAGCCAGCATAATAATCAGCAGCCAAAATGTCCTACTCATGCCCGCTGCCACAGCATATCAGATTTGTTAATCCAGCACCCTCCCTAATCCAGCAGAAACCGTAGCACAATCGGTGCCAGATTATAGAGGGACCACTATAACGTTACTGGATTGAATGTTTTACGTCAATACAGGTCTACCCTGGTTAGTACGTCATCGGTCACAAGACAAACCTCGTTAGTGGACAACGATTGAAAATCCCCTGACGTCTGAAACGTGTACACTCACGTCCGGATAGTACCGTACTGGCAATATATATGGTCGCAGTGAGGCCATGAAGCGTTACATTGGCACATGTTTACCGCACGCAGGGCGTTACATGCAAAGTCGCACAGGAGCCGTTACACAGGTTTCTATATTGCCGCAGTCCTTTTTTTGCTATTGCAGGACTTCGTGCTGCGTCCAGTTTTGAACTTTTCACCACGCGGTACACGTGCTTTCACAGTTTTCAGCCTTTTTTGCAATGAAAAGATCGCCGCACCCCGCCGGACGCGCGTTACAAACGCAACGAAAATTTGTCGCACTAGCCTGGTCGCGCGTTACGCCGCACCCCCTGCGTTACGCGGCAACATATATTGCCAGTACGGTAGTCAATACTCGTTATAAATATAAGACAAACATTTTGAAATCCCCGGGATTGTCTACTAAGGGCGCGTTCAGACTGGCGTGAATAGCCGCCGGAAAGCTGCAGCGTAATCCCGGGAATCGCAATCACACTGCACATGTATCCCGCTGGAATGGCCAGTACATGTGAAGCTTCGACATTTGAAAAATTTGAGTTGACTAAGTAATAGTTTGAGTTGGATATCAAAATAAACTAATTCAGTCTGTTGAGATGCTGGATCATTGTGCATTTGCTTGTGCTTGTCGACGGAAAGAATACTATGTCCGGAGTGTTTGGTGCTTGGGTGGCATTCATCCGCTCCGCGATCAGAGTATGCTTCTCGTTCGCAGTAACGTTTTGCCTGCAGAGCGGCCCGCAAAAATCACCACGTACAGCTCCATGAACTCCCTCTCCATTGCTGAGTCGAACAAAGATTTCGGCATGATGGGAGAAGTAATTCGTTGGCAGTCTAGAAGTCAAAACTCAAAACTCAAAAGCATGCAGTCAGACTGCAAGAGTAGAGGCTGAAATAAAACGAAAAGACGGAACATGTGCTGGAAGGATATCAAAAGCGCTCCGCGTGCCGCCGGAATCTGCATTCCACTGGCCTGCAGAGTGGTGGGAAACCTTTTCCGTGTTTACGCTGGCGGGAACGTCACGTGGGCGATTCACCTTGACAACTTTCACATTCCGCTTGTTTTTTACGCCAGTCTGAACGCGCCCTAAGGAGGATAGACCTGTACCGCACATTCCAGGATGTCCATGTAAGTCCATCCCAGCACAAGTTGCCATGTCTAGCATAGGTGTTCGCTATCATCGCTTCCGCGATGGGCATGTCTGAGAGTCTGAGATGTAGGTCATGAAAACGACTTGCTGACATGCCATTACCTGTACACCTTGGTTTCGCGGATGCAGATGCAGTGAATGGGATTTTCGGTCTTTGACCGCTTTGGTGGGTCTGATCTCCTCACCTCCCACTGCTTTAGGAGCGGTCTCTGCGCCTTGATCCTTGAAGGGACATTTTGTTTTGGTTTTGTGCTTGTAGGCGAAGGAGATGACTGAACAGTTGGAAGCGCAATGTGCCGCGAAGGAAGCGGCCCTCGCCAGGACGCGGGAGCGCCTCAACGAATCCTGGGGCAGGATTGACAAGGTTTGTGTGTGGTCATGTGTGTGTGTGTGTGCATGTGTGTGTGTGTGTGCGCGCGTTTGGGCAGTGCCCGGGGTGACATTGTTGAGTTCAACTGCAGACATCTTGTCAAAGTGCTATTTCGAAGTAGAATTATCTTTTCGCCGATTCAGGGACCAAGGCGTATTGATAGTGTGAGCGTTGTTTCCTCTCCAGCTTTTCCTTACTTTGAATGTGTAACTGTGTGCTTCTATCCAGCTTGGCTCTGTTCTGTCTGACTTGCCGCTCGAGGAAGCCAGTCGTGTCTTGGATAATCCCCGCCACGACAAGAGTGCACAGTGCATGCCACCTAGCAAGCGCAAGCGGCTCGCCTGAACCCTCTACCGCAGTGTTTGCAAGCTACCATTGCCTTTCCGTTCGTTGCCCATTCTGTGCGGAGTTGGGGCCGTGCGGGCCTGCCAGCATGGACGTGTCCCTAGCTAAGCTTCCCTCCACTCTTTGACTTGACCTCTCTCTCTCTCTCTCTCTCTCTCTCTCTCTCTCTCTCTCTCTCTCTCTCTCTCTCTCTCTCTCTCTCTCTCTCCTCTCTCTCTCTCTCTCTCCCACCTATTTTTTGGACCTCCCTGTTTTGGACTGCTCTTCACATCCAGACGTCTTCAGCAGTGAGCAGTCATGCCAAGTTGTGTTTATGTTTCTTTAGTACCTAGCACCGCATGTGTGTCGCTGCCTGAACGATCTGTGCTCTAACCGCTCCAGCGGGTTTCCGCAACCTCAAGAGCCCCTTTCTCTCTCTGCTCTACTGTTCGGCCTTGACTCTATCTTGTCTTCTCCTCTCCCTCTAGCTCTGATTCTGCCGTGATCTATTTTGCATGTGTACTAGTAACATTTTGTCTTGAGAGCATTTGACCTTTACTCGTTTTATGTGCACTGCCGAATTATTGGACGCTTTACTCTTTTATATATATAGCTTTTTCATATTCCTTTTTAGGTAGCGCGTGCTCGTACGGTTATGTACGTACAGGCGTCTAGTTTTTGTTTATGCATTTCTGTAGCAGGGCCTGCTGCAGCCCCACGGTTTGTTTTCCGTTTTCGTGTCCGAGTGGCTCATTGGCAGAGCATGGATGCATGCCACTCCTCCAACTACACTTGTGCAGTGAGTGATTCGTCAGGCAGCCCAAACAAAATAAACACCGGCGCAGCTGTTGCATGCGCCACGACCGCGGGGGTTAGTCGCGAATTGCCCATGTGCTGCAGCCTTCGTGTGTGCACGATGCAAGTGGCTGAGAAACTGAGACTGCATGTGGGTTATGTGGAGGGAATTCATGTCAGTCCCAAGAGAACTCAAAGAAACTCGGGTGTTCCCCCTCTCAAAGGCACACCAGTACTTTACTGGTTTTTAATATGAAATGAATAAAAATCAGAAATGCATGGTGTAGGTGATATGAGGGACCTTGATCCCCAGCTGGGATAGATTTAAAATAAATGCCAAGCAAGCATCCACTATTATCCCCACCGACCATGCCTCTCTCAGAATAATAAAGTAGACTCAGAGCTAGCTATCCAACGATTACGTTACGTTCATGATGGCTTTGATGCGAGTCGGGAGCAGGGAGTCGTTAAATACCTGTATTTTACGACTTCCTGGTCGGGAGATCGGAGTGCGCGCGTGCCATCTCAGGAGCAGGGAAAAAAAAAAGAACGTGCCCCCTGTGAGGATCGAACTCACGACCTTCAGATTATGAGACTGACGCGCTGCCTACTGCGCTAAGGAGGCAACTGGCGGGGAACCAGACTTCGCTGTGTTTACACGCCTCATCACTACTCAGTAAAAGTCCTGCCATTGCCGCATCGAATGCACGTAGATCTACGTGCTAACGTTATAACAGGATCAGGAGATCAAAAACAGCTTGTTTATGCTCTCTAGCTCTTGGTGCTGATAGTAGCCGCTAATACCAAGACTACACAAGCCGGGGGGGGGGGGGGGGGGGATGTACTCCACCCTGCTGCATGTAGCGCACTGTGCAGGGCTCCCAAGCTGTGAAGTCACACCAGTGGGCTGGTACATGGTCCAGACTTGCCCAATACGCACGTACGGATCGCACACACAAGCAAAATACAGGTGTACCCTCGTTATTAAACCACCGGGGGGGGCAGGATTGTTGTCTTATACAAACGCGTATTATCTACTATTCAGACTTGCACGTACACGTTTCAGGCGTCAGGGGAGTTTGGATGGTTGTCTACTAGTGAGGTTTAGCGAGTAACCGACGATGCCATGCTAACGAGACTAGAACTGTACCTGTACCAGTACAATGTAAGTACCAATCCTGCATGACCTTCACGCTCGTACTTGAAGTAGACATTTCGCACAGTACCGGGAAAACAGTGGAGAGGAACAAAAACAGAAGATTATAAATTTTTTGTTTACAAACGCAATCAGTACATAATCAGAACATAGTGTGCGAAAGTCATGGATGAAGACAGGCATGTCGGTGCCACGTCATGGTGCTGTACAGGGATCATTATGAGAAGAATTACAAGTAGGATTGTGATCATTTTAAAATATTCTATTAATGCTATGGTAATATGAAGGGATGACGGTATGGAAGTGGAATATTACAGTATCATACAATGCGCTCTAGTTCGCGGGCGTACGTCAGCGTGTTGCCAATGAGGCCGTCGGAAGACACGTACCGACCTTCGGGCTCCGGCTCGCAGAAGACAAACTGCTTGGACTCGTTCGACTGCCAGCTTCGGCCGCGCGCAAACTCGAGGGCATCTGGCTCCGACGTGAAAGACAGCATTGACATTGCGTCGTCCACGTCGATGCTGCGGTACGCCTTCTCAATGCATGAAGCAATCTCCGCTCGGACGGTGTCTAAACAAAACGACACGTGAACACAAAAAGCATCAAACAAGAACAGCAGGAACGGTTAGGTATGCTGCAAGGCAACGCGATTCATCATCATTTCTTCCTGCCATCTTCTTTAGGCCGGGGTTACCAATTGTTTTTGAGAAACGAAAAGCTTTAGTATTTTTCAACTACCACCCACCCACCCACCCACCCTTTTCTGCAGGTAAAACGCAGTCCAACAAAATATTGATTTCAATCTTCGGCACCCAAAAGTAACTGGGCATTCTCCATGTACATTCAATAATGGTTTTCAAAACGAAACTCCTAAAACCCACCCACCCCCAAATGAAAACATTTCGTTTTGAAAATAGTATTGGTAACCTTGGATGGCCCTTTAGATCCGTCAATCAATACTAGTGGTAGATTTTTTTCTTTCGACCAGACGAGCAGGTGTCTGCAAGCATCGTGTGGTTTCGCCTGGTCACAAGAAAATCTACCAATGCTGGATTCATCATTGCCATGCAACTGCATTCACCCATCCTAGGCAGCAGCTTTCGTCCCAGCTGAACACTTTCACATGCATGGCAGAGTACGCTTCCTCGAGCTGGCCAGCTGCAACAGAAAACGCTGCCCCAGTCAAACATGCAAGTCGCACACTGCACTGTGGTGTGAAACATCGAAAAAAAAAGACCGATACCACATGGCTCTACACGTGGACTTAAACAAGGATGCATCTGTAATTACAGTAGAGGAAGCATTTAATACTGTGAGACCAGTAATGTTAAGGAACATGTTCATGTGTGTGCACTCATCCATGTTGCTGCACGTGCACCTTGCCCTTTCGCCTTGTCATGTTGCACCATTCATTAGTTTACTAGCATCCCTTTCTGTTCGCATGAATGCCTAGCTTGGTGTGTATGTGAGATCGGCGTATGATAGATCTACGCAGCACGCAGCAGCGCACCTGTAGCACGTCTGCCAAGCCAGCCAGCGCCGCTCATAGATGTACATGACAAGCTTCATTGCAGTGCGTAGATCTACGCGATGCGCAACCTTTGCAATCGCGGCTTTTATGCTTTATAGCTCTGCGAGACACCTTGGCATAACTGATTACAATGTAGTCTTCTCTTTGGCAGGACCAACTTTCGATGTCGTAGGAGCGAGAAGCAGTTTGATTTTCAGTTTACAGTCTTTTGGTTTCTTACGAATAAATGGTTACCTACGTGGAGTGATAATGCCTTCTGAGAGTGAACATTGAATTCCCCACGAGGTCCGAACAGAACATTTAATTCTAACGATTAAGCGAATTTAAAAAATTCGTTAACAATTGAAGTCGTTATGTACAAAGCGACATGCACAGTACAGTGATTTGCCGGTTTTGAGACAGAATTCGTTAGAATTTCACTCGTTAACCGCAAAAACCTGGAGATCGCTAACTTAAATGGACGTAAAAATTATCTGGTCTTACAGTACTAGCAAGAGTAGATAAACAAGAGTGTGCAACTCCGGATCTCTCCTGCACAATCTGCAGATACCCCCGCCCGTGGCGGAATTTTTTGTTGACGTCACCTTTTTTCAGAAGAATGCGCATTTTGCCCCAGAGCAGTGTGTGAGAGCACGTGCTGGGCACCGGCTTTGTAATGTAAAGCCCGGCCAAGTGCACGAGGCAAAACTTTCCAAAAGACTCGCAGCACGTGCATCGTCGAAAAGATTACGTCAACAAAAAATTCCGCCACGGGCCAACCCATCCCGGAGTTGCACACTCTTGTTTATCTACTCTTGGTACTAGGCAGTTTCACCTCGACCAAGTCAGAGGCTGGTAGAACCTGGTGGAGTGGATAGTTCATACTTTTTGACAATGAAAATGAGCATCCAACCTACGGAAGTTCGAAGAGTCGCTCGTCCCGCCTCATGAAGTCCCTGGCGCGAATTATTAGGGTGTGTGTGTGTGTGTGCGCGCGCGTGCGGACGTGTGGGAATGTGTTCATAAGGTTGGGGGAGTTGTGAGGGTGTTTTTTCCATGTCGTTTCTAATCAACCCCATTCATGCTGTACACATTAATTCGAATGCTGCCCTGTACCACCAGGCACCAGGCAGCAGGCAGAAGGCTGCACTGACTGCCGTGTTGCCCTAACAGTGGATTGAGACCGCCAAGCCCGTACCCACCGGGTGACCCATAGAAAAGCATAGTCCTCGTGGGCCGTTGTATTGCGTCATAATGACATCATAACGTTGGAGCTGACCAGTGACCACCGCACTGTGTCCATGGCGCAATCTCGCCCTCAAGCTTTTCAGCTATTCACGAGACCGAGACTATCACAGCTTGCAGTGTGAAGCGGGATTATGTTGGCGATAAGAAAATTGAACAAATGCCTGCGCTTTAGACAATGGGACTGGGTTGTAAAGTTCAAAGTTTGCAATTCAGCGCACCCGTCAAAAATTGCATACACTTTTACGAGTTCGGGAAGTTCAAAGCTAGGAACCCAGTGCCTCTCGCAAAAAAGTACACTTTCACGAGTTTGCGAAGTCCAAAGTAGGCGATTCGGCGCCTATCACCAAAAACGCAAATATTTTCGCGTCGCAAAGATCACCCATTTCACAGTGTTACTGAACGTTTGAAATGCACTCGTTTGAAATGAAACTTTACTTTGAGGATACTATCCAGCCTGGAACTGAATCATAAACAGGTTGTACAAATGCAGGATTTGGGACTGACTTCCCCCCATCTAAGCCCGTGTTAGGTGAGTAGAGCCACTAGCAGCAGCGGCGTAGCTAAGTACAATGAACATGCATGCAGGTGGGCGCTCACCAGTCATGATATTGAGCAAGAATAGATAGCTGCGTGCCGGGCTCATCTCCCGCAGTGTGAACACCTTGTTGTAGCACCCCTCCATCAGGCTCTGCTCCAGCTGGATGGGATACTTGAAGTACATGCTCGTATTCAGCTGCTCACGAGGCAGCAGCTCGATTTCAGTGTGGAACTCAGCAAGTCTGCTCTGCACGAGCAGCGACAGCAGATTCAGGCCCAGTAGCTCGTTCATGTAGGGCGAGTCCTCAAGCTGCGACTTGAAGTTGAAGTAATAGCATTTCAGCTGGGACAGATAGCGCTCAAATGAGGCTAGATCACCTTTCTCGATACTCCATTGAGCTCCAACTTCCAGAACATCACGAGCAATAACCAGCTCCTTGGCAGAAGGTTGACTTCCAACGTTGGGGAGGAAAGTAAGAGTGATTAGTTTTCGCTTGAGCAAGCTAAGGAGCTCCCCTACCTTGCCCAACTCTCTAGACTTTTCATCCTTATTCCACTCAGCAAACAGCTGCTCTCGGAGACGCAACGTCTCATCGTCCAACGCCATCTCTCTTTCTCTTCTCTCAAATGATTAGCAAAGCCAACACCGCTTATGCATTGGAAGCTGTGCAAAAAAAGTTTCTTTTCTCGGAGTTTCAAGCTTTGATCATGTTTGAAAGTGTTTGAAAACCGAGACGATCAGAGTGGTGAAGTTACGACTTCTGGGGAAGTCCCTCTGCATGCACCGCATGCAAAATAATAATAATTATTGATTAATTTTGTTTTGAAAATTGAAAGCCCACATTATTATGCCATGCAGCCTTGGAATACAATACTTTCTCTGAACATGGGAAGACGATCGATGCCGTTATCTTTGTTCCGTTGCTTCTCCTGTTATCTAAATGGCGGGCAGAATATGCAGTGAAGCAAGGAAGCGTGTTGCCGTGGCCCTCTCGGGAACGAAAAAATCAGCAGTAGCCGCACGAGTTCTTCAAGAAAGGGGCTACGATGTGTTCGGTGTTCACATGCTGGCTTGGAACGAACCAGACGCCAGGGGCTCATATCTCGGCGAAAAGCAATGGCGTGCAGTGCAGGCCATAAGCAAACACCTGGGAATGGAATGCTTTCAGATCGATTGTGTAAAACTGTACTGGAATGAGGTCTTCACGCCTGCAATTGAGGGCTATAGCAGAGGAATCAGCCTAAATCCAGATCTAATGATGAACAGAGAAATCTTTTTCGGTCCTATGCTGGAGCGCTGCGTGAAACAATATGGAGCTGACTACCTGGCAATTGGTGCTTGTGCTGTGGTTCGTGTAGATCCAGCCGGAGATGGGCAACAGGTTCAGTTGCTGTGCCCTGCTGATAGCAGGATGTCCGACGATGCTTACTGGCTTTCACAAATTCCGCAATTAGCGATGCAACGAGCTCTGCTACCGCTTGGCAACATGTCGTTGGACGACATCGATAAAGTATTCGTAGAGTCGGGGCTTTCAAAAGTTGCCATTGGACGCAAGGTCCGGGGATTTTCGGGCATCGGTGTGCGTAACTTCCGTGCCCTGATGTCCGAGTATATTGGAGATCGACCAGGGCCCATAGCGTTACTGAATGGCGAGGTTGTGGGTGCACATCGTGGAGTGCACTATTTCACGGAGGGGCAGACGATCAGTTTCGTTTGGCGATCGGAGTGGCCGAGGCCAAAAGGTTCCTCCCGATACTTTGTTAGTCGCCGTGATGCGAGTACCCGTACACTGTTTGTGGCCGACGGTTACGAGAATCCTGCGTTTTACTCTGAAGACCTTATTGTTCGAAACCTGCACTGGGTTAGTGGAGAGCCTCCGGCTGGCCTGTCTAAAGATCGGCCTATAACTCTTGGCATGAAGAATCGCCACTCAGTCGATAAGATCACGGCTCGCGTCCTGGAGTGCCCGAAATCTGTTGCTGGCAACCAGCGGCTGTTGATGACTGTGTCAACGGCAATACGCGGCGTCAATCCCGGCCAAATCTGCTCCATCTACGATGGCGACGTGTGTCTTGGCGGTGGTCCTGTCCACAACTGTCGCACGCAGAGTCCGAAGCAACCACCACTCGTGCCGGATGCGTTGCCACGTCCTGTATCTCTTTTCGACGAGTGACGCAGTTCCGACTTTGGCGGACGTCTGTCCTCACGCAGAGTCTGAAGCAACCACCGCTCGTGTCAGATGCGTTGCCACATCCTGTATCTCTCTTCGACGAGTGATGTGGTTCCGACTTTGGCGGACGCTTGTCCGTGTTGGTTTGGCAATGGCAAGGATGCTGATTAGCTCTAGAAACTGGAACTGGCTCCTGCCAATCTGTGTGCATTCCGAATGATGCAAAGCTGGGAATTTTCCCAGGCTACTCACCTGTAGTGAAAATCTCGGCAACCAGTCATAGATGTGAATGGCTCGGATACGTTCCTGCTTTCAAAGCACTTTGGAACTGTTCCGACGACTGAAATATTCCGCTCACTCGCACGACGTGTGCACCAGGAACGGAGAATGAGTGTGGCCTTCCACTGCTGCACGGATAGGCATGCACTGTAGCCCAGCGGAGCGAGAGTGTCGGATCACAGCGGTGTGAAATGTCTTCAGGACTAGTGCCATGACTAAGTGGGTATTCCCCACCTCGTTCGCTCACCGTGCCCTATGGGTGAGCAATACTAGTATGCACTGCTAGCTTTTGCACGGGTTAGGAACACTTTTGTTAGTGTCTTTCTCGTCTCAACTGTTCGGCCTGTACCGTTCCGGGTACTATAGTCTATAGTGTACACCTTAGCCGTCATTTCCCAATCTTCACGCACGCTCACTGAGTTAGAACTGGCTGCGCCACGCCTGGATAGGAGGATGCAGACTTGCCAGTTAGTTCCAACAGAAAGGGCGCCGGCGCCTTGGAACCTATCGGGTCCACCCAGGCAATTTCTGATTTCCTTCAGCACCTCGGTCAGTCCGTTTACTCCAATAGCCAGTCACATGTGAAGTGTTGTCTTACACATGTACTGCTTCTTATCGATGTCACACTCATCGTCCTACACACATGATTGATTTCACATCCTCTGATAAATTATTATATTCGTTGACTCCTTTCAAAGCATTAGCCATTCAAGATTGGCTTGTTGAGTGCTAAGAAGAGGTTGGTGCGATTATTGAGTGCTGTGCATAATAATACTTCAGTAATAATAATTCTAGTCAAGATATTTGTAAGAAATGGTTTGCTCCCCACACCGGAGCTCAAGATATTATTATTTCATTCCCTTTCACGCTATGCTAGCTGGATTCTAGCTGAGCTGGGATCAAATTTGTTGCTTTTTCTTGCTTTAAAAATAGATTTAATGTTCGAATTTTTATGCGAGGCACTCACATTTTCCTGGGTAGTTTGTATCGTCTGTGAAGTAGTCCTTGCTGAGTAGATTTTAATGCATCACCACTAGTATTGATGAGCAGGGCCATATTTATTTTTATGGTCTGTGGATGGCATTGCATCAACGAACCTCCAGCGTCTCCAGAATTTTTTCTGGGATCATGGTCCGAGCCGAGAAGCCAACCATTTGTATCCTTTCGTCAGATATATGCCCACTGACAAATCTGGAAGAGTAAGACCGTCATTTGCATGGTTCAACAACATCACCATAACATACGGTATGGTGCCATGTGGAAGACTATGATGATCTGGAAATGCCAACAAGGCAAATTAAAACATTACATTAAAAAAAAGCAAGAAAAAGCAAGAAATTTGATTGCAGATCAGCTAGAATCCACCTAGCATAGGAATATGATATGCACAGCTCTCAATAATCACACCAACGTCTTCTTACCACTCAACAAGCCAATTCTGAACGGCTAATGCTTTGAAAGCAGTCAACGAATAAAATATTTTATCAGAGGATGTGAAATCAATCATGTGTGTAGGACGATGAGTGTGACATCGATAAGAAGCAGTACATGTGTAAGACAACACTTCACATGTGACTGGCTATTGGAGTAAACGGACTAACCGAGGTGCTGAAGGAAATCAGAAATTGCCTGGGTGGACCCGATAAGTTCCAAGGCGCCGGTGCCCTTTCTGTTGGAAATAACTGGCAAGTCTGCATCCTCCTATCCAGGCGTGGCGCAGCCAGTTCTAACTCAGTGAGCGTGCGTGAAGATTGGGAAATGACGGCTAAAGTGTACACTATAGACTATAGTACCCGGAACGGTACAGGCCGAACAGTTGAGACGAGAAAGACACTAACAATAGTGTTCCTAACCCGTGCAAAAGCTAGCAGTGCATACTAGTATTGCTCACCCATAGGGCACGGTGAGCGAACGAGGTGGGGAATACCCACTTAGTCATGGCACTAGTCCTGAAGACATTTCACACCGCTGTGATCCGACACTCTCGCTCCGCTGGGCTACAGTGCATGCCTATCCGTGCAGCAGTGGAAGGCCACACTCATTCTCCGTTCCTGGTGCACACGTCGTGCGAGTGAGCGGAATATTTCAGTCGTCGGAACAGTTCCAAAGTGCTTTGAAAGCAGGAACGTATCCGAGCCATTCACATCTATGACTGGTTGCCGAGATTTTCACAACAGGTGAGTAGCCTGGGAAAATTCCCAGCTTTGCATCATTCAGAATGCATACAGATTGGCAGGAGCCAGTTCCAGTTTCTAGAGTTAATCAGCATCCTTGCCATTGCCAAACCTACACGGACAAGCGTCCGCCAATGTCGGAACCACGCCACTCATCGAAGAGAGATACAGGATGTGGCAACGCATCCGACACTAGCGGCGGTTGCTTCGGACTCTGCGCGAGGACCAACGCCCGCCAAAGTCGGAACCGTGTCACTCGTCGAAAAGAGATACAGGACTTGGCAATTCATCCGGCACGAGTGGTGGTCGCTTCGGACTCTGCATGAGGGCAAACGGACAAACGTCCGCCAAAGTCGGAACTAAGTCAATCGTTGAAAAGAGATACTGGACTTGGCAACGCATCCAGTAGCAGTGGTGGTTGCTTCGGACTCTGCGTGAGGCCAGACGTCCGCCAAAGTCGAAACTGCGTCACTCATCGAAAAGAGATACAGGACGTGGCAGCGCATCCGGCACGAGTGGTGGTTGCTTCGGACTCTGCGTGAGACAGCTATGGATAGGACCACCACCAAGACACACGTCGCCATCGTAGATGGAGCAGATTTGGCCGGGATTGACGCCGCGTATTGCCGTTGACACAGTCATCAACAGCCGCTGGTTGCCGGCAACGGATTTCGGGCACTCCAGGACGCGAGCAGTGATCGGATCGTTCGAGTGGCGATTCTTTATGCTAAGAGTTATAGGCCGGTCTTTAGACAGGCCAGCCGGAGGCTCTCCACTAATCCAGTGCAAGTTTCGAACAATAAGGTCTTCCGAGTAAAACGCAGGATTCTCGTAACCGTCGGCCACAAACAGTGTACGGGTACTCGCATCACGGCGACTAACAAAGTAGCGGGAGGAAACTTTTGGCCTCGGCCACTTCGATCGCCAAGCGAAACGGATCGCCTGCCCCTCCGTGAAATAGTGCACTCCATAATGTGCACCTACAACCTTGCCATCCAATAGTGCTACGGGCCCTGGCCGATCTCCAATATACTCGGACATCAGGGCACGGAAGTTATGCGCACCGATGTTCGCAAATCCCCGGGTCTTGTGTCCGATGGTAACATTTGAAAGCCCCGACTCTACGAATACTTTTTCGATGTCGTCCAACGACATGTTGCCAAGCGGTAGCAGAGCTCGTTGCATCGCTAATTGCGGAATTTGTGAAAGCCAGTAAGCATTGTCGGGCATCCTGCTATCAGCAGGGCACAGCAACTGAACTTGTTGCCCATCTCCGGCTGGATCAATACGAACCACAGCACAAGTACCAATTGCCAGGTAGTCAGCTCCATATTGTTTCACGCAGCGCTCCAGCATAGACCCGAAAAAGATTTCTCTGTTGACCATTAGATCTGGATTTTGGTTGGTCCCTGCGCTGAAGCCCTCAATTGCAGGCGTGAAGACATTATTCCAGTAATGTTTGACACAGTCAATCTGAAAGCATTCCATTCCCAGGTGCTTGCTTATGGCCTGCACTGCACGCCATTGCTTTTCGCCAGGATATGAGCCCCTGGCGTCTGGTTCGTTCCAAGCCAGCATGTGAACACCGAACACATCGTAGCCCCTTTCTTGAAGAACTCGTGCGGCTACTGCTGATTTTTTCGTTCCCGAGAGGGCCACGGCAACACGCTTCCTTGCTTCACTGCATATTCTGCCCGTCATTTAGATTATACTAGGAGAAGCACGGAACACAGAGCTCTAGAGAAAATTAAAGGGTATTGCATCCCGTATTTCCTTTTTCAGAGAAACAGAGCTTTCAAAATAATTATTTTAAATTTTGGAAACAAGCACAGACTCATGACATCAAGAGTGCATAAACTGTTTATGGACTCTTGATGACATCAAGAGTACATAAACCTTTGTACTCTTGATCAGGGCCGCCCTACACATACCGGTATGTGTAGGGCTCCCTGCTCTTGATGACATGTGCAGAGCTAGCCTAGGGCCAGAGAGCTACAGTAGAGGGACTTCCCCAGGCCAGTACTCATGCAGGAGCGTGGCAAGTTGCTGGCAACTATCATTTTTTTGTAATTTTGATTATTTTGGCATTTGTGCAGAAAGTGATAATTACAATAATTATGACTATGATCATGAGCATACAATTAAATACAGTAGTGTGTGATAGAGAGAAAAGAGCAGCAAGTATGAGTCTGCCTCAGCCTGTACCAGGTACTGAGTTCACTAGGAGATGAAAACCCCTGTTTGTCTTGACAAGGTTTTAGGACAACTCCTCCGTTCAATCATGTACTTTGGCACAATACACGTTGGAAGCAGTGCTATTTGTCTTCACAGAGCCTAGGGGCGATGCTATCAGCATCAGTAGCAGCCGCTGCAGGCAAGCGAATAGCCGTGGCCCTGTCGGGTGGTGTAGATTCCACAGTCACTGCGTTGCTGCTCAAGCAGAAAGGCTACAATCTCCTTGGGGTCTACATGCGCAACTGGGATGAAAGAGACGAAAATGGGCATTGCCATGGCGACGAAGAATGGAATCGTGTGCAGAGCGTATGCAATCGCCTGGATATAGACTGTGTACAAGTGAACTTTGTGCGGGAATACTGGACAAATGTGTTTGAACAGTTGTTGGATGGGTACAGACAAGGGATGACGCCGAATCCAGACATTCTGTGTAACCGCGAAATCAAATTCTCGGCACTGCTCAATCGCTGCCAGGAGAAGCTGGGTGCAGAGTATTTGGCTACCGGGCACTATGCCCAGCTGCGCATTGACCCGGACGGGGATGGCAAAGAAGTACAGCTGTTGAAAGGTGTTGACCCGAGCCGTGACCAGACGTACTTTCTGGCGTCGGTGCGGCAAAGTGCTTTGCGCCGTGCAATGTTCCCTCTGGGCGGTATGATGAAAAACAGTGTGTTTGAACTCGCTCGCACAAACGGCTTTGAAGACGTTGCAACCTTGCCCGAGAGTCGTGGCCTCTGCTTCATCGGCAAGCGGAACTTCACCAAGTTTATTTCTAACTACATCGAGCGCAAGCCCGGCCTAGTCAAGCTGACATGTGGCAAGGTCGTTGGAGAGCATTCTGGCGTCCACACCCTCACGCGTGGCCAGCACGCCATATTTGGCAAGTACGAGCGTGACGAAATCGGGTACTACGTGTGTCGGCGAGACCCTATCACGAATACCATATATGTCGTGACGGATTCCCAGCATCCGATTTTGTACAATACCGATTTTACCATGTCTTCGCCGTCGTGGACGAATAGCTCTGTTCCCGAAAGCCTCACCACTACAGATGGTGTACTGTCAGGTGTTGAAATCGAACCGTATGTCGGCCCCGAGCGGTTGACGAGATCGGCCGCTATCCGGTGGAACCAGGCGGGCAGTGCCGGGGAGGATATTCGGAGCGACTGCGGGGAAATCGCAGTGGCATGCGGACTTCCGATCCGTGCCATCGCACCCGGTCAGTTTGGGGTGTTTTACCAAGGTGACGTGTGCATCGGCTGCGCACAATTCAAAGACGCCTTGCCTATGAATGACTACGGGTGGTAGGTAACATTTTAGTTTTGCCTTTGCTACCTGCCCCCCCCCAACGCGTTGGCTGGACTAATGGCATCCGTATACTAGTGGTTTTTTAAAGTTTTGAATGCTTCTCTGCTTGTTTTCTATGGAGGGAGCGCTGGCGCTTTTCCTTTGGCAGGCTCTTTACTTTGTTGTAATTTATTTTGTATTTTATTTATAACTCGGATGTTGAGCCATAAATAAATGTAGAAAGGAAAAGGACATATGGAGTTTTGTGCCTAGTTATTGCACTTTCTGACTGTATATAGTATCCAGTTGTTACAGTGATGGAGAGTTACTCTTAACTCATATCCATATGTCCTTTTCCTTTCTACATTTATTTTATTTATTTTTGGATTTCCCAGAGGCTGGAAGGCCTGTCGAGGCGGTCTCCATATCAGCATTACAAACAAACAAAAACATGATTGATGCATGTTAGTGGCCTTTGGACAACATTGCATGTAGGATGCAGATGTAACTGAATGGATTGACTCAATTCGACATCGCATGGACACTAGAGCGAGAAGTGCGTTCTCTGTTTTCACCGGCTGAGTAAGCACGGCAAGGGCCAGTGACATAATATGTGAGATGATACTAGTGTACTGGACCTGTAGTAAAGGAGATGATACTAGTGTACTGGACTTGTAGTAAAGGAGATGATCACAGGTTCAGTACACTAGTCCTTACCACTTGGATTGGTGTGCACACATGCACATGTGTGTGAGAGAGAGAGAGAGGGAGGGAGGGGGGGGGGGGAGAGAGACAGAGTTGTGTGTGTGTGTGTCACTGTGCGTGTGGGATGTGTGCGTGTTGAGCGGAGCTGGAACCAACATGGCTGTCCCATATGGTCTTATTATGGATGAACAACAACTCCATTGGAATTCCAGAGCAGCCTGCTAGAGAGGTTACACGGTAACGTTACATTCTAACATGAGAGGGGGGGGGGGGGGAGCAGAAAGGCCGGGAGTCTTCGGAGAGTAGGTCTACTTTTAAGTTCATTGACGGATCCAGATGACACGGTATTCGGGCCGGTGCAAAATACCGTGATTTTTGCCAAATCACTGTGCACAGTAAAAGTCTCCTTAAACCTGGACTCCCCAGGTCCGGGCATTCAGCCGGGCCACCTACCGGGCCCCTTGCGTCACAAGAATTGGGTTTTCAACGAAAATCGGTTCCAAAAAATTGATCGGCACAAATAAAGTCGTTACTTGGATGCAATCAGTATGAAATAGGGATGAAATGATTATACCGAATACAGTGCACTTGAAATAGAAATCGTTACAAGCTCAACAAATCGATTATTCGAAAAGGTTCGATTACACGAGTATGCATATAGTATACATGATTATACAAAAAATGACTGTAGACCGACCGGCGATGTACGAGAAAAAATTTCTTCACCACAGGATCAATTTTCAAATTCAGCTTCCAATACTGCTTTTGTCAGTGAAAGAAATAATCGAAAAATAACCGATAACTGATCGATAAAGGTTTTGGTTATTTGGTAGGCAAAATGTGTAATCGTTTAACCCCTGGTATGAAAGCTTGGAGTTACAAGCAATTCCTAGTTTTTAACATAGGCTGTCCCCGGGGAAAATCGCGGAAAAAATTCCAGAATTTCAACTTCTGAATTTGCGGTGTAATTTGCGGGTAAATATGACATAATTTGCGGTGAATTTGCGGTCAATGATGCGGTGAATATTATTGATATGACTTATGAGGCAATTTTCAGTGAGTATGTAGTGAAATCAATCAGTTACAAGTCTCTAATGTAAGCACTCATCATATTTGAGCACAAAGCCGGCACGATGAGACGTTTCTGACCCAACAGTGCACTGTGTATACGTGTAGTACAGTGCAACACAAAAGTTTAAAAAACGCGGGGAAATCGCGGAAAACGCGGTCTTTTGAAAAATCGCAAAAAACGCGGAAAAAACGCGGCCGCGGAGTCGCGATTTTCCCCGGGGACAGCATAGGCAATTCGCACCACAGGCACTTGCACGTTCCACAGCAAGTGATTCACGAGAAAAGTGACGATGTGGATTCGCAAGGCTGCACTCGACGACAGGCATGTCCACATTTTTGAATGATTCACCCACCGGTTGCCATGGGTATTTCAAATTTTCGGCATGAAGAAATGAGTAAAAAAGAGCTGCGTAAAAAATCAAGTCTTGTTTCACGCTTTGTGGTGTACATGTACACGTCAGGAAATCGTGAAAGTGGGCCTCAGCTCGCTTGCACTTTTCAGCCACTTTTCTCGTTCACAGGTGAAATACCATAGCAACGGTCCGGTGCACGTGGATTAACCTGTCGTGTGATTCGCCTATTACAGGCAGTAGTGCCCGAATTGGGGGAGATCTGCTCCATGTACCGGTGTCTGTAAAAGTACATGCAATGCTACAGAGCTCCCTATAGGCGATTCACACGACAGGCAAATCCACGTTTACAGGAAAGTCGCCATGGAGATATTCCTGCGGGTGACCAAAATTTGCCCGCGGGAATCAAAAGTGTCCATGGCCTTTTTGCCCGCGGATGCACTCATCTGCGGGCACTTTTACAGTTATGAGGCTGTGAGGTCATACTATGGTACGGTAGTCTTGAACCCTGGTTGTTTGGCCTTTGTCTTTGGGTACTCATTCCAAATCACCACAGTAACGCCGTATACTCACCGGATACTCGCGGGAGCTCTGGCCGCCACCCGCGGCCGTGTGAACTGCAGCCTCACGTTTCACTTCCTGCGGGCACCTGACAAACGTGGATTTGCCTGTCGTGTGAATCGCCTATTACCCGGACCCCTCGTGATCGTGTTTCGGAGCTCGGATGAGTGGGTTCTGCCTGCGCAGGCCATAAGGCGTATACAGTCCATTTCAAAACTATAGACGCGTACCTAGGCAAAAACCGTTATGCCAGCATCTATACCACATAAAATCTGTGATCACTTTGTGCATAAATTTTTCCAAATTGGGCGTCTGTTATCCAATCCTTTAGAAACTATATGAGAGTAATTGTGGAGCGATCCTGAGCAATATTCCGAAAACTATTCTCAAAAAGTTCCAGCCAAATTTGAAATATTTCAAAAACCCTACGCGTCTATAGTTTTGAAATGCACCACCAAGCAGGTAGCCGTGTCCAAACCAGTTTAAGCACGGACCGTATCGGTTACCTGCCTGGTGCACACACTATGCATAGGGTAGTCAATCCGCATTCATTTTTCACCTGGAAACGGCTGTGAGCGCCGTCTAAACATTACAGTCTGCCGGTATACAGCCATAGCATAACTGACTGGTCATATGGCTTCTGTTTTCCTGGGGAATAAATATACAATTTAATGTCACGGTGAGGCACTTTAAAAAATCTAAAAGAGAGAGAGAGAGAGAGAGAGAGAGAGAGAGAGAGAGAGAGAGAGACAGAGAGAGAGAGAGAGAGAGAGAGAGAGAGAGAGAGAGAGAGAGAGAGAGAGAAAGAGAGAGAGAGACAGAGAGAGAGAGAGAGAGAGAAAGAGAGTATTCGAAAAGGAGATTATGATTTTAGTTCTGGGGAAGAACGAAGTTGGTTGTACCATGCCGACAGCACAGCCGAAGTTTCCTTTGCCAGCGGAAATACCGAAATAAATATCACCACCGTATCAACAGGGAAAGCGTGAGCACTAACGTACGGAACAACACACGATTCCTCTATCTTTTCCGGAGTGGGTACCTCTGTTTCGAAATAATATCGTTGTTTTTTATATTTCTGGTGTGTGATGGAACATGCAATTTTTTAAAACGCGTTTAGGCGTCATAGCGTCAGATCGCCCTCATCCATGGGGAGTGCTTCCCGGATTTGAGCACAGCCGATACAAACGTCGCCTTGATAGAAGACTCCGAACTGGCCGGGGGCGACACCGCGAATCGGGTGACTGCATGTCACGAGGACGTCATCGCTATGACGACTGCCATTACCGGCAAGGTGACTGTGGCTGAAGCGGCGCATGGCCGCGTTCCTCGTCACATTCTCCGGCGCCATCTTCGGCTCCAGGGTCAAGCCGGAAAGCACTCCGTGCGGATCGCGCAGGCAAGCCGGCATGCCGCTGGCCGTCCACAGCGGCCAGGACATGACGTAATCGCTGCTGTACAGAGCTGGGTGCCGCGAGTCCGGCACGACGTGCACGGTATTCGTCGTGGGATCGCGCCGATTAACGAAGTATGTACCCTGGTAGCTGAGGTTGGTATACTTCAGTATAGCTTGTTGGCCACGGGTGACGGTATGCACGCCAGGGTGCTCACCGATCACTTTACCACACGTCAGCTTCACCGGGCCGGGTTTATGCTCTATGTAGTTGGAGAGGAAGTAGGCAAACTTCCGCTTGCCGATGAAGCACAGGCCGCGGCTCTCGCGCAGCGCTGCAATGTCTTCAAAGCCGTGCGCGCGTGCGAGCTCGAACACACTGCGCTTCATCATACCGCCCAGAGGGAACATTGCGCGGCGCAGAGCGCTTTGCCGCACCGACGCCAGAAAGTACGTCTGGTCACGGCTCGGGTCAACACCTTTCAACAGCTGTACTTCTTTGCCATCCCCGTCCGGGTCAATGCGCAGCTGGGCATAGTGCCCAGTAGCCAAATACTCTGCACCCAGCTTCTCCTGGCAGTGATTGAGTAGTGCCGAGAATTTGATTTCGCGGTTACACAGAATGTCTGGATTCGGCGTCATTCCGCGTCTGTACCCATCCAACAACTGTTCAAACACATTTGTCCAGTATTCCCGCACAAAGTTCACTTGTACACAGTCTATATCCAGGCGATTGCAAACGCTCTTCACTTGATTCCACTCTTCGTCGCCATGGCAATGCCCACTTTCGTCTCTTTCATCCCAGTTGCGCATATAGACCCCAAGGAGATTGTAGCCTTTCTGCTTGAGCAGCAACGCAGTGACTGTGGAATCTACACCACCCGACAGGGCCACGGCTATTCGCTTGCCTGCAGCGGCTGCTACCGAGGCAGGTAGCATTGCCCCTAGGCCCTGTGAGCACTAACTAGCACTGCTTCCAACGTGTATTATGAACTGCATTGTGCCAAAGTACATGTTACGTACATGTACAAAAATCAAGTAAGTTATTTCGAACGGAGGAGCTGTTCTAAACCCTTGTCAAGACAAACTGAGTTTTACTCCCTGCCCTAGTGAACTCAGCAGCTGGTACAGGCCGAGTCTGAGGCAGTAATACTTGCTGCTCTTTTCTCTCTTTATCAGTCACAGTCACGCCACATTGTAATAATTATTTGTATGCACAATTTTGAATTTTAATATTTAATATGACTTTTCGCAACAAAATAAATAACACAAAAAAATGATTCTGCGCCGCAATGGCGCGAAATTATGAACATGTCATCGAACGTCACACGCTGTTTGGACAAGTCAGCGTCTCCTTCCGAATCCAGGATTGATGGAAGAGAACAGATTTAATAACTCAAAGTTCAAACAACCTCGAGACCCGAGTCCATTCTATCCGTAGTCCATGGTAGAATATCCTCTTATCTTCAGCTTGGTTTGAACTTGTGTGAGTAAGATCTGCCGATTCTCAACCGACGTCAGGAGATGCTAGGAGATTCTGATCAAACGTTGCGCCCAGTACTGGCCTAACAGACGCATCGTCGGCAGTGGCAGATTTGCTGAGTGTAGAAGGAGAGAGAGTGCGCGTGCGTTGTGTCGTTCTCGCCGAGCCCCTCCAAGCAAATTTCTTTTCTGAAATATCTACGGTATTTGCACATCAGCGCCCAGGAGTGTGTGAGCGCATGCAGCGAGGGGTCACAATCAAGGATGGAGCGTCGGTCTGTTAGGTGAGTGCCCTCGATTTAGCCAAACTTTCCTGTGAGTGTGAGGGATCCATCAAAACCATACACATGTTTGTTGTTGTTGTTGCCATGGCTGGCTATTAGAGAGGTTCCGCATAACGTAATTACGTTAGTAAAAAACGTAGTCGATCTACGGAAAGTCTTACGTAAACTGCATGCGGATCTGGGTTCCGCCATACGGAGTTTTCAAATCACGTAGCTGCCCTTGGCAACTCCGAACGCGGCAGTGTACGACCAGATCGACCTGGGGAGAGAGTCATAAATTTGTACCCAATCCATTAACGGACCAGCTACGTTATCAGAGCCCTATCTACGTACTCTCCGTAGACAACTTTCCGTAAGTGGAGTGCAAACTCGCGAATTCACGGGTTTTCCCGCCCACTAACGTAAAGTTGCTCAACTTTACGTAGTGCGGAACCTCTCTATTATCGCCCTCACCTCCTCCTTGATTGGCCTTGGCCGGCCATGAGTGTGTGCGTAATAATAAATACACGTACATGTACAAGGATTGCTGGGTGTCCTCTACTTGAAGTACATCACGTGAAGCTGACTTAAACATGTCGGTACACAGTACAAATTACTACGTCGTAAATTTTGTTCCCACACACACGCACATCAAGCAAGTGGAAGTTGGAGTTGCCGAGCTGCTGCGGCCGGATCATATCAAGTGTTTTGTAGCAGAATTTGTAATCTGCGAATTGTTTGCAACAATGTATTTACACCAGGCGGCCCTGCAAAGCGGGATTGTAGAAAATTCTGTTACAATGCAGGCAGTGCAAGAGATTAACCTTTTCCACCCCGGCCTGAAACCCATGAATCCCAGTCCGCTCGCTGCGCCTCTCTCTCTGTCGCCCGGCAGAGCAGACCTGTGATTCGAAAAAATTCTAACTTCACTCACCAGGAACGGAAGTTAATCATCTTGGGCTCTTTGGAAAGCTTGAAGCCTTCTCTGTCCAAACGAAAAGAATAATCACTCAGCAGGAGCAATAGAGTTGCCTTCACACTCCGTTGAGAGCTCCTCTATCGGGCCTCGAAGAGATATTCCACACCCAGTCACAAATTTCTTCGCTTCTACAGTTTTACTCAGCGCAGAGCAAAAATTCAAACTCTCTCAGATTCCTGAAGTTCAAGCGCTCATTTTGGTACCCAACACGCATGGGCTGTGCCCCTGTGAGTCATAGGGAAAGTCCCTTCCCTGCCGATGTCCACTCGAAAATCCAAGGTGCGAAATTTTGTGCCCTGTATTTCGGCCCGTGAATTGCGTTTCCACCTTCGGCGCTCCTGTATTTTACTTTTCGCCCCAGCAAACGACTTACCATTGGAAAGCTTATTCCTTCAGCTTTCCAACGAGCCGTCAGGTGTGAGAATCGAAGAAAGTATAACAGAGTTACGAATGTTTGAATAGCGAGGTATATGCAATCCGAGTTCACTGTACATACAGTACATTTTCTACCCGAGTATACTCGGGCTTGGGAAAGCAGGGCATGCTACAAAACGAGTATACTCGGGCGCGGGGTGCAAACGGTTAAGGCCAATGATCCCAACTAATGCTGCTGTGCCCTTGTGGGGCGCGGCTGTGCGCAGGTAGTCAAATGACTGCTGGGACCGGACGGTCCTGCTGTATGCTGGGGCCAATTGGCCCGGCTGCTGGACACAATGTGTCTATGCTGGGACCAGCTGGTCCTGCTGGGACCATGTGGTCCTGCTGCTGGGCAGCGCGTGCCGCCAGTGCTTGAAAGCTCATGCAGAGAATTGTTCCAAAATGCATTCAGCTGAGGGGCTTTGCTTGCTTCCCCCCCCCCCCCCCCTTTCTGAAGGCGCTAGTACTTAGAAGTGGGTTGTGGTGGGTGGGAGAAAGATCGCACAACACTGCTGATATTGCATGCCAAGGTGCTCTTGCAAATTTGCTAATTTGTTTGCATAGAAAGGTCTCGCTGCTGTTCGTTGCCAGCAAGGCTGAGAGTCCCACGCTTGCGCCTGTGCCATTTTCCCCACGCTTGGAGACGATGACAGCCGGCGTTGTGGACTGCCTGCGAGGCGCTGGCTGCGAGTGCTTCTGTGGCATGATAACTTTGGTTTGCCTGTTGCAAACCTACATTTTGATCGACACAAACCATCCAAGAAAAGGCAAACAAAAGTTGTCACTTACTTTGAATGGCATGCACACACATGCATGCACACATACACATGTGCGCACAGACAAGCACCCCCCCCCCCCCCCACACACACATACTTGTACATGTACACACACACACACACACACACACACACACACACACACACACACACACACACACACACACACACACACACACACACACACACACACACACACACACACACACACCTTGAAACTTGCCGTAGCAATGATAGCGATGGCTTCCTCACGCTGAGGCTCTAAACCCGAAATCTGCAGTATGGCGCATGCCGCTTGAGGTCACCAGGACGACGGAACACTCTGTCACAGCGGTAGTTGGGGCACGGGATGTCTGGGGCTTCCTTCTCAACCCTCTGTCAACAACACGTTACACGGAAACCAGGCGGATCTCTCCTGCGCTGTGTCATACCAGTCCGCTTCAGACAAACCGATGACATTAAAGTCCGAGGACACGCCATCCGGCCAGCGCTTCACACCACACACACACACACACACACACACACACACACACACACACACACACACACACACACACACACACACACACACACACACACCATGTACCATGTATACGCCCGTCGCAAGAGAAGCACGCAAATCTGCAAATGCACCGGATGTGCACCCACAGATTTTCTCTTATCGCAACGATAGCGAACAAGATCTGAATGAGACAGATAAAGACTTGCGCCAGATAACTGTCTAATCCACACAAACTGGCGAAGCCATGTGAATTGACCACCAATGCACACCTGGTCTGCACCACACGGAGTACATCGGCATAAAACGATCAAGACAGCTACCTACCTATGCTCACCCTACACTTGCTTGGGTAACCAGTATGGACAGCATGCTGCTTTGATAGAAGCAGGCACTAGGTGCACTGGTACCTTGAAGTGAAACATCACACACGCACGCACACGCACGCACACACACACACACACACACACACACACACACACACACACACACACACACATATACTCACAAGCGTGCATGGTTGCTTGCGCGCACACACAGACACGTACACGCATGTACACGTTCGCGCGTGCAGAAGGAATCGATTTGTCATGACCTTTTGGTATCTGATCTTTGCTCTGCCTTGTTAGGTCGCGTAAGCCTGTGGATTACGCCAAGTTCTCAGCCGCAGCGGGTAACGATGGTTCATCCGACAGTGAAGGCGAGTGCACATACTCCCTCACTTTCTCTCTCTTTTTCTCTCTCTCTCTCTCTCTCCCTCTCTCTCTCTCTTTCTCACTCTCACTCTCTCTTCCACACACCTCCCCCCCCCCCCCCCTACCCCACCCTCTCTCAATTTGTATCTGTCAATGTGCAATGCCAAGACCCATTCCTATTCTGACTGAATGGAAGATAGCTCAAGTACTCTGCATTTGAGGCAATCGTCATATTGTCCTGGATTGATGTCGTGCTGCTGCAAACCTTTGTGCAGCTCTTTCTGACTTTCTCGTTGTTGTTGCTTGCTTCCACTGTTGCTGCTGCTGCTGTCGTTGTGGTGGCGATGGTGGTGACGGTGGTGATAATATTGATACCGTAAAGTTCCGTAAATAAGCCCCGGGCGTATACAGAACAAGGGTCTGACAACTGGGCGTATACTTGGGCTTGGGCGTTATTTCAGGACTGAGCCTATACAAGGTGCATATTGTATTGCTTGTGTTTTGATAAGCATGCATAACATTTTGCACACGTGCGCATACACAGGTACAGCATCGCCCTGGGCGGTTTTCGGGAATGGGCGAACTCACCAGCTTTGAGTGTTGATGTCGATTCGATGGGCGTTATTTTGGGCATGGGCGTTATGTCGAGTGGGCGTATACACGGAACTTTACGGTATGACTACTGGTGGTCCTGGTGAACTAGGTACTCACTTGCTCGGTGTGAGGGTAACAAGGATGCCGTTTATGGGGTTATATGGCCTTTGCATGCCCGCTTGTTGAGAGACTTATCCCCTCTCCCCTGACTCACTTGTGAGGTCTGCATTCGACAATCGACACTGAGGATATATGGGCGAAGTGGTGGCCCGCCGATGCGAATGTAGTTGCTTGATGTGTTCCTCAACATGTCGGGTGCTGCGGCCACGAAACCGGCTAACTTCACTTTTTTTAAATATTTTTTTACTGTTGGTCCTTGTTCATACATGTGTATCAGATGACTTCAAGGACTCGCCGAGTACAAGAAAACCTGCTTCAGGCGGTAACTCTACCGAGCCTGCTCCGACAAAGGATGTGCCAAAGAAGAAGAAAGCAGCCCCAATGAAGGACTCGCCGACATTCTCTCCAGTCAAGAAGCAGCCCAGGTGTGTGTTCATGTGCTTTGGAGACCCTGTATAACATCTGTCCCCGGGGAAAATTGCGGAAAAAAATCGCAAAAAACGCGGGGAAAAACGCGGCATAATATGGCATAATTTACGGTGAATTTGCGGTAAATATGCGGTGAATAATATTGATGTGCGGCAATTTTCAGTGAGTATGTAGTGAAATCAATCAGTTACAAGTCTCTGGTGTAAGCACTCGTCATATTTGAGTAAAACGCCGCCACGATGAGACGTTGCTGACCGAACAGTGCACTGTGTGTACGTGTAGTGCAACAAAAAAGTTCAAAAAACGCGGGAAAATCGCGGAAAACACGGTCTTTTAAAAAATCGCAAAAACGCGGGGAAAAACGCGGCCGCGGAATCGCAATTTTCCCCGGGGACAGAAACATGTGATTTCAGGTGTATTTAAAATTTCAGTACCACGAACTTGCCAGGTTTCAGGTGTTATGCAGAATTAGATGACCAGCATGCCCTTCACATGCAGTGAATACTCTGGTGGTTTTTAGGTGTAGAAAATAAAAAAAGGACCAAGGAACTACAAGTTACGCTATAATGGCCCTTTTTATTTTCTATAAATTAATCATTGGCTCTCCATCCGAGTCCATGCTTTTAGGTGTAATCTCAATTTAGGTGCTTGTTTCACTACCGAAATCACCGAAAGTAAATTAACACCGAAAGTATCGCGTTTTTCAGTATGGATGTTTGCTTTTAGAGAAGATTTGGTGTTATCTACTGCTGTAAGTCGCTGCCGGTGTCAATCATACCTGCTGGCGTTCAGCTTCCCTCTCTGTTTGGCTACGTGTATCATCTGTTCGCACGTGTGTTGGTGTGTCTGTGTTCGGCCCCTGTACAGCAGACTGTTAACGCCATATTTTAGCGGTAGAGAAACCAGGCACCTAAATTTAAATTACACCTAAAAGGCACTAGAGTATGGACTGTATGTGAAGGGAACGCTGGTCACCTAATTCTACATTACACCTAAAACCTGGCAGGTCTCTGGCGCCGAAATTTTAATGCACCTAAAATTACATGTTTTACAGTGTAATTAAGTAAGAGACAACCGGCTCCAGTGGTTGTCACCTTTCACCACTGCTGTCATTCGCACTTTTACTTTTGGATTTGCCTCATGATGCAGTCATTCACGCTTTGCAATGCCGCCATTCACAACTTAGATTTGCGCCATGCTGCAGCTATTTACACTTTGCTTTGTGAGTATATAAACCAATACTGATCCAGATTTCTCATTACTGTTTTCTGATGATCGCTTAGTGCGTGAAGCTTGGAGTAAAAACACTTTCTCTGTCCTCCTATTGTTTGTTTTACAGTACTGTACAAGCAGAAATATTCGTCTGGAATTTAATTTCGTCTTTTTTGTCCAAGGAACTATGGGACTAAATTAAATGCCGGACGAATGTCGATTTGTCCAGCGTTTCAATACACTGTTATAGTCCATGGACTAAATTTTCAACCGGACGAAATCCCTTTCTTTGGTGTTGGACGAAATTATTGACCGACGAAATTTTCTGCCTGTACAGTATATATTTTTGGCCTTGGCCTCTGAGGGCTAAAATTTGTTGCTACGGAATATTTGATGGCAGAAATTCAGAGAATTTGATTTCGGGATTTTTGCTGCAAGTATCATCCCTGATATCAAACTAAAACAGTGCACACCTTGCCATGCTATGGGTTGTATCTTTGCTGTGGTCTCTCTCTCTCTCTCTCTCTCTCTCTCTCTCTCTCTCTCTCTCTCTCTCTCTCTCTCTCTCTCACACTATGTTTTGATTTTCTCCGATCGTGCAGGTTGTCTGTCGAGGAGAAGCTGTTCATGAGGGATCTGAACGCTGCGCTGAGCGCGTCCGCTCAGGAGAACAGCGCCTCCTCTACCAGCTCGTCGCAGAGCACGGAGACTACGGCGACAAACGAAACAACTGCCCCCGCCGTGGACGAGCGACACTCGGTCGCCACAGACGATGCGACGGATGACGTCGTGCGACCGCGAAACCGCAAGCGGAAGAGCGCCATTCTGAGCGATGACAGCTCCGAGGATGACGGCGGGCAGGCCGCAGGAAGTGTAACGGAGCCAGCAACTGCGAGAGCCGGTTCTCCACGCAAAGCGCCGACCGGTGCACGCAAACAGGTGAAAAAGAAGACCATCGATAGTGGTAAGTCGAAATGAGAGCCTCTCCAGCTCAGGTCCAATAAGTATCCAATGTTTTAATAGGGTTGTTCTTCTTGTCTATCTGTCCATTTTCAGAGCAGTTTCTTTCTTCTTCTCCACGCTTCTTATGACTAAATTCTGACGCCTTGTGTGGTTGCCATAGTGATGCTCCTCATGCTTATACCGTACATGTACCGGTATGTGTTGAAGGTCATGTAGTCCGCCATCAGTGGCTATTGCAGGTTGGTTCATGTTTAAAAAGCCTGGTGCGACACGGGACAGATCGTTCTTTTAAAACGTCTTGTGTGTATGGCTCTGTTTTGGCACATACACACGCATGCGCGCACACAAACACCCACTCCCCCCCCCCCCCCACACACACACATACTCTGCATTCAATCTGGATGTCGCCGTGCAAGCTTTTCTGGTTCGTTTTACTCAATGTCTGCAGACAGTGATGCTGAAATGGACGATCCCGAAGAGGAAGACGACGAATCGTTTGGCGAGGAGGGGGAGGACTCAAGCGATGGATTCTCTGCTTCTGATGACGATAGCGACTTCGACGGCGCGCCTTCATCCAAGAAGAAGACAGCCGCAAAAGGAAAGGTAGGTGCAAGTCAAGTCTTGCTTTTAACCTACAGTAATACTTGTCAAGGTGACCACTGGGATAAGGTGACCGCTGGGATAAGGTGACCACCGGGATAAGGTGACCACTGGGATAAGGTGACCACTGGGATAAGGTGACCACTGGGATAAGGTGACCACTGGGATAAGGTGACCACCGGGATAAGGTGACCACTGGGATAAGGTGACCACTGGGATAAGGTGACCACTGGGATAAGGTGACCACTGGGATAAGGTGACCACTGGGATAAGGTGACCACCGGGATAAGGTGACCACTGGGATAAGGTGACCACTGGGATAAGGTGACCACTGGGATAAGGTGACCACCGGGATAAGGTGACCACTGGGATAAGGTGACCACTGGGATAAGGTGACCACTGGGATAAGGTGACCACCGGGATAAGGTGACCACTGGGATAAGGTGACCACTGGGATAAGGTGACCACTGGGATAAGGTGACCACTGGGATAAGGTGACCACTGGGATAAGGTGACCACTGGGATAAGGTGACCACTGGGATAAGGTGACCACTGGGATAAGGTGACCACTGGGATAAGGTGACCACCGGGATAAGGTGACCACCGGGATAAGGTGACCACTGGGATAAGGTGACCACTGGGATAAGGTGACCACTGGGATAAGGTGACCACTGGGATAAGGGGACCACTGGGATAAGGTGACCACTGGGATAAGGGCGCGTTCAGACTACCGTGAACCCCGTCAAACCGTGAATGCCGATAAACCGTGAAGGACATTCACACTACCGATAACAAACTAACGTGACCGTGAAGTTTTCAGCTCTCACCGCGGCACTGACAAGGGATTTTCCCTTTTTTTCGCAGCGCGCATGCAGCCTGAGCACTGTTTTACTGCCGGTAAAAGTTTACTGCCGCATCAGCCGCGGCAGTAAAACTTTCCCACCGGTAACGTGCCAGTAACGTCACGTGATCAAATCACCTTGGCGACTTTCCCTATCGGTCACTTTTTATCGGTAGTCTGAACGCGCCCTAAGGTGACCACTGGGATAAGGTGACCACTGGGATAAGGTGACCACTGGGATAAGGTGACCACTGGGATAAGGTGACCACTGGGATAAGGTGACCACTGGGATAAGGTGACCACTGGGATAAGGTGACCACTGAGATAAGGTGACCACTGGGATAAGGTGACCACTGGGATAAGGTGACCACTGGGATAAGGTGACCACTGGGATAAGGTGACCACTGGGATAAGGTGACCACTGGGATAAGGTGACCACTGGGATAAGGTGACCACCGTTTTCAGAAGACCTGCAACCAGGATCAAAAGGGATGCTATTTCCAGTCAAATAACCCTGGATAAGGAGACCACATTTTGAAGGTCCCTTGAGCGGTCGTCTTGGACACGTTTCCCTGTATAATTTGCTGATGTTGTGCTAACGGGCATTTGCCTGTTTGCAGACCCTATGGCCTATCCGTAGCTCCATTGTTAGTATTTCTGAGATATCATGCTTCTCTCTAGTATCTTCTACCTTGCCGTAATGTCGCGTATATAAGCCATGCTTCTTCCTATAGAAGCCGATGTCAGTGCTAGACTTCTATTCAAGTCAGTCTTCTATTCAAACCATGTGTCTCTATGTATGTCAATACTAAAGCCAGGCTTAATCCGGTCTCTTTTCAAAACAGGCTTATATACGAGACCAGCTTTTATACAAGACAATACTGTATGCCATCTGCTGCTTACCCTGTATTTATTCCCGTAGCTATGCAAAAGGCGTTACTTCGGTAACGTCTGGCGCTAGCCAGGGTCCACACACAGCTTCACGTAATTATGTATTCACGGCTAGCATTACGAGGGTGTTGCGCGAAGCTCTGGGTGCGCCCAGGTTTCTACCCATAGCCCTGCTAGCGTGTGGGATTTGCAGGCCTCGCTCGCAGGGTTGGAGGTCACCAAAGATCTCCCAAGCTCTCCGTCCTTCATGGGCGGACCGCTCGCCTGACTATTGTGCCCGGCACTGCCGGGGAATTTCCCATTTTGTGCGAAAATCACGCGCTGTTCGTCTCACTTGAAATGACTTTGTGTACGTTCTAGTCAGCCATAAGATTTGCGGCATGGCGTTTGAAATCAATGTCTGTGGATGAATTTACAGTGAAACCTGTCTAAGACCTGCTCAAGGGCCCTTCAAAATGTGATCTCTGTTAACAGGTGGTCTCCTTATCCAGGGTCATTTGACTAGATATAGCATCCTTTTGGTCCTGGTTGCAGTGGTCTTCTTGGACAGGTGGTCACCTTATCCGAGTGGTCGCCAAGACTGGTTTTACTGTATTAGTTTGTCAAGGTTAGAGTGAAGATAGATGATCTCTATCGCAGCCGTGACCTTGGAATTTGTATACTGTGCTGTTGATACTGGCTACATTTGCAGGGGAAGCCACCGGCGGCATCTGCAGCCGCTAAGGGCCGCAAGAGCGCGGCGGCGACAAAGTCTCCGGCTAAGAAGGCACCTGCACGGACAACGAAATGTAAGAGTGCCTCTCTCTCTCTCTCTCTCTCTCTCTCTCTCTCTCTCTCTCTCTCTCTCTCTCTCTCTCTCTCTACTTTTTTTCTTGGTTATTACACATCTTGTGTTCATTGCAATCCCGTTCTTAGCTTCTCTCCTTCAGTTCTAGTTGTTTATTGCTGCCTTAAACCTACACACCTGTCTGTGTACACTTCTGTGACTTGTTCTCTTTTACATGCAAGCACACCTGTATGTGTCACGCGTACAGTCAACCTTGCAAAGAACAACCTCGCATATGACCTCAGCTCGCGAATGGCAGCACCATCTTCAGACCAAGCAACCACTTGACCACATGCTTTAAACCTCGCGCAGAACAACACTCTTTCCATGGCCGATCGAGGGTCGTTATTCGCAAGATCGACTGTATATGACTTCGGGGGGGGGGGGGGGGGGGGGGGGGGGGGGGGGGGGGGGGGGGGGGGGGGGGGGGGGGGGGATATTCAGCATGTGCAGTTGAAGAGTTTAGATGGACAACGCGAGATATCCATTGCATCCTTCTTCAGATAATGACGAAGGAGGATTTATTTTATCTGCGGTTTGTATCTAAATCCATATTTGGTCGCCAGTGGTTCCTGTCAGATTTTGAATGTGAAATTTTGCCTGCAGGTGTCTCTAGATGTATTGATTACACTGAGCTCAAAAACTAAATTTCTCAAATTTCGGGCGCTTGTCGCATTTTGATTCTAAGCTGTACGCACAGTCTGTAGGGTACCTCCGGGGACACCCACAAGCAATATTCTTACACGCGTGAACATCCAAACATTGACCACATACGCCAACATGCACCTTCTGGTTTTTATCTGGCGTTGTCTCCATGACTCCTCTACCATCAGTACAAACTCGTGGTGGGCGCAGCAATTTACTGATTGTCCCAGCCAGCCCAACTGCATACCTTGCCAAACGTGTTACCTATGCTGGGACCATCTTATGGAACCAGCTCCCCGCTGCGGTCAGGCAAGAAAGAAAACGCAATCGCTTTAAGTCAATGGCTCTTGCCTTTTTGCTTACCAGATAAATAAGCCTCTTTATAAATGCTGTATGCACTGCTCTTTCCGTTATTTTCTTCCTATGCAAGTCGCAACTCCTGTTTTGAGTTGTTTTTCTTCTCTCTTTTTCTTTCCCTACTAGTTGCTGTTACACTCACTGATCCTTATGCACAGATATACAGCATTCCCCCACTAGTGGGACCATTGTTATTAGGCTAGGGCCTGTTTTGGACTTCCCACTCTAAATAAAGAATACAAACAACAAAAAACAAACTATTCATGTAGAGGTATTCATGCATGTGCATTTAGAGGTATTCATGCATGTGTGTTTGTGTCCGTGTGTATCCATGCAGCCCCGAAGACAACAAAGTCCGCAGCCAGCACAGTGTCCACGGCTGCACCTCCTGCCAGTAAAGGGAGAACGGCAGCCACCGCAACACCACGGAAACCGGCGGCCACGGCTGCAAAGCGATCGCCAGCGGTTACCAGTGCTAGTTCCATGAAATCGCCGGTCAAGCGTTCTGTTGGTGTGACGCGGACGCCAGTACCTCCTGCTGCTGTATCGGTCAGTAACGCCGCCAAGCAAACTGCTTCTACAGGTCCAGGTGAGTGCAGTGTTTTATTTTATATATTTTATTTCTTCTTGAAAGCATTGGGAGAACTTCAAATTCAAAGGATCAGTCGGGGATGTGAACTACCTGAAAAGAGACAAAATCGCCAGACCCACCAGGCCTCGAACCCGGGACCTTGCTTGTCATGAACAATACTCTAACCACTGAGCTATGGGACCAGGCTGAACCTGGAAGGCGCCGGCAAGTTTTTCACTCCAAAGGCAGCTTTATTTCCTCTGTATTTATTTTATCAGGGAAAGAAAAACTACAAATCTCAAGCTGTTCTTCACCATCTTCAGCAAAATAAGGACTCCGAAATTCATGAACCAGTTTTCGGGCATTCTCTTCAAATGAAATGCAAGCAAGCAGAACCAATGAAACATAGAGATAAGTAGCATCACAAGGGTGGTAACCATTACACCTAGGTGATAATTGCTGTTGATGGTGAAGAATAGCTTGAGATTTGTAGTTTTTCTTTCCCTTAGGCCCCGGTCACACCAAAACAAGCCACTTTGGGCTTGTTATCGCTGGCGCTCAGCTGGCTTGCGTGGTCCCTGTGACGCGGTCACACCAGACCTTGAGTGCAAAGCTTGAATGGCTTGTTTTTCTTACCCGCCAAATTTTGAATAACTCGAAACACACCAATGTTTGCAAGAAACCGGAAAGCAGAACGTTCGCGATCTAAAACTGTACTTGTTCCAGTGTTCAGTTTTGATGAAGAAGCAAAGGAAGCCAGGATTCTGAATTGCGAAGTCGTGCTCTTTTTATTTGTTCGGTGTGCATGGCCCGTGACGCGATGGTTCGGGTGGTGTTTCCTGATGTCGAGCTTTCTGCCCCGCCGGTTGCCGTTCTTCAACTCAGTTGCAATCCACTCTCTTCTTCGTACCCGGCTTTCTTCATGAATTCGGTCGTGAGTGTGGTGCCTTGTCTTGGCCTCAAACCACAGCTCCAACAATCTACGCAGCAGTCTAGAGGCACAGAGGCAGAAATCCATGGTCGTCGGACAAAATCCAAATCAAACTGAATACAGTGTAGCTGGATAGACAGACTCACGGTCAAAACCAAAGGCACAGGGATAGCACGGTTCCCCGGACACAAGAAAGAACATCATTAGAGAGGTTCCGGAGTACGACTTTTCGTGCCAAAATCCGTAGAGGCGCTACGGATTTTTTATACGTCGTTTTCGAGCAGTGAAATGTTCCGGAGTACGGAACTTATGTGTTTGCCGTCATTGCCTAGGTTACGATTGCAAACACGTCACATTCCCGCGCTATGCTTTTTATTTTGAAAATTTGTACCGAAATCAAAACTTCCCGCGGAAAATCGATGTTTCTCGTACCAAATTTGTACTCGAAAAATCTTTCTGCACCCGATGACGCAAAATCTCCATACGAAACATGGTTCGTATGAAAGCCAGTCCACACGGATTCTCCGTGCCAAAAAATCGTATGGAGCACGCATTGGTGGCGCCCACACGGATTTTGGCACGGAAAATCGTACCCCGGAACCTCTCTAATATCAGTTCATCATGTCAACTAGCTACATGGTGTGCTCCGGAGCTCCAAGCGCACTCAAATTATTTTTTGAATTTCGGCTTTCAGCCGCTTGTACAAGCTGTGGCTGAAACAAGCCGGAAAAAACGGCTGAGAGTCAGCCACGGCTGAAAGTCGCTTGTAGGACATTTTTCAGCCATTTCCATGGTAATAGTGACGTAAACAAGCGCTTGTTTCGGCTGAACGGCTGAATCGAGCTCGGTGTGACCGCGGCCTTATATGCCGGCTTCCTGTCTCCAAGAAAGTTTTATTCCCGTAGCTATGCAGAAGACGTTACTTTAGTAACGTCTGGCGCTAGCCAGGGTCCACACAGCTTTAATTTGGTGTTTGTTTGTGTGTTTGTTTGTGTCACGCCTGGCGCTATCCGTATCTGACGGCAAAAAAGCATAGGATGTTATAAATTTTTGAATTATCCTATTTTTTTCAGGCATATCCTGGGATTCAAACCCGCACTATCGCCCTACATGCATTCCCCCATACACTTCGCATTCATACCCATTCTTCCAAGTTGCTTCACGTTATTATCTTGCGTTTGAAAGCCCTATTTGAATATTGCGGGCGGCTGTATGTGGCCAGCTGTGTTTGATGGTATGGTACGGGAGACGGTGTCGTATTACCCTCGATCGTACCTGTCCCGTACCTATCCCCTACCGTACCGTGCCATCAAAGACGGCTGGCCACAATGCATATTCAAATAGGGCTTTCAAATGCAAGATCACAATGTGAAACAACTTGGAAGAATTAGGTTGCGTTTGGTTGGGCATTTTCAGAATGTAAATGACAACCATTCTGGAATGAGAATCGGCAAGAATCACCTGACCAAACTAACGCGCCAGAATCAATTAGGAATCACTTGATATAACAATTCCATGATGTCTTTGTGGAACGGCGGCTGTCTTTTCTTTTACCCGACTCTAGTTTCCTTGAGAGAGTCATGGTACTTCTGAGTGCATGATTTGAGGCACTTGAACCTGTTGCTACATTGTTTGGCTCGTGGCAGCCATTATCATTTTTGATTCCGGAATGAGAATGCTCATTCCAGCATGTGAGGTGGAATGATCATTCTCCAAAAAGAATCATTCTCAGCGATTCCCATTCTGGAATCATGTGGAATGTGACCAACCTAACGCACTTTTTTGACCAACCAAACGGGCGAGAATGATTCCGAGTGATTCCAAGTGATTCCCATTTGGGAATGTGACCAACCAAACGTAACCTAGTATGTATGCGAAGTGTATTCCCGTAGCTATGCAGAAGACGTTACTTCAGTAACGTCTGGCGCTAGCCAGGGTCCACACAGCTTTAATTTGGTATTTGTGTGTTTGTTTGTTTGTTTGTGTCACGCCTGGTGCTATCCCGTATCTGACGGCAAAAAAAGCATAGGGATGTTATAAAATGTTCAATTCTCCTATTTTTTTTTCAGGCATATCCTGGGATTCGAACCCGCACTATCGCCCTACATGCATTCCCCCATACACTTCGCACTCATACCCATTCTTCCAAGTTGCTTCACGTTATGATCTTGCGTTTGAAAGCCCTATTCGAATATTGCGGGCAGCTGTATGTGGCCAGCTGTGTTTGATGGTACGGTACGGTACGGGGGACGGTGTCGTATTACCCTCAATCGCACCTGTCCCGTACCTATCCCCTACCGTACCGTACCATCAATGCATATTCAGGCTGCGTTTACACGGAGATGAAACGAAACGAAACGGAACGAAAACGGGCTGGCCTCGAATCGTTTTCAAACCGTTTACACGAGAACGGCAAATCGTTTTGAACCGTTCACACGAAAACAGAAAACGGGCTATCAGGCTGGAGTTAGCACGTGCTGGCTTGGCGCCAGGGCGGGAAGTAACACGTTAGTTGGAGTTGGTACGTGCTGGTGGTCGCAAAGGTCAGGTATTTCCCCGCGAAATATAGTCCCGCGCGGAATGGTTTTCATGACCGCGCTCCGTTTTCACTGTTTTCACCGTTTACACGAGAACGAAAACGTTTTGAAAACGTTTTGAAAACGTTTCAAAACGTTTCAAAACACTTTGAAGTGCGTTTCTATTTCGTTCCGTTTAGGTATCGTTTTCGGGCGTTGTCGTGTAAACGATAGTAGTAAACGCAACGATTTCGTTCTGTTTAGGTCCTACTTCGTTGTCGTGTAAACGCAAATCGTTTTCAATCGTTGTCGCGTAAACGCAGCCTCAAATAGGGCTTTCAAATGCAAGATCATAATGTGAAGCAACTTGGAAGAATTAGTATGTATGCGAAGTGTATCGGGGGATGCATGCAGGGCGCGATAGTGCGGGTTCGAATCCCAGATTATGTCTTAAAAAAAAGGAATTTTTTAAAGAATTTATAACATCCCTATGCTTTCTTTTGTCTAGTTCATCAAGGCAAAAAAGCATAGCGTAGGGCCCTGAGCTTCCAAGCTCTCTCGTTATTAAAAGCATGTCCGCATAGGTGGCGGGGTGCCACTTTCGCTTATGCCATTCAGGATTGATGTCTGAAGAGTAATGCGATACAATGATACAATGAAATGACAGAAGTGACGTCAACAAAAGCCGTTAGCAACAATACCAATAGGACTAATGGAAAACTTCATCCAAAGTATAAAATAAAATAGAATATGCATACAACATGTCTGGCAGAATCACGTGGATCACGAGAATCAGTCCTGCTAGGTGGGGCGGGCTCCACGCAATGCCTGTCGGTCCGCTGCCATTGTGCGGACTGCGTCAGCATGTACTTGACAAGTAGCGGCTGGTGGAGGGTAAGTCCATGCCATGATGACAGTTCCGTCTGCAAGACCGTTACCAAAGTCGTCCGAGGTCGACCCCTGAAGCATGCAAGTAAACATTTTACTATGCCAATCAATAGGTTTTGGTTCTGTTTTTTTTTTTTTTCGTTGAAAAGCCGTTTTTGCGACTCTAGATGAGTCCGAAAGGTGCCCGGATTTGATGAGTTTTTCTGTGTACAGTCAACTTCGCTTATAACGACACTCGACGGGGCATCAAAAAAGTGTCCTTATTCGCGAAGTGCCGTTATACCCGAAGTCTCATTTATATGTATTACAGTGGGATGGGACTTTGCTCTGGGCATGGAAATTCTGTCGTTATTCGCGAATTGTCGTTATATCCGCAGTCGTTATTAGCGAAGTTGACTGTATTCAATGTTTGTCAACAGCATGCGCATATACTTTCTTTTTTTCTTGCTATTGCGGCTGCAGCTCGTGTTTCTGGACTGGGCACAGCGTCTTCCCCTCTTCATTTGGGCGGTGTGCACATCAAGTCACCCAGTCATATCCGGCTAGGCTTGTCGCGTAACGTCAGAGTCAAGCCTCTCCATCCGAGCGCAACGTCACCCGGTGCATCGGGTTAGTCCGTTGCCAATACACCGCATGGGCTTATATCCGTGTGTGTGTGTGTGTGTGTGTGTGTGTCCGTGTGTGTACATGTGTAGGTGTGTGCGTGTGTGTGTACGCGTGTGTATGTGTGCTGTTTGTTGGCTGGGTGGGGTCACCATTTCATAACTTGTCGTTGTACTGAGCTCCACGGCAGTGTTTCTCTGATGGTGGAGCGGTCATGCGGCCCCTCTCAAACAACCCTTCAGTCTCTTTGCCTCTGTCCCAGTCCTTGGCTTGGCTATGCTGTTTGTCTTGATTGTTATACGTGCGTTGGTTTGCTGGTCTAGCCCTTGGCTTAGCTTGCTGCTCTAGAATTTAGCTATGTTCATGTTCGGACCCTGGGCTGGTATCTGGTGTAGACCTGTGTAGCTGCTCGCTCTCTGCCTTCTGGATCTGGTATTCTGCGTTGCCTCTCTTTTATCAATTGTTCATCTCCCTCTAGGCACGTACCTGTGCACATAAACACGCATGCACGCACATCACCTGTTTTCTCTCTCTCTCTCTCTCTCTCTCTCTCTCTCTCTCTCTCTCTCTCTCTCTCTCTCTCTCTCTCTCTCTCTCTCTCTCTCTCTCTCTCTCTCTCTCTCCCTGCGCTTGTTTTTCACATAGAGCTTATCATAGTCATGCACAGCTGGTCTGTCCCTTACTCCTAGTGTAGATAAACATTGATTATACATATCACATACCAATGACTACTGTAAACGGCTAATTTTGGAGGCGGTGAAATTTTGCCAGCGAAAGGGATGCATTCTCCCAAGTTTAGCATTTAGCTGTGCAGTGGGCAGTTCTCACTAACAAAGGTGACCTGATCAGCACATGCAGTTACACGCACTGTGCATCCACATTCAAACAGGGTTAGTTTATTTATTTTTGGTAAAGTCGATGCCAGCGTCCAGTGCCCCTAGACACTGAGTATCAGGGAGTTGTCTCTAGCTCCATGCTGAGTATTACAAGTTCAAAACTCCGGTCCTGCATGTAGTTCCACATCGATTGTGCCCACTCGATGCTACGGTTCAACTGTTCCGGCAGTAGAGTTGTCATTCTCAGCCTTTCACTAACCGAGTCACGTGGTGGTGGTGGTGGTCTCTCTCTCTCTCTCTTTCTCTCTTTCTCTCTCTCTCTTTCTCTCTCTCTTTCTCTCTCTTTCTCTCTCTCTCTTTCTCTCTCTCTCTTTCTCTCTCTCTCTCTTTCTCTCTCTCTCTTTCTCACTCTCTCTCTCTCTCTCTCTCTCTCTCTCTCTCTCTCTCTCTCTCTCTCTCTCTCTCTCTCTCTCTCTCTCTCTCTCTCTCTCTCTCTCTCTCTCTCTCTCAGTATTAAAATGGAGATTTCTTCCTGCCTACGTACCTATACATGTATTGGATTGCCAAAATTAGATTTCACCTCAATAATCCTGCTACCTAAATTTTCTTTTTTTAAACAATTCGTGACAAACATGCTAACATGCATAAATCTCATGTCATGTGACACATTCAACTGTGACGTACATGTATTTAAAACAGGTTTAGCTGTTTCAATGTTCAATGCTGCATGTTTCCATAGCAATTGTCACGCTTATGACAAGTAGTGACAAGATGTCCAGGATTTTGAGGAGAGGGTCAGTGGTATGTGTGTTCAGTCGGTGCAGTTTCAGTGGCAAGCTCACTTGGCCGATTGTCATTATATAGGATGATCTTGGGTCGGCTAACTGCAGAATTGTTGGCACGGATGCGCAAGTGATCTATCCTTGTTGATAGCGATAGTGTTCTGATGCCCGGAGAATCAGCTTATTGGCTCCAGGGGTTTGCATGAGGGCCACTCGGCAACTCACTGTCCTGTGTGTCTTTGCCAGGCTTTGAGTTTCTTGGACAGTGTGACCCTGATGTGATCGGAGTTAGACTCCGTCTGCCATCGCTACACAACGTAGAGTTGAGCGGTGCTGGAGAGGAGTTCCATTCTGTTCTCAACAACGCATCGATACGTATCTTCGTCGTCTCTCTCCACACTCGCGAACTCCAGACAGTTGTCCTTGTTGACTCTGATGCGCCCCTGCCGTTTGCTTATCACACGAAATCCGCGCAGCCACGTGATGTGTGGGCGTGGGTGACCACTTGCACTGCAGCGCATGAGTACACGCTCCCCGGGGCGCACCAGGTGCAGACTTCCGGGCCGGACGGTGAAGCGCAGGGGCACCGGACGAGGAGGTGGTTCAGTGACCGGGGGTGTCCCGGGGTAGTCTACCCGTTGAATAACAATGCTGTTGTTGTGCTTCATCCGGGTCACGTCCCAGGTTTGTATCAACTGATCCCCGACTTTGCACCAGTACCGCCCGCTGAATTTTGCCAGGAAGCGCTTGATGACAAGCCGTTTGCGCTTGGCTGATAATCGGCGGGGCGGAAATACTGCCGTCACTGGCTGGGGTGCATCATTCGACGCTTTTGTCTTCACCATCCACACAATGCCATTGCATAGCCCCTTGCTGGTCTCGTTTGCGCATGCCGCTTGCTGCACGGGGCACTTCAGAGTGACGCGGTTGGGAAACATGACGACTCGGGGCCTTGTCCGTGCCAATCCTGCTCTGGAATGGAGGTCTGTTTGCACAGATTGGTACACATAAGAACACACAAACAGACATGCAAACAGAGTAGTGTGACAATAGCAGTGAGCTTATCTTGCTTCTTTGATGGCGCTGGATGCTTTCTTCCTAAATTACATGTACATGGGTGTGTTCCTGAAGATGGGCCTGGCCCGAAAATTTGGATTTTACTTAATTAATTATTTTTTGGAAGAATTTGTAGCCGAGACACCGTTTTTGAGTAGTGGTGTATAACTGTGTGAAACATGCACTACAAAGGTTTCAGTGATAACATCTTCCAAGCCCTGTCACATCAGCATCTTTTCAGGCCAGGGCGACCCCGTCAATCCACTGGTTCACAGTGGAAGCCTGGCCATGCACCCTGCCAGGTAGCCATGCTTCTGAAGGGGAGGGAGGGGGGGGGGGTGGGTACATTTAGACGGTATATACATTGTACATGTACATAACGAGAGAGCTTGGAAGCTCAGGGCCCTACGCTATGCTTTTTTGCCTTGATGACCTAGACAAAACAAAGCATAGGGATGTTATAAATTCTTTAAAAAATTCCTTTTTTTTAAGACATAACCTGGGATTCGAACCCGCACTATCGCGCCCTGCATGCATCCCCCGATACACTTCGCATACATACTAATTCTTCCAAGTTGCTTCACATTATGATCTTGCATTTGAAAGCCCTATTTAAATATGCATTGTGGCCAGCCGTCTTTGATGATACGGTACGGTAGGGATAGGTACGGGACAGGTACGATCGAGGGTAATACGACACCGTCTCCCGTACCGTACCATCAAACACAGCTGGCCACATACAGCTGCCCGCAATATTCAAATAGGGCTTTCAAACGCAATATCATAACGTGAAGCAACTTGGAAGAATGGGTATGAATGCGAAGTGTATGGGGGAATGCATGTAGGGCGATAGTGCGGGTTCGAATCCCAGGATATGCCTGAAAAAATAGGAGAATTGAAAAAATTATAACATCCCTATGATTTTTTGCCGTCAGATACGGGATAGCGCCAGGCGTGACACAAACAAACAAACACACAAACACACAAATACCAAATTAAAGCTGTGTGGACCCTGGCTAGCGCCAGACGTTACTGAAGTAACGTCTTCTGCATAGCTACGGGAATAATTGTATATGATGCCCAGACACGTGTATGTATAATGTCTGAGCAAGAGGGTTTAAAAAAATTAAAAAATAACAACTTTATAACCGCAATCAATGAAACTACTTTAACTAGCTGAACCGACATTTGTATACTTTATTCATGCAATGTAAAAAATTATAAAATTGTTGTCTCCTCGCCGTGTGTTTAAAATAACAACTATTTTAAAAAATTTTCAACGCTGTCAGCGGGATGGGGAGGGGTGGGGGTCATCCGCAACCTCCGAACACCATTGGCCACATACAGTGTACATGCGCCTGGCATGGGTTCCCATTGAAGCCCCATCGTTGACCTACTGTTTACTGCATTGTACTTGTAGATGCACATGGACTAAGGAAACAAAGGCAGCAGGGGTAGCCAAAGTCAATTCTTACTGTGTAGAGGGGGGGGGGGGGGGGGGCTGGCAGTCATGCTAATTATAGACCTGTTTGCGCTATGATACCGCTCAGAATTTCCCACCTTGCTCCCCCTTATGTTCTGGCTGCCCGTTTTGGATCCATCAGTCGCCTGATGATCGTAGTAATGCGTGAAATTCAGAGTTGTAACAAAGCTTCCAATCTCTCTCTTGTGGACCTCCTGTTTTATAGAGCTAGCTCGACATAGTGAGCGCGATGCTCATCTTCCCCTCCCTTGTCGCCTTTGCCTCTCCAATAGGCATTTCCCAAATCGGCCGGCCGAAATATTCGCCGGAAACACTGGTTTTGAAGAAATCACCGATCTTTTCGCCGAATATGCAATTTTCGCACTGCGCCGAAAATCAATGGTTTGGTGCCTCAACAGCATGCAAATACAATTTCTGTAGCCATCATCTGCGAAAAATGACTGCGACTTTAGACATTTCCGAACACTTTCCGCAGGAAAAGACACCGAAATCAGCGGTGTTCAAGAAATTGCCGATAATCGCGCCATATTCACAAATGTCGCGCTGAATTCGCCGAAAATGGATATTTTAGTGCCTCTACAGTGTGCATCTAAATACATCAACATGTACATGCATACTGTGAGAGGTGATTTCAAGTAAGGCTTTGAGTCGAATTCTAACTTTGGAGCTCCTAACATGGCCGAATTTGGACATTCTCTTAATAATAATAATAATAATAATAATAAAACAGGTCGCGTAATGAAGCAGCCTAACGATAGATGTGCAAAGTCATGATGATGCCTGGTCCGCTTCTGTCCTGGGTTCACTACCCCGTGCGTTGCAGCCGCGAGAAAAACCAGCTCAGGCTGAGAGTTCCCTCCATGATTGCTTGACATTCTCTTAGGCGATCGAAAAAAGCAGGCCGATTCGGGAAATGCCTACTCCCCAACCGAAGTCAGGTACCCAATCGCAGATGGGTCTCCTGGGGGTGGAAATGATCCTCACCCACGCCGGGAATCGACCCCACAACCTCATGTTTGGAAGGCCAATGCTCTAGCCACTTTGCCAACCGCTCACCCACAAGGAAACTACTGTATGTTAAAAAGGCTACTGTGTAAGTACAAATTTTCGTTTGGAATTAACTCGCTATATTCGTTAGGTTGCAGGAAATAACTTTGTACCAAACTGAAGTTTTGTTTCTGAACGCTCGGGGTGACAGACCTCGACCAAAAACGAAATTTAGTACGTAACAAGCCTGCTGGTGGAGTGCTCTAACGAAAGATTTCGTGAACGAACACTTGTACTTATGCAGTACAACGAGGCTCCAGGTTGTCCCAGAGAGTGCTCAATACCGAGAGGCAGATAAGAGCTGGTTCACACAATAAGAGGACAGAGAAAGCGTTTTTACTCCGAGTTTCACGCACTAAGCGATCATCAGAAAACAGTAATGAGAAATCTGGATCAGTATTGGTTTATATACTCACAAAGCAAAGTGTAAATGGTGCAAATCTAAAAGTTGTGAATGGCGGCAGTGCAAAGCGTAAAAGACTGCATCATGGGGCAAGTCTAAAAGTGCGAATGACACCAGTGGTGAAAGGTGACAACCACTGGAGCCGGTTGTCTCTTACTTAATTAGGTGATGGCTGTGGATGGTTTGAAGTTCCGAAGGTAGTACTGATTCTCGTGGCGGCACTACAATGTACTAGTATTAGTAGTAAGTGGAAACGGGGTGCATGATGCATTTGCCGGGGGGGGGGGGGGGGGGAGTTCACCGAGGGTCCGGGAGTTATACCCACGTACCTGAGCCCTGTCGCCGCACGTGGATCGCGTGGTCTTCAGTTTGTGCACCGGCCCCACCCTGCACTCCGTTCGAAGCTTGCACGGGCCATTCCGCCTGAGCCAGTGCTAACTGAGGCCAGAATGAATAGGTACACGAGCACGTGATAACAAGTATCCAAGTGCTGACCACATTGGCTGAAAGTGGCGGCAAATAGCGACATATTAGTGTCATTTTCGTCCACGTTTGGTCTGACAAGGGGAAAGGAATAGCTGCGATCAATGATGTTGCATGCCAGGAACATTTACTTCGTTACTCAGGCTTGCGCATCTCACACCAAGTCAATGCAACGCGTTCAGACTTTCCGGTGGCTCCAGCCAGCTAACTTGTGAGACACGAGCGCGAAGACGTGGTAAATCCATCTGAGAACGGCACTGAGGTTGGCTATGGTCCCCGCCGAGACTGGGCAGTGCTTTTATATCGGAAGCGAAGACCCGCTCCCCTAGCAGATCACATGTGTGTATCATATTATTATTACATGTGCGTAGCTTTGATCACAGAAAGCAAGAATCAGGGGTCGAATACGGTTACCGGTGACTGCGAAAGTGTCATAGTGGCTCTTGCCGTGGCCCTGCGCTGCGTCGAGTGTCAATGGCCAGTAGTGTGTTGACATTGCGATGGACCTGGAAACGCTCTGTTACTACTGCTACTAGTACTGGGCTATATTGGTGCTAGCCTCTACTGGCTCTAGCTCTATCTATCCTCTTACGGGGAGTGCCTACACGAGCCTGCGAGGTGCGAAATCTGTCAGATGATTGTCAATCACAGAAGTAAGTTGTCAGCCACCAGACCTGTCGATCTTTTCCTACTGTCCAGGTTGCCCATCAACTAACCTGTTTATCGTTGCTGGCACTCCGTCGCGCTCTACACGCTGATTTTGCTAGGCAACCGGACCGCCACAAGTGGGCCATGGCTAACAACACTAACCAGCGTGGTCCATTCATCCGCTCAGAGTCAGAGTCGGCGTTGGAAAATGATGTGGACGGCACATGGAGCGTTATCTTTAGCTGTGCGGTCTGTCACCGTTGCATCTGCATAACTTAGCTGACTAGGGTTTGAGGTTGTTGCCCAGTTGGTCTTCAGGAAAGTACGTGTGCATGATGATGATGGATTGTATAAATAACGTTAGCTGGTCGCCAGATTGCCCTTTGCGTAAACCAGTGTCCGAACTAACATATGTCGCGGCAGCTGCCCTGGAGGTGCGGCTCTAGGCGAACGCACTCACACTTTATCAAAGAGGTGGATCAATTGAGAAATGCAGGTGCAGATCGATTGAGAGATGCAGGTGGATCTATTCGGATTGAAAGATGGTCGTAAATTGATTGAGAGATATTGTTACATGTACTAGTAGATAAAAAGCATGTTCTACTTGCACGTAGACAAAAACATGTCTTACGTATTACTGGGGACGAAACACTTGCTACTAAGAATGTTTGAACGTTAGGGGAATCACGAGTTGAGAAGGCAAGGAGGAAGAATGAAATGACATAGCTGTATGACGACAACTCCACGCGCTGATGGTCAACATCTGAGATCCGGGCTTCCATAGGAATAGGGTTAGTGGCATTGGATAATGGATACGCACATTCCCCACACACACACACACACGGGCGATTATCTTTGCCGCATCCGTTCCGCCCACGTGATACGCTTATCCAAAGTAGGAACATTCCTGGAGCAAGCTACACGCATATCGTGTCACCACGCGTGGCTCTCAGCCATCATCCAGGATCATCTGACATACTCTCTTTTTTGTGTTGCATCGTGACGTCCGAACCCCTGGGTAGCAGTGCAGCTTTAGCGTGAGGGTCTGTTGGGGATTGTTATATACAGTCATTGTGCACACTAACGATACAGTGCAAGTGCTAAGACAGGAGCTGTTGGAGTCCTAAAAAAAGAAAAGAAAAACGAAGAAGCGAACACCGTAACACTGCAGCGGATGGTGTTCCGACCATAGCAAAACAGAAGAAGTAATGGCTTGCCATAATTGTTGCACTGACTAGCCTGCCTCCTGGCTCTCTTTGTCCGCGCTGTCACCCTTGCTTCTCTCGTGAGTCCTCTGTCAGACAGACCCTTTCTCTTTCGTAGTAATCTGCTGTCTCAGCAAATTCCTTTCCTTTCATTGCTCGATGCGGCTTGTCCATTCGCCTTTACATGTATATCTTGGGACCCAGCTCCCGTTTATTGTGCGAATTGAAATAAACTTACCAACTAACAATTACATTGCTACTTGAAAGTACTTAATGAGGGGTTTCAGAAAGTCGACTTGCATCATGTTTTCCTCTATGCTATAGACGGGTTAAAATGCAATATACCCGTGATCTTGGCTTGATTTCAGACCGTTTTCTGCATGAGAACCTACCAATATACTAGTAATATTATTGGATATTTAAATTGAGTAAGTTAGTCGAGTGGGAGTTTGCAAGTGTCAAAAAAGCATACATGTAAAGCAATGGCCGGATGCACTTCAATGGAAAACACTACTTCAAAAAGTATAATTTACTATAAAGACACGAAGAGGCGTCAGAGGAATCGTATGACAGCAGGTCATACACTAAAACGGTCCGCAGACTCCGCACCAAGAAACAAGAGACTGTAGTGGAGGCCTAGTTTGGCGATCATTGCTGCCTCAGGGAAACGTTGTCACAGGGCGGCGGAGCATTCACTGGATACCCACCAGTAGCACGATTTAATGGCCTCTTTTTTCTTTTTTCACTTTCTATTTTGATTGTGTACTAATGGAAGTGGACCAACACGATTTTTTTTAACCAGCAGATCTCAAGCCATGCAATACAACATGCACTGGAGAAGAAATCAGGAAAATGCAGATGTGAAATAAAGATATCAAACCCAAATCAAAAAAACGTCAAATCAAATATTTTTTAAGGAGTACTGAGACAGTCCACAGCATGAAAGTCAGCTTGAGCACTGCTCGATAGCACTAACCAACGGCCTTCCAACTTGGAAGCCTCTTTGGAATTAGCACTATAATATTAGGGACTTCAGACCACGTGACCTCATGGCCCAAAAGCGTGCAAATCAACGCCTGCACAAATCGTGTGATGGTCATATGTCAAGTCGAGTAAAGAAATGTGGAACCGTTTTTCGAAATGAAGGAAGTCTTGTACAGTTGGAGAAAGTTTCGGTTCGTCTTGTTGGAGCTTACCTTCGTTTGGGACCAGCAAGAATGGAGCTGTTACGTTCATTTTTGACGGAGATACGTATGCGGATGGAAGGGAAAGGTGAGAAACTATATGATCTGTCCGGGTCCCCTTCTTGAAAATGTGAGATTCGTATTCTACGACCTCGAATTAGTCTAGATAGAAGGTAATCTTTATTGTTTTCACCTTCCAGAAGACCTATTTCTTGCATTATTCCTCTTTGTACTTTGCCGTGCAGCGCCGCCATAGTAGGGTCCGGCGGATTCTGCCGGCAGAAAAATTGGCAGAATTCGGTACTTTGTCTGGTAAGTTTCATGCATGTTTGGTATGTGGATAAAGAAATGGAGCAGAATTCGAGGAATTGCCCGCCATAAGGTTTGTATGGTTCTGCCAATTTCACTGCTTTTCGAGCAGAATCTGCCACCTTTTCGAGCAGAATCCGCCGGTCCCTACGCCATAGTCAGTATGGAAAGCAGCGAGAAGTATCCTGCGCTAAATGACGCTGAATTGCTCTTGTCTGTTTCGGTCCATGCCCCCATTCTTGTCTCCAATGCTGTTATGTTCGATCTGGTTGAGCTCCGCAAGATTAGCTGAGAGAGTGCCAAACTGGGAGATTTGCTGCATATTCTTGTTGCTATTTGCTGTATCTTTGCTGATGTGCGTGCTACGAATACCCCAGCCAATACAATGTCCTGTACATGTACATGTTGAGCTTAGTCAGTGCCTCTTCCGTGATCATTCTTTTTCTTGGCACCAACAGTCCGAAGCTATCTCAGGACTGTATTATCAATGTCTCCTGTTACTAATCACTACATTGTAAACCATGCTATTCAGCTATTTCATCATCAGCGGCGGAGAATCAAGATGTTTTTGGATCTGGTGTGCGGTTGCTATGCGTTGCTAAGGAAAGTGGGTTCCCTCAGTTTTGACATATCTCTCTGATCTCAAATGTGTGGGACGTTTGTCGGAAAAATCCGGTGATAGGCGATGACTATTTTGCTTGTAACTTTAGTTTCCTTTGTCCGATTTAGAAAAACTAAAGACCAAACTCCTTAGGAAGCTCTACCCTATCCAAAAAGCAAAACATAAGCCACAGAAAACCGATTTGAAAAAAATGGTCTGAAGTCCCTACTAATATCCAGGAACCTTCCAAGTTGGAAGCGCCATCGAGCAGTTAAGTGCTCAAGCTGACTTTCATGCCGTGGAATGTCTCGGCACTCCTTGTCAGTTTTGTGCTAGATTGTGCACGTCGATTTTTTTATAATTAAAAATGCAGAACAGCAACCTGATGATTGCGAGAGCATGAAACTTCAAGTCGCAGCAAACAAGCCTTGATTGTCCTTGTTGTTCTGTTCTGTATTACGTTCTGCCTCCGCGGTGTTGAGCACTGTCAGCACACTTGGGTACACCCTCCGGTATAATTAAAGAGATATAATAAAAATAAAATCAAGAAGATGGCGAGTCCACAACTTCGTTTAAATTACGCTGAATGGTTGGGATGAGAGGCAAGATCGCCGGGATGCAACCAGGCAAAACACAGCAAAACGTGGTAGCAGACAGCGTACTCTTTTGCGCCCACGAAGCACCCAATGCTGCACATCCAATGCTGCACAGTTCAGCTTAGTAGGCTACTCTGATAACTGTACGACCAACTTCCGGCGAGTGCTGTAAGACCATGAATGTCAACGAACATTTAATTCTAAAGAGTTAACGAATTTGAAAGAATCGGTAACATTTGAAGTCGTTATGTGCAAAACGATATGCACATGTACAGTCATTTGCCGCTTTTGAGACAGAATTCGTTAGAATTTCACCTCGCTAACCCACACAAATGCGGAGATCGTTAACTTTAATTGACGTTAAAATAAATAAGTTTGAAGAAGGGCTGAGGCTTCCTGCAGCTTCATCTGTGAAAAGAATTCGGGTGGACACACCCATTCCCAAAGCGCTGCACATCACATCCGAACCAGTTCCGTTATTTTTACAACGTTTCGGCACTTGGCCATCGTCAGGTAATAGCAATGAATACCGTGGAAGCCACACAAGAGCAGTATATACGCAGAGTGTAGCGCCAAAAAAGATGCGAATTATGTCACCTAGTGTGCAGAAGGGGGGGGGGGGACAGAGAGAGAGAAAAGGCGCAACTAGCACATCACGGAGGAGAAGCAACAGAAGGTAGCGCGCATTGTGCTCCGTGAATGGCGTTACGCAGAGTGTAGCGCCAAAAAAATAAAATGATGCGAGTTATGTCACCTCTATACAGAGGGGGGGGGGGAGAGAGAAGGTGCAACTGTGCACATCACGGAGAAGAAGAGCGCGCCGTTGTGCTCTACGAAGTGAGGGCACATGCCAAATAATTATGGTGTTAATTCTGGCACAGGAGGGGAGCACGGAGCCCCATGTGTCAATGCACAATGAGGTTAAACTTCCATGCCAAACTGTCACCACCAGGGACGCGACGAGGCATCAGGAACAGAATGGATTTGAGTGACCCGCCTCATATTATAATTATTCAGTGATATTGAAGTAGCAGCAGGGGAAGGTGAGAAAAATTCACAACAAATCCCATCCGGTGCTTATGTTCACATGGGGCTTGGCATCACGAATCTCAATCGCCTCGCGCAGTTTGCGACGGGCTCGATCAGGCTCTCTTCCTATCACTTCAACTGCAGAGAATGCACTTTGCCCATAGTTAAGCTTACATCCAGGGTGAGTGGTACGAAAATGTTGGCCCCATGGCTTGTCGAGTTCCTTTCGTCTTGCCTCACCATTGTGTTC